ATATTTGTAACCATACAAGACAAATCAAAAACTACTGTAACTAAAAATACCAATGACAATATTGATTCAAAAACAATTACATCACCAACGGACATTGATTTAAAAGAAGAACCTTTAACACATCTTACTGACAAAACAAATTCATTCGATGTTAACACAGACATAAGAAATCTCCATAATGATGCACGAGTTAATAAAGAAACCAAACTAGATTCTGAACCAGTAACTAATTCTACAACCGTAGACATACTTATTAAAACCAATCATAGTGAAATTAAATCTATGGAAGAAATTAAAAACAGTACAGAGGTAATAAAACATCTCAATGCAACACAAGATAATACGACCAAAATAGGAATACGGGACGTAGAAAGTGTATATATGAAACCAACAACTATTAACACTGATGGTATAACATTAGAGAACAATTTAAATAAACCGAATAATAAAGAAATGGCCTCAACAGACGACACAATTAAAATTAAAACCGCGACGCCAAGAAGGAAACGGGTGAGACGTTTCGTATCATTATTCAGAAGAACCGAATCGGAGAGCGACAATTTTCTCTTGAGAATCCTCGAGTTCCTCATGAAGAATCGGAAGAACGTAATACCAGTGGTGACGGTGGTGAGAGAGATAAACACGCTGGTGAAGAGTGCGAACGGTGAACTGAATCACTTGACGAAAGAACGCAACAATTATGTGGGCACGTTACCACCTATTTTACCATCGGCCGTGTACAATTTGGAGCTGGGTAACGATTCCAGGGTGAAGGCGTTTATGAAGAGGCTGCTGGGCCTGGGTCAGGGGGACAGGTTGACTATAACGGGCAGTGGATAATTCAGGTAGGCCGAGTGCAATAGTAAATTTATTAGCTCCAATATGAGTATTACAGTTTAAACATTGTTAGATTGTAAAACATTTTGTATTTCTACGCAGGAATTTTCAACTGTTTCATAAAAACAGCGATCCGAATAATCTTAACACTAGATACAAATACAAACGTGCAGTTCCGAAGCATCGTTTAGAAAAAGTCAATAGGCCTTTTGTGGGAATGGGCATTAAATGTTATAATACGAGGGTCATTTGAAAAGTTCTTAGCCTAACATATGTACTTAATGAAACCACACGATTTTGAGTTTATTTTTATTTTTCAACATACCCTCCTCCGAGCTCAAAACACTTTTCCCATCGACCCGGTAAGGCTCCGATACCCGTTTTAAAAAAATCTTCGTCTAACTCCTCAAAATAAGCGTCCACGGCGGCTATGACCTCTTCATTTGTAAAAAAATGTTTACCACCTAAACATTTTTTCAGCTTTGGGAACAGATAAAAGTCGGACGGTGCTAAATCCGGTGAATATGGGGGAGGTAGGTCCTCGTAAGGTACCGAAGGATATTTTGGATCTGCCTTTTAATAAATTTAAAACTGTTATTAAAAAAAACACTTATTGAACAAAGCCTATTACACACTAAACGATTACTCGAATGACAAGCGTACATGGTGCTAGTGGATCATGCGCGGGCTTTAACGACCGTGTAATATTAGACATAGTACATTTAAATAAACACACATAATGTTAACTGAGATTTAGAAGAGTGACTGTTGAGTTTCTCGCGGGCTCTTCACAACAGATAACAACCTTCCGAAGCATGCAGTAGGTTTTTTGAAAAAGGACGATATAAAAGTGCTTGTAAACAAGTTTATTTAAATAAAAATTATAAATACTAGTAGAATTCTATTACTACAGTCATAACAAAAGAATGTCTTAATTATACCAGATTATACACCAGAGGGAGACTTTGTACAAAAGTCGTATGCTTGACCACCTCTGTCACATTCGTGTTTCAACCGTGAAGCAGTTGTGTTTGCATGGCTGTGTTTCGGTTTGAAGGGTGGGATATGGCAGTGAATTTACACGGTACAGAGGAATAACACCTGAGTCCTCAGGAATGGCAACGCATGGGGTGTATCATGGGCGAAACAGTATACTCTGTTATGTCCATGATACTGCTCATGTCTATAGGCGACGGTTACCACTTTCCATCAGGTGGGCCGACAGCTTGTTTGCCGTTCCAAGTTGTATAAAAAAAAAAGTCTCTTTTAAGAGAACTCAATAAGAATATAAACAAACAGATACTCGACCCGACTTTAAGACAGTCTGCTGGTGACCAACCTACTGAGCCATACCACCATATCAGCAGTTAAATGCCCTCTGCTAAACTTAGGCCTCCCCCATAAATAGGGGGTTTTTCTAGTAGTCAGCCATGTGATTCCGGCATAGAACAGGCCACGTCTTCCTTTTCCGTGGGTGTCGTAAGAGGCGACTGAGGGACGGCGAGGGACGGACAGCAGCGTCCCTCTTAAAACATCTCCAAAGTCTAACTGCGGTTGCTAATCCGCCTGCCAAGCGTGGCAAAGTACTGACAACCCCAAAGGGGGAGGCATATGCTCAGCAGTGGACAGTTAAAGGCTAATGTGATGATGTCTTCCCAATAGTTGCCATATTTGACAAGCGGACTGGCAACCTCAGTTATGCCTTTAGTGATTTTTAAGAGGGACGCTGATGTCTTCGAACATTAAACTCCTTTAGTAGTCTCTTACGACACTCACGGTAGCCTATTCTATGCCGGGACCACACGGCGAGATCTACAGAACAGAATTGGATTAAATATCCAAGGGACCAAACCATAAGTTAAAATCCTTTCAGATATAAAAAAAAATTCCCAAATCGGTTTACAACTGACGGAGTTATGGGGTAACAATGAATTGAGCATCTCTTTTTTTTTAAATCGGTTAAAATTTTTTATGACAATTCAAAATATTTTTATAACTGATCAAGATTCGTATTTGAATGAATGGAGAAGAGAAATTTGTTTGTTTGTTTGTAACGGATCAACTCAAAAACTACTCGATCCATTTTGAAAATTCTTTCACCTGTAGAAAGCTACAGTATCAGCGAATAATATAGGATATATATATATATATATATATATATATATATATATATATATATATATATTATTTTTATATACACAAATACTATCTTATATACCAGGGATGTCCTACCGATGGATCGCGACCACTAGTCCAGTGGATGGTGGCAAGGTGAACAATATAATATATTGCTAATCCAACGGAGGACGCTCGGACGCGACGCTCGCACTAATATAAACAAGTAGTCGCCGAGAAGCAGTTTCAGTTTCACGTTCTCCCTCTTAATACAATAAACAATACTGCAGCACTACACGCTCGTGCACTGAACTGTGCCGTTACATTTGTGATCTCGTGAAGTATGCAACTGGTAGATCGCACAGGGTCGCGTCGGTAAACAGTTGATCTTGGGTCTAGTCGAGTCGACCATCCCTGGTATATATAACAGGGTATAGCTAGTCATTTATATGTTTTTATTTTTTTCAGTGCCCGGGGCGACTTCTTCCTCATCACACATCGCCAATCACCGTTCTCAATAGAATAAAATTATTATAAGTCGCCTAAGAGACTTGATACAGTTTAAAATTTGTAGCATCATGTATACAGGGTGTAAGGGACAGATTGGCCAAAACGAAAACAGCTGATTCAGATGAATGTACTGAATCAGGTGGCAGATTGTTCTCCCGCCGGTAATGCACCGCAGCCGTATAATTAACGCTTCATAGTGTCGACGCCGCGCAATGTATTTGAAATGTTACGCTCGACACGACGCGTGATACCTGCAGCGCGCGGTCAGTGGCGCTTCTTCGCAGGTAGTTCTCGTACGCTCGTGTCGTTGACCTCGCACAGCTGATACCGCGCGTCGCGTTAGTATTTTAATACGTATATTATATTACTGTCTTTTGGTATTTCATAGTATTTCACTATAAAATATTATTATTTCTTTATATTATAACATAATATCATATATAGGTTTTCCTCTTTATTAGAATTTACCAGAGGAAGACTTTGTACAAAAGTCGATTGCTTGGGTACCTCTGTCCCATTCGTGTTTCTACCGTGAAGCAGTTGTGTTTGCATGGCTGTGTTTCGGTTTGAAGGGTGGGATATGGCGTGAATTTACTGGGTACAGAGGAATAACACCTGAGTCCTCAGGAATGGCAACGCATGGGGGGTATCATGGGCGAAACAGTATACTCTGTTATGTCCACGGTACTGCTCATGTCTATAGGCGACGGTTACCACTTTCCATCAGGTGGGCCGTTAATTTGTTTGCCATTCTAAGTTGTATAAAAAAAAAGATTTTAAATGAAAAAAAAAAACAATAAATTGAAATTTTCCGATATGAATTTCCACTGGTCCTCAGTGCAGAATTCACTATTTCAGTTTTTGCCAACCTGTCCCTTACACCCTGTATAAGTATAAAATTTGTTTAAAGAAACATTAATACCTTATTTTTCTTTTTCCCTTACAAAATCTTAAAAAAATGTTTGGCATTGGCAATTATAAATAAAAGTTGCCAATTAATTGGATACCCAGACTAACAATAAGAGTTCCAATAGAGTTCCTACCATTACTATATAAAAAAAAAAATTGTTAACAATCAAAGAAATAAGTTTAACATCACATTTATGATTTACAATGAACTAGATTAAATAAATAATATAATATATATATATATATATATATATATATATATATATATATATATATATATATATATATATATATATAATAAATTGTTAATAAAAAAAAAACAAAGCGCCATCTTGTGGCTTACGAATAAACCTGCTCTCTCTGTGGCGTACGACCGCGCTGATTAAGGTGGTTGGCCGCTAACCAAAATTCGATAAGAAATACTAGATGTCGCTAGAATCGAGACTTGTAGTTTTTGTTCATTAATTTCAACTAATATGATAATCCGCATTACTATCTCCCCTCCTCCCACCTCTGTAATGGGGAGTCGTTCTATACTGCGTATTTTTTATCTCCCCTCCCCAGGCCCCAATGGGGAGTCGTGTTACATAGCCTATTTTAATATAACAACAATACAAGTGCGCACATACCTGTACATATGGTGCGGGTGGAGCAGGGAGCCGAGCACAAGCGAGTGCAGGTACACCGGCTTGAGCAGCCGCGACAACAGCGCCCCCTGCACGCCCACTACACACCAGCGGGCCACTTTGTCCGAACACGACATTGTGAGTAGACGCTCGCCCTACACACAACGGACAATATCATATTAAAAGTAAGAAAGAAAGAAAAAAAACAGATAAACAAATCTCTATTTTTTTTTTTTATACCACTGAGGTGGCGAACAAGCATACGGCCCACCTGATGGTAAGTGGTTACCGTAGCCTATGAACACCTGCACTACCAGAGGTCTTACGCGCGCGTTGCCGACCCTGAAGAAACCTCTTTACCCCCCTTTTAAAGAACCCACTATACACTTTTTTTCATGTCTACATTTTTATACATTCACCAGAGGGAGACTTTGTACAAAACTCGTTTGCTTGGCCACCTCTGTCCCATTCGTGTTTCTACCGTGAAGCAGTTGTGTTTGCACGGCTGTGTTTCGGTTTGAAGGGTGGGATATGGCAGTGAATTTACAGGGTACAGAGGAATCACACCTGAGTATAGGTGTAGCTCAGGAATAGCAACGCATGGGGGGGTATCATGGGCGAAACAGTATACTCTGTTATGTCCACGGTACTGCTCACGTCTATAGGCGACGGTTACCAATTTCCACCAGGTGGGCCGTCAGCTTGTTTGCCATTCTAAGTTGTATAAAAAACATATATCATCAGCATCATTCAGCCGTTAACTGTCCACTATTAAACATAGGTTCCCTATTGGGATGTTTTGCCAGTAATTGCCACACTTGGCAACCGGATTGGCAACCGCAGTTAGGCTTTAGAGATGTTTTAAGAGGGACGCTGCTGCCCGTCCCTCGCTCTCCCCTAGTCGCCTCTTACGACACCCACGGGAAAAGAAGAATAAATAAAAGAGACGTCTCCTTAAGAAAGTATGAAAAATATTTTTACAAAAATATAAAACATATTTACATTATTGTATGTATGTATATCTTTATATGTATTTAAAAAACGAACAGAATTTCGTGCCTCCAGTCGAATTGTTTATAACTACTCCTCTCCATCCAAAGGTGGCGTGCAAGAGATCGCTCTCAGCGATAAGGCCGCCCGTTGTTCTCTCAGTGCAATATTACCTTGTAATTGTTTGTATCTATAATAAGTTTACTATTGTAATCTTATGGAGGGAACAATAAAGGGTATCTATCTATCTATCAAGAATAAAGGTATATTTGAAGTGATAAAAGAATTACTTAGCAAAAAGAAAACAGCGTTTACAAACGACTTCAAAATAAAGAAAGCTCTCGATTCGGTTTTTTTTTATGTTTGTCCGATAACTCCGTCGGTTGTGAACCGATTTGGAGATACCTTTTTTTATGTGAAAATACAGATTGGTCCCATCGAAATTTTATCGAAATCGTTTCAGTAAATTAGTTTTTAGATCAAAATAATCTGGTTTTGTTTTTAATTTAGTTTTTTTTTTGTTTTTGGTGGGAAACAAACAATCTTTAATTATATGTCTTAATTGAGATACAGCTTTTTACAAAATGTAACTTTTTTAATGGATGAAAACGGAATGGTAACCCCGCCTGCGCTTACGGTATACACTGGCGAGGTACCAGGGACACATGACAGGCGAGGATGTAAGCAGGTTTGTTGCCCATCGTTACGAATTCAGTAATGAACCACTATAGTTCCCAGTGCAGACGGGGTACCAGGGAGGCATGATAGGTGAGGATGTAAGCAAATCTAAACTAACAAGTCATGATGAATTCAACAAGAATGTACCACAATGGTTACCAGGGGAAATCGCGTGGAGGTCGACCCGTTAGTGTATATTGTTAGCAATGGGGCTATAAGATCCCGTTACTAAAAACCCCTCTTCCTCTAGACAAGTAGAGAAAAAGAAAAAAAAAGAAAAGAGTGTTTAAAAAAATACACCCTGGAAACCATCGTGCTGAATTCCTTGTGTATTCATCACGATGGGCTAGCTGACCTGCCTTTTCATTCTCACCTATCACCTCTCACTGGTGCCCCGCCAATGTATACCGTTAGGGCAGGTGGGGTAACCATTCCATTATCATCAACTCTTTTTCTTTCTTTTTTTTTCTTTCTTCTAGAAAAGTAGGTTAGGTTTTTAAAAATCGCCTGTACCCTTCTCCCTCCCAAATAGTACATGCATACTAAATTTCATAGCGATTGGTTAAGCCGTTAAGGAGTTATAAGGTAACAAACAAACAAACTTTCACATTTATAAGGACTTTACACCCACCTGCATGACTCCGTCCCAGGTCTGCACGAGGCTGTTGGAGTTCTTCACCGGTATAGTGCCTTCGCCCGACTCTATCTTGGTCCTGAGCTGCCCTCGCGCCAATCTTAAATAGGAAATATTTTAGTAATATATTTTACGATAAAACTTTATATGGGTACCTCTGTCCCATTTGTCTTTATACAGCTGATATCATCATTATATCAGCCTTTAACTGTGCCCTGATGATCATAAGCCTCCCCCTTGGGGGGTTTTGTCAGTATTTGCCACGCTTGGCGGACAGATTGGCAATCGCAGTTAGTCTTTGGTGTTGTTTTAAGACGGTCACCACAGCCTATATTCAGACTATCTCTCTCTATCTCTTAATCGCCTGTTATAACACCCACAAGAAAGGAAGGGGTGGTCCATTCTATGCCGGGACCACACTGCATAAGTATATCCTTCCATATAAAAAAAAAGTTTAAACATGAACAGAATTTAACATACCTTCTCCTGCTTCGTTTTGAAGACAAGGTCTCTTTAGCACATATGTTATCCTGGTACTTTATGAGAACACCAGAGGGAGACTTTGTACAAAAGTCGTTTGCTTGGGCACCTCTGTCCCATTCGTGTTCTACCGTAAAGCAGTTGTGTTTTATAGCTGTGTTTTGGTTTAAAGGATGGGATATGGCGTGAATTTACAGGGTACAAAGTCACAACACCTTGGTCCTCAGGAATGGCAACGCATAGAGCTTGACAGCCCCATTGCTAGCAATATGCCCTATCAGGTTAACCTCCACGTGGTTCCACCTGGAAACCATCGTGAACAATTCTCGTTGAATTCGTCACGATGGGCTACCTGACCTGCTTCATCCTCACCCTTCACTGGTGCCAGGCTGGTGTATACCGATAGCGCGGGTGGGGTTGCCATTCCATTATTACCCACTAAAAAAAAATATGGAATAGACCTGTTGGGATGTCTGTCGGGCTCCGGTTCGGCCTGTTCATGCGGGCTGAAGATGCGGCCGTCGCCGCACGGCGCCGTGCTCACGTACAGGTGCAGCTGGCGGTCGCCGCGTAGCTGGTAGCCACCGCCTGCCACCGGCTCCACGTCCGACTCGGCTATCGGGCTCCGGGGGTCTGATCACATCCATTGTCATGATAGAATCAAGCAAGTGAACGAAAATTACAAGGGAAAATAAGTGAAAACCTCTTTACGAAGGAGATAATGTCTCCTTAGAACATATGTTAGCCTGGTACTTTCTGAGAATTTTGATGCGGATTGTTCCCATTTTTTTCTTTTATCATCATCATCATCATCATCAATGTCAGACGTTAATTGTCAACTGCTGCCTTACATAAGCCTCCCCCCTCTCATAAATGAGGTTTTGCTATAGGGAACTGTCCTGAGCCACACGCATCCACTAACTCCCTGCAATGTATTCAACTAATGGGTTGCCTTGGGGGGAAGGGATTGTTAGTAAAGAAGAGTTTAGTCCCCCCCGCTATCAGGTCGACCTCCACGCGGTTCCCCCTGGAAACCATCGTGAACAATTCTTGTTGAATTCGTCACGATGGGCTAACTGGCCTGCTTTATCCTCACCTATCATCCTTCACTGGTGCCCCGCCAGTGTGTACCGATAGCGCGGGTGGGGTTACCATTCCATTATCATCCATTTCAATAAAATAAACTCTGGTGACATTTATATATATACTTATAAATATGTATATATTATATATATATGATTGGAAGAGATAGTTACCTGCAGCTGACGCGTACATCAACAGCTGTGAGTAGAGGTACCTCTGTAGACAACGCCGCGCTGCCACCTGGTCATACAATATACATACATACATAAATATATAATATAATGACTAGCTGACTCGGCAAACGTTGTTTTACCATATACATTATTTCGAGAACTATACGTAAAAATATATCGTACTACAATCATTATATTCGATCGCCATCTTACAACCCTGTTGTGGCATATAAAGATCGCGATTAAAAAACAGGAGTTGATTGTAAAACGGTGAAAATCATCATCAATATATATATATATATATAGATGAATTTTACTTTCTGTTTAGCATTACTACTGCCCACTCACTACTTCCTATGCCACTGTGTTAGGTTGACTGGAAGAGATCTCTTTTAGAGATAAGTTCGCCTTTGCTAACATTGTTATTAACTTGTTGTTACTGTATGTTTTAGTTAGTGTTGTAGTATATATATATATATATATATATATATATATATATATATATATATATATATATATATTTTACAACTTAGAATGGCAAATAAGCTGACGGTCCACCTGATGGAAAGTGGTAACCGTCGCCTATAGACATGAGCAGTACCATGGACATAACAGAGTATACTGTTTCGCCCATGATACCCCCATGCGTTACCATTCCTGAGGACGCAGGTGTTATTCCTCTGTACCCTGTAAATTCACGCCAGCGTGGTAATCACCTCAGCGTGACAGTCGTTGAGGGCGCGGCCGCGTACTGACATGTGTTCGCCGGAGACACACTTGGTCCCTGTGGTCACAGCTATCACCTGGAATAAAAAAAGGAATATTCTATTAACATTATTAGTATGGTCCCGGCATAGAATGGGTCACACCTTTGTTTAAAAGAGGGTAAATACAATGAGAATGAAAGTAGGTCAGTTGGCCCATAGCGATAACTTCACCCAAATTAACTACAATGGTTTCCAGAGGAGACCGCGTGGAGGTCGACCTGACAGGGCGTATTGCTAGCAATGCGGACAAAAATCCCCATCACTAACTATCCTTTCTCCACGCAGTACTCCACCACTCTACCAGTCTCATTGCTAGCAATATGCCCTGTCAGGTCGACTTCCACGTGGCCCCTTCTGGAAACCATCGTGCTGAATTCCAGACGTATTCACCACGATGAGCTAACTGACATGCTTTTTCAGTTTCGCCCATCATCCTTCACTGATGCTCCGCCAGTGTATACCGTTAGCGCAGGCGGGGTTACCGTTACCATACCATTTTTACCCATAAAAAAAAAACATACCCCGTTCATGCAGGCGAAGTCGTGTGTAAAGCCTAGTAAAAAAACAACCCCTGCCATACCCACCTTGGCACCTTCGGGACTATTGTTGATGGTGAGCACAACACCAGCTAACACCTTCCGTTTGGAATGGATCAGATCACCTTTCATCACCTCGTTGAATTTTTCGTTCACCAGCCTGCAAACAATTGTAATGTAATGTAATCTGGAGGGGGATTCCCCCTGGAAACCATCGTGAACAATTCTCGTTGAATTCGTCACGATGGGCTAACTGACCTGCTTCATCCTCACCTGTCATCCTTCACTGGTGCCCCGCCGGTGTGGTGTATACCGATAGCGCGGGTGGGGTAATCATTCCATGATCATTCACAAAAAAAAAAAATTAAGTTGGACTCTTTTATTCCGCACTTAGTTTCTCATTTGGCTGTTGTGAGTACCAGTCGTGGATAGTACAGCCAGCCCAGAAGCACAGAAACTTCCTGGGATCTTCGCAGGCCTCACGCAGCGACCTCAGATCCAAGGGTTTCTAAACGTTGACGGGCCACAGTTTCACATTCCAGGATTACGTGAGCAGTCATTTCTTCGGCGTCAAAACAGCTTCGACATAAAGGGCTGTATGGCTCCTATTGTGTATGTACATTTATTTAATGGGCAATGGCCCATTATTGTCCCTATCCACCAGAGGGAGACTTAGTCTTAAAAGTCGTTTGCTTGGCCACATCTGTCCCATTCGTGTTTCTACCGTGAAGCAGTTGTGTTTGCATGGCTGTGTTTCAGTTTGAAGGTTGGGATATGGCAGTGAATTTATAGGGTACAGAGGAGTAACACCTGAGTCCTCAGGAATGGCAACGCATGGGGGGTATCTTGGGCGAAACAGTATACTCTGTTATGTCCACGGTACTGCTCATGTGTATAGGCGACGGTTACCACTTTCCATCAGGAGGGCCTTCAGCTTGTTTGCCATTCTAAGTTGTATAAAAAAAAACCGTATTGTACTCACTTGCCAATGTGATCGGCGAGGGTCTGAGGCAGGAAGCCGGTCTGCGTCGGAGACGGCGACGGCAGCGACTCCGTACGACCCTCCTCCAGGACCGCTAATGCCGATCTGGCGGCTGCCAACTTGGCCAGCTTCTTACTCGACCCTGAGGTGAAGGAAGAAAAGAGACTGTTAGTAATCATCAAATCAGCCTTTAACTGTCCACTGCTGAACATAAACCTCCCCCTTGAGGGGGTTTTACCAGTACTTGCCACGCTTGACAAGCGGATTGACAACCCTAGGTAGACTTTGGAGATATTTTAAGAGGGACGCTGCTGATCATCCCTCGTCCCTCTTTAGTCGCCTCTTACGACACCCACAGATAGTGTTAGCAATGCGGAATACCAGTCTCATTGCTAGCAATGTACCCTATTAGGTCAACAACCCCTTGGTCCCCCTGGAAACCATCGTACTGTATTCCAGGTGTATTCATCACGATGGACTAACTGACCTGCCCTTTCATTCTCACCTATCGTTCCTCACTGGTGCCCCGCCAGCGTATACCGTTAACGGAGGCGGACTTACCATTCTACAAACATCCCATTAAAAAAAAAAAAAAACTAAATAAAACATGATTGATGTCTAGATTATTTTCAATCTGAATGACCTTTCAACTTACACGCGCAAAAAAATATGTGACCTTGACACTTACCGTAACCTTCGAACTTCTGGTCCTTGATTTGACAGACGACCTTGAACCGCATGCTGTGACTCAGTTGGAGAGGTGCTGCAACCAAACACAAACAGTATGTTAATTTAAAACTAGCTTCTCAAAGGTTGACTGTAAGAGATCTCTTTATGGGATAAGTCCGCCATTGTATATTAAATCATTTAATGTATTCCGTATGAATTATGTTCTTGACGACTGGACCCCCCCCCCCCCCCCCCGCGCCACTCCTAATGTGGTGTGCAGCAGCGCCCGGTTACCTTGCGTGATGTCGAGCGGCGAGCCGTCGCCGAAGGTGCAGGTGAAGGTGAGGCCGGGGTAGTTCTCGTACAGCAGGTTGATGGGGCTCTTGATGATGGCGGTGGCGTTGGTCGCCCCGAACAGCGCCGTCGCGGGCGAGTACGCCGACAGCGGGGACGGCGACACTGACGACGGTATGTGTACAAACAGTCAGCGGGACGATACAAGTGAATGAATGAATGAGTGAAGAATGATCGAATGAATGAATGAATGAGAGAATGAACGAATGAGTGATTGAACAAATAAGTTGAAAAATTAATGACAGAATGAGAGAACGAATGAACGAATGAGAAACTGAACGAGTGAGTTGCAGAATTAATAAGAGAATGAATGAACGAATGAGTGATTGAACGAATGAGAAAATGAACGAGTGAGTTGTAGAATTAATAAGAGAATGAGTGAACGAATGAGTGATTGAACGAATGAGAAAATGAACGAGTGAGTTGTAGAATTAATAAGAGAATGAGTGAACGAATGAGTGATTGAACGAATGAGAAAATGAACGAGTGAGTTGTAGAATTAATAAGAGAATGAGTGAACGAATGAGTGATTGAACGAATGAGAAAATGAACGAGTGAGTTGTAGAATTAATAAGAGAATGAGTGAACGAATGAGTGATTGAACGAATGAGAAAATGAACGAGTGAGTTGTAGAATTAATAAGAGAATGAGTGAACGAATGAGTGATTGAACGAATGAGAAAATGAACGAGTGAGTTGTAGAATTAATAAGAGAATGAGTGAACGAATGAGTGATTGAACGAATGAGAAAATGAACGAGTGAGTTGTAGAATTAATAAGAGAATGAATGAACGAATGAGTGATTGAACGAATGAGAAAATGAACGAGTGAGTTGTAGAATTAATAAGAGAATGAGTGAACGAATGAGTGATTGAACGAATGAGAAAATGAACGAGTGAGTTGTAGAATTAATAAGAGAATGAGTGAACGAATGAGTGATTGAACGAATGAGAAAATGAACGAGTGAGTTGTAGAATTAATAAGAGAATGAGTGAACGAATGAGTGATTGAACGAATGAACTAATGAGTGATAGAATTAATTAGTTGTAGAATTAATGACAGAATGAGCGAATGAATAAATGAATGAATGAATGAATGAATAGTTTATTTTCTTTTTACAAATGGTAGTACGAAGTATTATATCAACTTAAGGTAAAATTAAATATGTAAGACCAATTTTGTGAGAGACTGGCGCCTGCAGTATCAGATCAGATCAGTGTGTTTTTTTTTCCGAAGGTACGGAAGCCAAAAAATACAACCGAAACGATAATCTGCTTCATTTTGAAGTCGGCACAAAGGAAAGTTTTTAAATTTACTTATACAAATAAAACATTGTTTGTTTGTTTGTTTCCATTGTTTCTGCCTACCCTAATGGGAGACAGCCGTGACAGATATGTATGTATGTATGTAAACAAAACATCACCCACCTGGACTCCTCTCTTTGCTATAGGTTGGCGTATCATTCTGCGAAGTCTTCATATTAGCAGGCAAGCATTGGAACTCGGACGCTGAAACAATGATCACTTGCATTTACTTTGATGTACAGTACAGCCGTGTGGTCCCGGCATAGAATGGACCACCCCTTCCTTTCCAGTGGGAGTCGTAAGAGGCGACTGAGGAAGAACGAGAGATGGACAACAGCGTCTGTTTTAAAATTTAACTGCGGTTGCCAACCCATCCGCCAGGCGTTGATATTTTGATACAAATTATTCCGTATCTACCTGTTTGCGTATACTAGACGTATGTAAGCTACCAGAGGGAGACTTTGTACAAGTCGTTTGCTTGGACACCTCTGTCCCATTCGTGTTTCTACCGTGAAGCAGTTGTGTTTGCATGGCTGTGTTTCGGTTTGAAGCGTGGGATATGGCGTGAATTTACTGAGTACAGAGGAATAACACCTGAGTCCTCAGGAATGGCAACGCGTGAGGGGTATCATGTGCGAAACAGTATACTCTGTTATGTCCACGGTACTGCTCATGTCTATAGGCGACGGTTACCAATTTCCATCAGGTGGGCCGTCAGCTTGTTTGCCATTCTAAGTTGTATAACAAAAAACAAAATAATTGAATGCCCTCACCAATATCTGATTACACGAGCGATGCACAAGCGAAGCGGTTTGTTATTAAAAATTCGATCAACTTGTACCAAGTACGGATTAAATGAGACATTTCGCGTGATGGCCGCACTAGTCGAGAGACTCGCGAGTCCCAAATATTTACAATAATAATAATAATAAATAATAAATATATTTATTGTTGCTATTTTTAACAAATACGATACAATAATTACAAAGTTTTTTCTTAATAGATGATAATGATATGGTAACCCCGCCTGCGCTATCGGTATACGCTGGCGGAGTACCAGGGACACATGATAGGTGAGGATGTAAAGGCTGTTCAATTAGCCCATCGTGATAAATAACACTTGGACACGATGATTTCTAGGGAGAAACGCAAGGACGTCGACTGATAGAGTCAATTGCTAGCAATGGGGCTACTAACCCCCATTATTAACAATCGCCCCCCCCCAACCCCTCTCGTAATAAATGTGTTTATTGCCATTTTTTAACAAATACGGTAGAATAATTACAAGGTTTTTTCTTAATTTTTGATAACGGAATATTATACGCTGGCGGGGCACCAGGGACACATGATAGGTGAGGATGTAAAGGCAGGTCAGTTAGTCCATCGTGATGAATACACCTAGAATTCAGCACGATGGTTACAAGGTTATTAAATATATATATATATATTAGTAAATAGATAGTTAGATATATAGTATATTTGCATTACACACAGCACATAAATACCAACAGACATGCACAGCGATAAGAGATAAGAGAATGCATATATAGAAATACAAAGCAGAATATATAAAACAAGTACGTCATTTTGAAATACCCTTATGCAAATAAGGTAATAAATGGCTTCTGTTGGATTCGCGTGCGTTCAGCGCCGGTTTTCAGTTTGCGCCTGCTATTGTAGATCGTATTCCATAAAAGACTTAATTTAATAAATTTAATTATTAAATTTCTACGGAACCAATATGTAAGTATATCATTTTCAGGTAAAAAAAAAACCCACCAAATCGGTTTATAAATGACGAAGTTATGAGATAACAAGTATTAAAAAAAAAAAAACTGAATTCAGCCTCCTTCTTTCTGAAGTCGATGGATAATAAGCGTTTCAAAAGTAACAAACAAACAAAAACACAATCCACATTTACAATATTAGTTAGAAGAAATATGGACTCGAAGAGTCTCGGGACTCGATCGAACGTTATTGGACGCCCTACAACGAAGCCGATAAAAGAGGGTTTATTTACGCATTTACAATATTTTTTTTTAATGGATGATAATGGAATGGCAACCCCACCCGCGCTATCGGTATACACCGGCGGGGCACCAGTGAAGGATGATAGGTGAGGATGAAGCAGGTCAGTTAGCCCATCGTGACGAATTCAACAAGAGTTGTTCTCGATGGTTTCCAGGGGGAACCACGTGGAGGTTGACCTGATAGGGCATATTGCTAGCAATGGGGCTGTCAAACTCCATTGCTAACAATCTTTCTCTCTTCATTTACAATAGTGGTCAGAAGAAGAAATATGGACTCGGAGAGTCTCGGGACTCGATCTAAAGTTATTGAACGCCCTACAACGAAGCCGATAAAAGAGGGTTTATTTACGCGTGTCGTAAATTTATGAACACGACAAGTTTGGAGTTAAATATATAAGATTTTCTTTTCCTATCTATACTTATAATAAATCTGTAGAGAGGTCAATTCTGTACATGAAATATATTTACAAAATAACTGTCAGGCGGTGATTAGTGATCGATACTGATGCCGAAAATGCAATCAGTAAAATTTTTCTCTGTCTGTCTGTTTGTTCGTTATATAAACAAAAACTACTCGACGGATTTTAACGAAACTCGGTACAATTATTCTTCATACTCCCGGGCAGGTTATAGTATACTTTTCATCACGCTACGATCAATAGGAGCAGAGCAGCGAAGGGAAATGTTGGAAAAACGGGAGAAGTTACTCCATTTTTGAACTTCCGTCGCGTGTGCACTCTTAATGGCCACTTTTTAAAATGTTAAAAATGTCCACCCGTGCGACGCCGGGACGGGCCGCTAGTATCAAAACAAAGACGTTATTTTGATTTAAAAATCAAACTACACCAATTCAGTAATTTAATTTTTTTTTTTGATGAAATTTTTGTATAGATATTGTAACTACAATATCTAGATGGGGGAAAGGGATTGTTAGTAATGGGGTCAAATTGCCCTATTGTTCGCAATATACCCTCTATCAGGTCGACCTCCACGCTGTTTCACTGGAATCTATCTATCTATCTATCTATTATTATTGAATTCGTTATGACGGTCAACTGATCTGCTTTATCTTCACCTTCCATCGTTCACTATTCATTTTCATCTATTAAAAAAGATGGCGGACGCATGCAATAAACAACTCGCTCTAAAATCGTCTTTAATTTATTCCACAATAAAAAAAAACACGCATGCTCGCACGCACGCACGCACGCACGCACGCATGCACGCACACACACACACACACAAAACAAACAAACACAAACATATTTTTGTACTTGTTTATTACGCCAATTAGAGACAAATAAAATAATGGTATGGACTCCCAGAGTCTCGGGACTCGATCGAACTATATTGGACGCCCTAATGCAAAGTCGATAAAGTTGGGTTTGTTTACGCATGCAATAAATTTATTAATCACGCAAAGTCAGCAAGTACAATTCTATCCCAACTCGTTACTGATTCAGTTATTACGATGACAATCATTATTGGAACAAAATTAGACGATGATTTATTACGTGGAAGATTTTGATCTAGTATTATTTCGTGAACATTTAACTAGCTGACGGCTCGCCTGATGGAAAGTAGTAATGGTGCGTAATATATAGGAATATCTATAACTACCAGAGGCAGACTTTGTACAAAAGTCGTTTGCTTGGCCACCTCTGTCCCATTCGTGTTTCTACCGTGAAGGAGAGGAAATGAATAACACCGGAGAGGAATAACACCTGAGTCCTCAGGAATAGCAACGTACGGGGGGTATCATGGACGAAACAGTATACTCTGTTATGTACATAGTACTGCTCATGTCTATAGGCGACGGTTACCACTTTCCATTAGGTGGGCCGTCAGCTTGTTTGCCATTCTAAGTTGTATGGAACAAATCATGCCCTATGCCCTGCCAGCGTACACCGATAGCGCGAACGGGGTTACCATTCCATTATCACTCATTAAAAAAAAATTGGGCCATTACACCCCCATTACTAACAACCCCTTTCCCCCTTCCAACGAGGGGTCATCATTTGCACAATCGCATTTGCATGTACATAGTTTTCTTTTTTACTTTATCCGAGCAGTAAGTATTTTATCTTATTCACAATTTCGTGTACAATATAGTATATGTCATATATGTGTAAGTATATTTGTTATTTATATATATTTATTCGTTTATATATGTAATTTTAGTATGTATGTATATCAATAATTACTAGTACCGCATTCGAGTATTCTGACACTTCCCTACGGTTGACTGGGAGAGAATGCTTTCAGCATTAAGTCCGCCATGTACACATATATGTACTAATGAATAAAATAGTATCCGACCGAACTTTCGGTTTCGGCTAGTTTCGGCCAGAAATTCTACTTTCGGGCTCAGTTTGGATTTCGGCCAAAAATTTACTGAAATTTCGGCCGCGCCGAAACTTTGTACGTGTGTTTCTGTTGTGTGTGTGTCTAACTGCAAGTTATTTTGTTTTTAAGTTTACTTTCAAGATTAAGCTATCATTTTAACATGTGTAAAAACATATATAATTTTATTTAAACAGATATATGACATATTTGTTATATATTTTAATTTTTATTATTACCCTTTAAATGTCTTTGTGTTTGTGTAAATAATTGTCTAAAAAAATACACTAGATTACAGTATAGAAGAGAAAATTTTAAATATGTTTCAACAAGTTTCGGTTTCGGCCGAAACTGAGACCAAGGCCGAAAGTCAATTTCGGTTTCGGCTTTAAAACCTGCGGGTCTACCATGAAATGAAATTCCGAAATTTCGGACTCGATTTCGTGTTTTTGTTTATACCAAAATCGGACCAATAAATGGAGTTTAACATTACGTTCGTCATACATCCTATCGTAAAAGTCAATATTTTAACATTTTTGATATTTCCAAACGGCATGCGTTATGTAATTTTAACATCAAATTTCTGTTTCGTTTGGCTCCGAAATTTCGGAAAACACTTCATGGTAGGCCCTCTGTTTCGGTCGGACACTAGAATAAATAAATCAATAAATAGTCGCTCGAGAACCTTTCTTCCCCATTGGATGTCGGTTTTTGGAGCTAAGAAATAAATATATACCTGCATATTTCCCAGGGTCGTCACTCGTGAAGTCGTGCGGCGTGTTGCCGGATGGTAACACGCGGCCGACGTGAGCCAGCAGCGCCGAAAGACAAGCGCGGGCGGCGGACGCGCGCGCCTCACGCTTACTGTGACCCCAACCTTCGAAGGTCATGTCCGCTACCTGAGAGGAAATTGGCTTTTTGATTATCTTGTATGTCGCTAGCAACAGAATGTATGCTTGTTTAGTTTCAACTGATGGCGCCACCTGGCGTCGAAACATAGATATGTCGTTAGTTGGTGAACCAGAATTGTTTTTAATTCGTGAAAATGGAATGGTATCCTCGGTATACACTGGCGGGGCACCAATAATCACTTATTATTGGTGCCCCGCCCCCGATAGATGAAGATGAAAGCATGTCAGTTGGCCCATTGCGACGAATTCAATAAGATTTAATCAAAATGGTTTCCAAGGGGCACCACGTGGAGGTCGACCTGACACGGTATATTGCTAGTAATGGGACAGGTAGTCCGGCATTACTAACAATCCCTTCCCCCCACCCCCCTAATTAATAATAATAACCATGATAAAAAGTACACATCCAAATAAATATGCATCGTATGAGAAAAATAACTAGATTACATTGATGAGTATGATCAAGACTAAGATGATGATGATGATGGTGATGAGAAAGATGATGAGAAAAATTATGCTGAGAAAGATGATGACGTTTTTTATGCAACTTAGAATTGCAAACGAGCTGACGGCCCACCTGATATAAAGTCGTAACCGTCGCCTAGAGACATGAACAGCACACAACAGGACAGAGTATACTGTGTCGCCCACGATACCCATGATGACGAAGATCAAAACAATGATGATATCGATCCTGTATATATTAATTTTCCTGAATTTAATGCGATCAACAATGAGTATTAAAATATAAATAAACAAAATCAGCTGAAAAACAAATTGGCAAAGATATCGTGTAATATAAGTAGCCGTATTGCTTACACTGTGGTGTAACAAAAATAAAAAAATGGTGAATACGATGATGAAAATTGTGAATATGATGATACACATTGTGAAGATGATTAAACTGGTGAATATGATGATGTAAATAGTGAATACGATGATACACATTGTGAAGATGATTAAACTGGTGAATATGATGATGTAAATAGTGAATACGATGATACACATTGTGAAGATGATTAAACTGGTGAATATGATGATGTAAATAGTGAATATGATGATACACATTGTGAAGATGATTAAACTGGTGAATATGATGATGTAAATAGTGAATATGATGATACACACTGTGAAGATGATTAAAATGGTGAATATGATGATGTAAATAGTGACTATGATGATGAACATTGTGAAAATGCTTGTAATTTTAAAGATTATATGTGAATTATATTTAAATGTGAAGATTATGATCATAATGGTGATGAGAATGATGGTGGAGATGATCAAATAACAATACCACTAACCACAACATCCACACAGAAAGTGGGCTTATGGTCCTCCCCGTATTTGTAGACGTCTTTGAACGTGAATCCGACGCCGAGCTCGTTCAATATCGATATGGGGTGTTTACTCCGTAAATCGAGCTCGGTCAGCTGTCTGATTTGTTGGGTCATGGTGTGCTTTGTTAACTTATGGCTCTAGAGAAACATATCACATTTTTATAACCCATTACTGAATTTTTTTTTCTTTGATGGGTGAAAATGGTGTGGTAACCCCGCCTGCGCTAACGGGATACGCCGGCGGAGCACCAGTGAAGGGTGATAGATGAGAATGAAAACAGGCCAGTTAGCCCATTATGATGAATTCATCAGGAATTAACCATGATAGTTTCCAGGGGGAACCGCGAGGAGGAGGTTTTCTGCCAGCGTCATGTATAAGAGGTTGAGATACAATCTCAACAAATTTCGCATGAACAAAAAAAAAAAAATATATATATATATATAATGTCGTATAGTATAGGTCAACCGGTAGCCGTGGGGGAAGAGATTGTTAGTAATGGGGACCCTAGTCCCCATTGCTATCAATATCCCCAATCAAGTCGATCACCAAGCGGCTTCCCCTGGAAACCAACTTGACTAATTTATCGTTGAATTCGTCACAATGGGTTAACCTGACCAGCTTCCTCCTAAAAGTATTAGGAGAACATAACCATACAGGTGTTAAGAGCTTCCCTATGAAGCAAGCACAACCAGTGTTTAACAAAAATACACCCTGGAAACCATCGTGCTGAATTCCTTGTGTATTCATCACGATGCGCTAGCTGACCTGCCTTTTCATTCTCACCTATCACCTCTCACTGGTGCCCCGCCATTTATTTATTTATAAAAAAAAACCGGTCGCCGTGTAGCTTCCGAATAGACCACCACTTCCTTTCCCATGAGTATTATAAAAACCGACTAAAGGAGGGTGGAGGATAGGCAGCAGCGGCCCTGTCATGAACAGTCTAAAGCCTGACGGCGGTTGCCAATCCACTTGCCAAGATTGGCAACTACTGGTAAAACGCCGCAAGGGGGAGGCTATGTTCAGGAGTGGACAGTTAAAGGCTGATATGCTGGAAATGATGATGATGATGATGGTAAAGATGATAACTTAATATAATTAAATACTAATTTATATTTCTTTTAACCAATAGTACATGATAATACTATGCACTTATACATCTAATATATAAAATTCTCGTGTCGCGGTGTTTGTTACCAAACTCCTCCGAAACGGCTTTACCGATGTTTATGAAATTTTGTGCGCATATCGGGTAGGTCTGAGAATCGGCCAACATCTATTTTCCATACCCCTCAATGATAAGGGTGACCCACCCCTATATATTATATGTATTTTTATTTTTTTGACAATTTTTTTTTATTTTAATTTTAATATGATTTAGCATTGAAAAATACATACAAATTCAAATTTACACGCTTTTACGATAAATTTTCATGTATAATTCTCAAAATAACGTATATGGTAAAACAACGTTTGATGAGTTAGCTAGTATGTATATATATTTATCTATTTACTTATTTACGTATTTATTTATTTATTTATTTATATATTTATTAACAATTTGTGTTTGTTGTATATATTTACATTATTTTCACCGGTACCTTTCCTGCACTGGATTACTCAAACTAAATCATTTTCTCTCCAACTACACTGGGTCGTCTGGAAGAGATCTCTTTCAGAGATAAGTCCTCCCTTGTTAACAAGTTGTTAAACTAATCGCTACATGTATTGTTTAAGTGCAATAAAGATATATATATATATATATATATATATATATATATATATATATATATATATATATATGTTGGTGCAAAGCTGAAGCGGTAATAAAATAAAATTTTTAAAAATGATAAAACAACTACCGCTGCTCGGGTCGCTTCTAAAAAGATCGACGTGATGGGATTGCTTTCATCCATCGCTTCGATACACATCGGCATTGGCATTTTTTTTTTCATTGACCATTCACGGACAAATTAATTTAAAACTTTTCATTCGCAACGGAAGCGGTGTACTGGTATCACCAATGACCATGAAACTGCTAAAAAAATATTAAAAAGACGTAGTTTTGAAAAAAAAAATTGAATTGAAAAAAAAAACATATTTGATAACATCACCAAAATGGTGTTTGAATGATTTATACCATAATTTACAAATCAGTATAGCACTTTATAATAAATACCGACGCCTATACTTTGTGTATTATTAAAAAAAAAAATCCATAGACAAATCGTAGATGAGCGTGTCATGAGTCGAATCTTTTCGACCAGTTCTCCACTTGTGCCCCCCTTTTCCCCCTACAGTGTAAGACTCCATCAATTAACAGATCACTATGGCATATTAGAATTCACATCAATGCCAACAAATTGTTTTTTTTTTTTTTCTTTAAAAACAAACAATTAGAGACGAGCGTACAGACAACGCGCGCATTCGTTCCACGACCCACGCGATTCTACTATCGTGATCTTTTAAAGCCATAAAATTCGCATTTTACATTACAGTCTCTTCTTAAACCACCACAATTGATAAGCCTGTCAAGATTAGATAAAACTAGCCACCGGTCCCGGCTTCGCACGGCTTCAATATTCGTTTGTGTAACTTTGAAACTGTTCAAAACATTTTAGAAAGGTTGGTATTTTGACGTGTCTGAAAGTACTGCACTAATATTCACTAAGATTTTAAAATGAACGGCTGGTAAATTTTTTTTTTATGCAACAGAATGGCAAGCAGGCTGACGGCCCACCTGATGGAAAGTGGTAACCGTCGCCTATAGACATGAGCAGTACCGTGGACGTAACAGAGTATACTGTTTCGCTCATGATACCCCCCACGTATACACGTATTGTATGGGATGGTGAAAGACATAAGCTACATTTGATCCCGACCAGTAAACACATCTAAGTCACGGGATAGGAGACTTTGTACAAAGGTCGTTTGCGACCTGTCGTTGGGTACCTCTGTCCCATTCGTGTTTCAACCGTGAAGCAGTTATGTTTGCATGGTTGTGTATCGGTTTGAAGGGTGGGATATGGCGTGAATTTACAGGGTACAGAGGAATAACACATGAGTCTTCAGGAATAGCAACGCATGGCGGGTATCATGGGCGAAACAGTATACTTTGTTATGTCCATGGTACTGCTCATGTCTATAGGCGACGGTTACTACTTTCTATTAGGTGGGACGTCAGCTTGTTTGCCATTCTAAGTTGCATAAAAAAAAACTAGTTTTTCACAAACATTTCCCACGTACAGACACCGTTAAGTTATAAGTTTATTATATTAATAAGAAATAAGAGAATATGTCCTTGGCACAATGCACAAGTTGTCTAGAATAAATACTACGTTTAACGTTCAAGCATTCGACTTGGAAATGTGGATTACAGTTATTTTTTCTGTTTACTTTCAATGCAAGCAATTTTAACGTAGGTTTTTATATTAAAAAATACAATTTACTCCCTAATATGTATGTATTTTATATATATATATATATATATATATTCTTTATTGCACTAAAACATACAGTAACAACAATAAGTTAATAACAATGTTAGCAAACGCGAACTTATCTCTAAAAGAGATCTCTTCCAGTCAACCTAACGCATCCGCATGTGCAAAAAATATAACAATGTATGCAAGGACCTTGATATTTTCCAATAATCCTTGTAATGTTTTTTTTTTATAGGTGAAAATGGTACGGTAACCCCGCCTGCGCTAACGGTATACGCTGGCGGAGCACCAGTGAAGGGTGATAGATGAGAATGAAAACAGGCCAGTTAGCCCATCATGATGAATTCATCAGGAATTAACCATGATAGTTTCCAGGTGGAACCGCGAGGAGGTCGACCTGGTTGGGTATATTGCTAGCAATGGGATTCTCAGTCTCCATTACTAACGATCCCTTTCCCCCCATCCTTGCAATGTTACATTAAGGCTGCCAATTTGTTACTTTAAATCTATAGCCGTTATTCTTTTAATGTATATAATATCGAATGTACCCTGTAGATTCACTGTCATACCCCACCGTTCAAACCGAAACACAGCCATGCAAACACAACTGCTTCACGGTAGAAACACGAATGGGACAGAGGTGGCCAAACAAACGACTTTTGTACAAAGTCTCCCTCTGGTAAGTAAATTTAAAAACTATCCTTTGTGCCGACTTCAAAATGAAGCAGGTTGTCATTCCGGTTGTATTTTTTAGTTTCCGTACCTTCAGAGAATAAAACGGAACTCTTATAGGATCATTTCGTTGTCTCTACAGGTGGACATCTGTCAAGACCCTTTCTCTTAGCAACGCGTAGAGATAAGTCGATATTAATATCATATACACAGGTCTGCAATCTCTTGAAGCAGTGAACAAATCAAGCTTCTAAATCGATGCAATCGAGAGATACGGCCGTTTATGTCCCTATTGTGTCGCATATTTTGACATTCGCAAAGGGAAACAAAACCTATTGGGTACTTCCCCTCGACTTAAAGTCTTGAAATTTGGCAATGTCATAGATAGATAATTTATTTGCATTACCTACTTACAGCACACAAATTACAACATACATATACAAAAAAAAAGTGAGAGAAATGTCATATAGCATAAGTAAAGGAAAAAAAATTGGAAACCGTAAATTTGTAGATATTTCAAAAAAAAAATTTTGCACGTAACCCTCGTTGCACGAGTCCGACTCGCACTTGACCGCCTTTTTTATACCACGACGGTGGCAAACAAGCATACGGCCCATCTGATGGTAAGCGGTCACTGTACACAGTCCATGGACACTTGCAACATTAGAGATGTAAACAAATTATAAACCTTTTGAGGTCAATCGAAAATGAAACAAAACACACCATGACAGATACGAAACGTCACTTTTCCCGCGCAAAATGGAGGAGCACAGATAAAACAAAAACACATAAAACAGCATAGATAGTGGAAACGTTTAAAATAATATCCTATATCGCCGACTATTTGTACACGTTTGAACAACCAAGTCGTACATAAAAATTAACAATGCAATCTTGTATTGCGCTTATCGACGGTCATTATGGAATAAAGACAGTTGTATGACGTTTGTATGACAAAAACGGTACTATCTATCTAATTGATAAGATTAGCTATTATATTGCGAAATAGGCGATACCATTTACACCTACCGTAATAACTTTTTTATGCAACTTAAATAAAGAAGCTGACGGCCCACCTGATGGAAAGTGGTAACCGTCGCCTATAGACATGAGCAGTACCGTGTACATAACGGAGTTTTCTGGTTTCCTGATACGCGGCCAGCGTATTCCGTCAGCGCAGGCGGACTTTGTACAAAAGTCGATTGCTTGTGTACCTCTGTCCCATTCGTGTTTCTACCGTGAAACAGTTGTGTTTGCATGGCTGTGTTTCGGTTTGAAGGGTGGGATATGGCGTGAATTTACAGGGTACAGAAGAATAACACCCGAGTCCTCAGGAATGGCAACGCATGGGGGGTATCATGGGCGAAACAGTATACTTTGTTATGTCCATGGCACTGCTCATGTCTATAGGCGACGGTTACCATTTTCCATTAGGTGGACCGTCAGCTTGTTTGCCATTTTAAGTTGTATAAAAAAAAAACATGACAGAGTTTTCTGTTTTCCTGGTACCCCGCCAGCGTATTCCGTTAGCGCAGGCGGTTTTACCATTCCATTATCATCCATTAAAAAAAAGAACTGCTTCCCGGCACACACACGAGTTAGACAGATGTACCCAAGCGGACCACTTACGCAGTGAAGCCTCCCTCTGGCAAATTACTCCAGAAACCTGTTATACCTTTAATAACGGGCATATAAATATAAAAGCAACTTACGTTAACAGCTACAGTGAAGCTGGGACAGTGGGCCGGTCCGCCTTGCCTCAAGACGGTATACGTGACCCGTACTCCGAGCTCGTTGAGCGCTGACACTGGCGACTTTCCACCTGACTGCACAGCCTCGGCTGCGTTGGCGAGCGCCTGGACAGCAGATACAAGCATAAGCGTTTAAGAAAGCTAGCTGACAATCAGCGCTGTGCAGCTGTTCACATTGCACCGGGACACTCGCAGCATCAGCTGAGCCAGTTTGCCATGGAATTGTTAGTAATGCCGATTAACAATTCCATTGCTTGCAATGTATCCTATAAAGTCAACATTGACGTAGCCTGGAAACCATTGTTCTGAATTCCAGGTGTATTCATCACGATGGGCTAACTGACCTGCCTTTACATCCTCACGTATCATGTGTCCCTGGTACCACGCCACTGTATACCGACAGCGCAGGCGAGGTTACCGTTCCATTATCATCCATTAAAATACCCTATCAGGTCGACCTCCACGCGGTTCCCTCTGGAAACCATAGTGGTTAATTCTTGTGGAATTCGTCACGATGTGCCAAGCCAACTGACCCGCTTTCATCCTCACCTATCATGCCTCCCTAGTACCCAGCAAGCTTATAGCAGGCAAAGCTACTCATTCCATCACTATCAAATTAACCCTTCTTTGCATGATTTTTTTTATTGGTGAAATAAATCAAGGTGATATAATTCATGTTCAAAATTAAAGGAAAAATTGTTAAAAAAAAAAATTGACAGCTATGTTCTTTTTTTCTGCAATGCACATTAAAAAGGTATCCAGACATGATCAACTTAAAGTGAACTTGGTCTTTTGTATAATTTTTGGGCGTTCAATGTTATGATGGAAATTTCCACCGTTGTACAAAGAAGGGTTAAAAAAATACATACATATTGAAAACTTTTTCGGAAACCTTTCTCAACCGATTTTAAAAAAAGGAGTAAGTTCGCAATGCAATTCGGTTATACGGCCGTATAACATTTTCTATACACTAGCCTGCTATGAATTGACAAATTTATCACTCCTTCTATGTAATTCCTTGCTCATAGACTGTACCACATTTTTAGCAATAATAGTACATTACTGCAGCGGCCAGCAACTGGAGCATTGATGGACGAACATGCGTGAGTCCATCAATGCCTAGTTGTGGCCAAGGCTTGTATAGTACTTTTCTCAAACAATGCGCGGAAATAAAAAATACAATTTTACTTTTTAAGTTCAATGACGAATAACGTACAATAATAATTTTTCACGCGCCATAATGTTCCTTTGTTTTTTCTTCAATAAACAGCTTTCTATTTGCAAGCCAGTTCGAAATTTAAATAAAACCTTTTATTAGTTACCTCCTTGGTAGCCATGTTTCGAAGTAAAAGGTCATTCCATTTTTAAATTACAGGACAGATATGAGTTTACATAGTAATTTATCTGGCCGCAAAACACGACAGATATGGATTTTCATACAACTTTTGCCGGCCGCTGCGCGCATGTATCTGGCCAGTACGGCAATTTTGATTTTTCTCTAAGAAGATTGTCAAAATAATGCTCACATTTCCAAGCATGTTTGAGAAAAATTCATTCATACATACATATAAACAGATATGGAAAATTATTTTTTATACGAATTTCAGTTTAGTACTATTGAAATATAATTCTGAATTAACGTTACACTTTGTATTTATACAAAATACTTTATATAGTAGACAGATAGTTTGATATATAGCTTACTAGCGGCCCGGCACGTGCTTCGCTACGTATAAAGTGAAATAATAAAAAAAAAAACATCAATATCGCTGACAATTTGTTTTAACCGAAGCACGTCCAAAATGAAATACCCTCATGAATGACATAACAACACGCTTGTATATTCTCCGGTTTTCCCAACATTGCCCTTCACTGCTCCGCTCCTATTGATCGTAGCGTGATGAAAAGTATACTATAACCTGCCCGGGAGTATGAAGAATAATTGTAGCAAGTTTCGTTAAAATCCGTCGAGTAGTTTTTGTTTATATAACGAACAAACAGACAGACAGACAAAAATTTTACTGATTAGATTTTTGTCATCAGTATCGATCACTAATCACCGCCTGATAGTTATTTTGTAAATATATTTCATGTACAGAATTGACCTCTCCACAGATTTATTATGAGTATAGATAGATAGATAAATAAATAACAGATAGCATTAAAAGAAGGGTAGTTAGAGGTAACTTTCTGTCACATTTAAGCACTTAAGCAATATTTCCGCTGTATACCTTTTTTCTTAATTCGATAATAATGGAATGGTAACGCAGCCTGCGCGGGGGGAAGGGATCGTTAGTAATGATGGTTACCAGTCCTATTGCTAGCAATATACCCAGTCAGGTTGACCTCCACGCGGCTCCCCCTGGAAACCACCGTGCTGAGTTCCAGGTGTATTCATCACGATGGGCTAACTGACCTGCCTTTTCATTCTCGCCTACCATTCCTCACTGGTACTCCGCCAGCGTATACCGATAGCGCTGGTGGGTTTGTGATGTATTCACTTGGAATAGAACACGATAGTTTCCAGGGGTAACCGCGAGAAGGTCGACCTGACAGGGTGTACACCTAACAATGGGGCTACTAATCCCCATTTTTAACAGTCCATTATCCTGCTACATACCTATTTTTTTTAATGGGTGTTGATGGAACGGTAACCCTACCTGCGCTAAGGGTATACACAGGCGGAGTACCAGGGACACATGATAGGTGAAGATGAAGCAGGTCAGTTAGCCCACGATGACGAATTCAACAAGAATTATTAAAATTTGGTTTTCAGGGGAAACCACGTGGAGGTCGACCTGGTAGGGTATATTGGTAACAATGGGGCTGGCAAACCCAATTACTAACAATCCCTTCCCCCCCCCCCCCCACTATATACCTATTAGGTATGCCAAATGTTTGTTTATTAATTAAAAACATTTTAAACTATTAGAACTTTAAAAAGTAAAATTTAAAAAAAAAACGCCAACCTGAAGATTCCATTTGAATCCAGCACCGAGCCGTATAGATGGCGCAGGGCGCTTTGCTGGTGGCTCTCCATCTGTACAAATAATCATTATTCCTTAAGTCTTCACAGCTGAACATAAGCTGCCATCCATACACTGCCTTTGTCATTGGGAAGGGTCCACCAGTATTTGCCACGCTTGGCAGGCGGATTGGCAACCGCAGTTAGGTTTTGGAGATGTTTTAAGAGGGACGCTGCTGCCCATCCCTCGCTTTCCCTTAGTCAATTTGTACATAAGTCGATTGCTTGGGTACCTCTGTCCCATTGGGATACAACTTTGAATGGCAAACAAGCTGACGGCCCACCTGATGGAAAGTGGTAACCGTCGCCTATAGACATGAGCAGTACCATGGACATAACAGAGTATACTGTTTCGCCCATGATACCCCCTATGCGTTGCCATTCCTGAGGACTCAGGTGTTATTCCTCTGTACGCTGTAAATTCACTGCCACATCCCACGGTTCAAACGGAAACACAGCCATGCAAACACGAATGGGACAGAGGTGCCCAAGCAATTGGAAATATTGGAAATTTTCCGCTGACTGAAAAAACCATGTCTTATTCTACATTTTTTTTACAATTTTTTTATTTGTATATTTTAGTGTTGGTCATTTTGTTAATTCGCGATTTAAATGCTTAATTCGGGAAGTTTTGCGACTTGCCACTAGACATAATGCCACTCGCTGGTTGTTTAAAACATGCTTCATTTGTTACGCGAGGCCCCGGGCGATTGCCCTGTTCGCCACCCCCTAAGGCCACCGCTGAGGCGAGGGATGGGCAGCAGCATCCCTTAAAAACATCTCTAAAGCCTGACTGCCGTTACCAATCCACGTGCCAAGCGTGGTAACTACTAGCAAATCCCCCCCAAGGGGGAGACATATATTCAGTAAAGGACAGTTGAGAACTGATACGATAATGACGTTCAGCTTGGTAATGTGGGACCAATACGGTATGGGGAGAATAGGGTCTAACTATTGCAATAAGAAATACTTAAAAAAAAAATACATACACCATCGAACGTGTAACCTCCTTCTTTTTTGAAGTCGGTTAAAAATGATTCAGACTCGTCGACGATATAGATTAAAAAAAAAACTAACGACATCAACCGTAGTACTGTAAAGTCTAAATAATGGGGAAAGTTGATAACTATATATGAAGGCATCCCCTCATCGAAATATCTTTTGTTAATCTAAATGTAAAGTGAACTGCCATTTCCGCGTTAAACTTCTCATTTGAGCCGTTTCACATGTAGTTTGTTATTTTATCACGCGAAATCTACTGAACTTATTTGAAAGAAAATTGGTAAACGGACATAAAATATACATACATATTATATACACTAATTCACGAAAGCAAAGCCATGCGATACGCCTAGTCGTGACTAAATTAATACAAAATCTACACGAGAGCAAATTATATCTAACACAATAAGTATTATAAATATTATTTCCAAACTGTCGTTTTACAATAAAAAAAAAAAGAACACCAGACGATAGACAACTCGTTTCTTTTGAAAGTAAAAAAAAAAAAACACTTAAACCTTTAGCATTTTAAATTACGAATTTAGAACACTAATGAACGTAGGAAATAAACAAACAAAAGAAAAAAAAAGAGACTCAAATTTGGAACAAACACGAAAGAATACAAAGAACGTTACCTAAATTTGTGTCGTCAGTTCTCAAGTTAGTGTCTCCAACCTCGCACATTTGGTGAAATTATTGAAAATAATTCAAAATACACTGGAAATTACACTGTTCGAATAATTGTTCAATTATATAAATATTTAGAATTGTTTTCTATAAATTACAAATTTTATGCTAGGAGAAACACATTGGCTGTTCGTGAAATTTTGTGGCGTTGAATATTCGAAACTGGGGGTAGGTAACACACAATTGTGTTAAACTCGCTATATCTATGGTAAACACATATCTGTCTACTGCCCATAATCATAGTGTAAATTCATTTTATAGTATTGACAGAAAATAAAAAAAAAAATAGATCTATGTAATCTAGTTTACTATGTCAAATTTATTAATAAATTTTTAAAGAGACTACCGACTAAACCGTCTTTCGAAAAAAAAACGTTCACGCTCACTTCTTTACTTTATCCGAGCAATGAGTGCTTTATATTATTCTCAATTTCGTGTACAATATAGTATATGTCATATATGTGTAAGTATATTTGTTATTTATATATATCTTTTCGTTTATATATGTAATTTTAGTATGTATGTATATCAATAATTACTAGTACCGCATTCGAGTATTCTGCCACTTGCCTACGGTTGACTGGGAGAGAATGCTTTCAGCATTAAGTCCGCCATGTACACATATATGTACTAATGAATGAATAATAATAATAATAAATCTGTATGTTTAGGCATACTTACATGTTTTGCCGCTGTGCGAGCGCTTCTGCGCCATAGATTCCTCGGCCGGCATCAGGAAGTCGGTTGTGGAGCTAATGTCACTGTTTGAATTCTGGACAGAGACAGGTATATTTATGATAAAAAAAAACCGAGCGAATACCAGTAACAAGTAATTCAATCTTATAATGCTTATATATAATATAAGCCATGGCACTGCTCATGTGTATATTTTTTTTTGGTGGTTGAAAATGGTATGGTAACCCCGCCTGCGCTAACGGGATACGCTGGTGGAGCACCAGTGAAGGGTGATAGATGAGAATGAAAACAGGCCAGTTAGCCCATCATGATGAATTCATCAGGAATTAACCATAATAGTTTCCAGGGGCAACAACGAGGAGGTCGACCTGGTTGGGTAATATACCCAACCAGGTCGACCTCCTCGCTAACAATGGGATTCTTAGTCTCCATTACTAACAATCCCTTTCCCCCCGCTCATGTGTATAGGCGACGGTTACCACTTTCCATCAGGTGAACCGTTAGATTATTTGCCATTCTAAGTTGCATAAAAAAAGTGAGTGAATAAATAAATATATAAAACTTTCTATAGACAAAAAAAAATATCGTTAATTATATCTGGTAAAAAATTAGGGCAAAGTTGCATTCAGCAAATAAAAAAAAAAATAACTGTATAATATACTTAATCTGTGGTTTAGGCCGATACTACGTGGAGTTTCATAAAACGACCTTTTTTTATTTATTAGGCTAGAGCATCGAGTAAAACGTGACAAAATTTTGTCAAGTAATTTGCAGTTTACTTGATTCAACATTTTAATGAAATAAATACATAACTCATCGTTAGTAATGCAAACTACCAGTCCCATTGCTAGCAATATACCCCCTCAGGTCGACCTCCACGCGGTTCCCCCTAAAAAACCATCATGTTTAATTCCTGTCCAATTCATAGTGGTGGGCCAACTAACCTGCATTCATTCTCACCTATCATCTTCCACTGGTGCCTCGTCGGTGTATACCGATAGCGCGGGCGGGGTTACCATTCCATTATCATCCATTAAGAAAAAATTACGCATGCGTATTAAACATTTTAATGTCAATTCATCATAATAAATGCACCGTTGAGTGACAACGTCAACAAACTGCATCTCTGCTTCGGTCTTGTTAATTACGAGATACAAATCTTCAATAACCTAATTTACTAAGCAAATAATAAATCTACATACATTTGACAGAGGGAGACTTTGTACAAAAGTCGTTTGCTTGGCCACCTCTGTCCCATTCGTGTTTCAACCGTGAAGCAGTTGTGTTTGCATGGCTGTGTTTCGGTTTGAACGGTGGGATATGGCGTGAATTTACTGGGTACAGAGGAATAACACCTGAGTCCTCAGGAATAGCAAAGCATAGGGGGTATCATGGGCGAAACAGTATACTCTGTTATGTGCATGCTACTGCTCATGTCTATAGGCGACGGTTACCACTTTCCATCAGGTGGGCCGTCAGCTTGTTTGCCATTCTGAGTTGTATAAAAAAACATATATGACAGTCACTGAAATAGTCGATTTTAGTCCGGAATCGATTATTTTTTTGTATTAGGTACACAATCGTACAACCAAATTATGCACAAGCGTTCGACTCATGGTTACTTCTAGGAATGCTTCCAAACCCAAAAACAAAGGAGCAACAGCAGGGCAATAACTTCACACGGGACGTAATTATTATAAACAATAGAATAATGACGGGGGGAATGGGATTGTTAGTAATGGAGACTGAGAATCCCATTGCTAGCAATATACCCAACCAGGTCGACCTCCTCGCGGTTCCCCCTGGAAACTATCATGGTTAATTCCTGATGAATTCATCATGATGTGCTAACTGGCCTGTTTTCATTCTCATCTATCACCCTTCACTGGTGCTCCGCCAGCGTATCCCGTTAGCGCAGGCGGGGTTACCATGCCATTTTCACCCATCAAAAAAAAAATTGAGTAATTACAAATTATTAGAAGGAAACACTTTGCGACATTTCTGGCTTGATTTAAACATCTTGCCATTACTGGGGCGCGAAATGGTAGTTTTTATTTCTTACTCTGCTATCAATACGAGGTGTTTGAAGTGACAGGCGGCCATATTGTTAAAAACCTTATTTTCCCGCCATCATGTTTTTCTTTTTTAAATCACTTATCCCAATTTCTAATAAGTCATCATTATCATATGTCAATGAAAGATGTCGATATATATATATATATATATATATATATATATATATATATATATATATATATAGGGTTACCATATTGTACATTATTACTCTGAGGGCCTACCATGAAATGTTTTACGAAATTTCGGAGCCAAACAAAACACAAATTTGATGTTAAAATTACATAATACAAATTACATATTGTTCCTTTGGACTTTTACGATAGGATGTATGACGAACGAATTGTTAAACACCATTTATTGGTCCGATTTTGGTATAAACAAAAACACGAAATTGAGTCCGAAATTTCGGAATCTCATTTCACGGTAGACCCGCAGTATATGGGAGAAATTATATTGTAAGTGAAAAAATAAAAACCATGACGAAATTCTTAGGAATTTACTGAAAAAAAAAAAATTTTTTTATGCAACATGGAACGGCAAACAAGCTGACGTCCCACCCGATGGAAAGTGGTAACCGTCGCCTATAGACATGAGCAGTACCGTGGACATAACACAGTATACTGTTTCATTGTATATACTGTTGCCATTCCTGAGGACCTTTTTCTATAGAAATATAATACAATGATAAATTATACATTTAATAATATAAATAATACTTACAAATTCTTCGAATGTGTCTGAAAAAAAAATTTAATATTTAATAACATATGTTCCTCATCTAGATTTAAAATAAGTGAAGCTTGCACTATGATTACTAGACAATAGAGAGACATACTTAAATAGTTTTCCCTACAAATATATAATAATAAAACTTATAACTACTCCTCTCCATCCAAAGGTGGCGTGCAAGAGATCGCTCTCAGCGATAAGGCCGCGCATTGTTCTCTCAGTGCAATATTACCTTGTAATTGTTTGTGTCTATAATAAGTTTACTATTGTAATCTTATGGAGGGAACAATAAAGAGTACCTATCTATTTATATACATACTACGGGGAGAAGGGATTGTTAGTAATGCAGACTACAAGTTCCATTGCTAGCAATATACCCTATCAGGTCGACCTATATATGGTGTCCCTGGAAACCATTGTCCTAAATTCCAGGTGTATACATCACGATGGGCTAACTGACCTGCCTTTTAATTCACATCTATTAGCAATAATAAATGTGGTCAATTCTATACTGGGATTACATGCTAGCTAAACCCATAAGGATAAGCAGAAATAATAGAACACCAAACGCTTTGATACAATATATATATTTTTCTATCATCGTAGGGCTCACCATCCACAGGGAGTTCACTCTCATACCTTACAGCATAAATGGTCGCGTACAACACGGTTTCAGAGATGTTTTCTCCCCGAACACTCAGGTTATGGAATGAGCTCCCTGCCGAGGTTTACCCAAGAGACTACAGCATGGGGTTCTTCAAAAGGGGGGGTAATGAGGATTGACAACGCACAGTAACAGCTTACCATCAGGTGGGCCGTATGCTTGTTTGCCACCCCAGTGGTATAAAAAAAATATATATATAATATGTAATACATACATGAAGGGGGAAAGGGATTGTTAGTAATGGAGACTGAGAATCCCATTGCTAGCAATATACCCAATCAGGTGGACCTCCTCGCGGTTCTCCTTGGAAACTATCATAGTTAATTCCTGATGAATTCATCATGATGTGCTAACTGGCCTGTTTTCATTCTCATCTATCACCTTTCACTGGTGCTCCGCCGGCGTATCCTGTTAGCGCAGGCGAGGTTACTATAACATTTTCACCCATCAAAAAAAAAAATACATACATGTAAAGTTGCATATGAAACCACACAAGTTTTATACCTGCATTTTGTCACTAAATTAAACAATTTTAGAAAATTATAAGAATTTGTTAAGAAGAAGTCGTTACTCCACTAACTCATTCTTTTCTTCTTCTTCATCATACAAAATGATTTAAGTGCCAAAGCACCATAAATTGGGAGGGAAAACTTGAATTAAGATCTAAGGCTACTTTTGCCTTTATAGGAAAAGATCTTTTCTACTTCATAGGTTTTTATGGTAATAGTGACAGCCCAATAGTACAGAGAAAGTACCAGGATGACATGAATGTAGCAGAGCATTGCATAAGTTTGATATGTGACAGTTTCTTGTTGACAAGAGTACAGTTACAAGTTTACAAGTTCTATAACAGTACAATCACAGTACATTGACACTATCATTTGAAATAAATCTATATGCCAGGCCATGTGGCCATAATAGTAACAGTAGTTTTCTATGGGGAGAGAGCACTGCTGCTGCAGTGACAGACAGAGTGTACAGAGAAAGTACCAGGACAATATGAATGCATCAGAGCATTGTATGAGTTTGTAAGGTTCTTGTTGACAGTAGCACATTGGCAAAGGAACACATTCTCAGTACTAGTTAAGGGAAAACTAAGATTAATAGCCCGTACCAAGCGGCTTGACCTATGTAATAAAAGCTTTTAATAAATTGAAATAAGAAAAAAATTATATATTATAATTTTTTTGGCTTCAGTAAGTACACCTATAGAATTTGAAAGTCATGATTTAAATATAGAATATGAGGCCACATTAAAGCAAGTACCTGTTTCTCTATTCAAATAGAAAAAAAATTTAAAAAAAAGCGCGAAAATAGATAGGTTATATTTTAAAATATTTAGTTCTCGTTACTACTACTAAATAAGTATAACCTATACTTTCTATTAAATAAATATAACTAGACAGATTGAACAAAGATAAGAGGCTTACCATTCCGAGTAAAATCCATTGAATTATCAAATTCTAATCGTTTCATAAAATTAGCACTTATTTGTAATTGGTATTTACACTTTTTCTTTGATTTATGGTCACTATAAATGTTATATCTCAATAAAGATATATATTTTACATTAAATGTATTTTAAATTTAAAAGTTCACCTATTGATAAATTAATAACAAAACGAATTTCAAAAATATTCAATGATGTAAACAATCACGTTTTGTTACAGTACGGATTATTGATACGCGTTTGGAAATTTCCGATTTTGCGAGCTATGATTTAAGTGTCAAATGTACATTTAGAGGGGGAATTGGAGAATTTCTGAATCTATGCCTAGTACAAAATAACAAGATTACCTCTAGAATCGTAATAATGGAACGCAATCAATACACAAAAAATCAATAAAAATATTGATTTCTTAATACAATAAAATTATAATGCCACCATTAAATTACATATTTGCAAATTTACAGTTTGAATTGTTTCGTAAGTATTAATTTCAATATTTGTCGAAATTTGTTATTTTTCATACAAGAACAAGTGGAATTTGGCATACCTACGTCCGCCATTTTGAAGAAAATGTAAAATGACGGCCTGCAACCAAAATAGGATTAATCGATAAGGGATGCTAACTAAATGATATTGTGTAATAAATAACATAATATATCGCGTTTCTCAGCTAATATAATGCAAATAAAGTGTAAAAGAAAACGAAATGAATGGTGGAAGACTACTGTTATTTGTTTAATCATTCGTTCCTTCTCACTCGTCTTAGTCTCCCTCAATCTTTCTTTTGTCTTTTGTTCAGTTTCATTCAGTTTGTCATAAGATATCGAAGTGTTTAGACGTTACTCGGTGGTAAACAAATTTGCGTTTTGTTTTTGTTTCAAATAACATGTCTGAGGGAGAACAAGCAAAAAAATGTTTTTTCTGTGGTATAAGCACTGTTTCTCGTGCCAGACGCAATGGACCTATGGTACGCACTTACCAATTAACTGAACGTTACTTGACCACACGTCCACATATTTTAGCCTATGCTAAACATATGTTTGATATATTTCATGTGAGTATATTTACATTTTCTTCCTTTTTACTACATAATATTAATTACCTAAAAAAAAAAAAATTAAATGAAAATTGAAGGTAGATGCCAAACTTCAAAATAATAATAGCATATACCTCTACTTACTTGTATACAAGTTCCTTCAGTGTTTTTAAAATTTCTTAGTTTTCGTAATTTTAAATTAACTATTTTATTAAAATAAAAAGTAAAATGATTACATTGTGTCTTATTTAAGTAGCATTTTTAAATTTATATCATAATTAAAATACCTACATAATTCGTTGGTCAAATAGAAGTTTTTAAGTTGCCATAATAAAAATATATAGAAAAATTTACTTTTTTTTTCAATAATCTTAACGTGCAAAGTAAATTTGCATATACAGCCATGTTCATATATGTATGAAAACAGACGTAAATGAAATTATCTTAAGGTAGTAAGTAATATCATGTGCGAATAAGGTTTTTAAGTAAGATTTTTTCTATTCCATTATAAAACAATTAAACGTGACATTATAAATTTACAACTTACCCAATTGCTGCTTTATTACAGATATCGGACGACGATAAAGCGTGTCGTCCGTGCACTCAACGTGCTGAACGTTTCTACAAAAAACAGCAAACTGAGGAGGCACGACGTGACGTAGCTGTTGAATACGTGTCGTCGTTGTTATCAGTCGAAATCTCAGATCATCCAGTGGATCCTTTAATGTCTCCACAACAAACTTCCGCTGAGCACGAAACCGAGAATGAAGAATATTCCCCCGCGCTTCATATTGTTCAGGCAAAGCCCAAAACTCAAAGATTGAACATTGATGGCTTTAGAAGACTATCTTCGACATCCACATACTGCATCGTGGCTGGCTGCAGTAAAAAGGATTTACACAGAATTAACAATGTCCTGAGAACGTATATTCTGTCATTGAAAAGCATTTACGTGCCTGGCGAGGCGCGAGTGTGCTCTGAACACCAGGAAGGCGAAGTTTGGCAGAATATCGAAGAATACAGCCGTCCAATGCACAATAATTTTAACAGTGAACAAATAAGAGATATGTTGATATTACTACAGAAAAAAGTACTCTCGTTTTCCAAATCTGTCAATCGTTAATCGCCATTTGCCACCATATAAGTTAGATAAAATTTCTCTTACCTTCTGTATTGAACGATTGGTTCGGATAGATTGAATAGGCCGTACAGAGATCAACCCGCACGATGAGTAACTACAAGAACTTCTGACGTTCTCGGTATATACAAATCTAAAATTTATTTATTCCCTCCGAAAAAACATGTTGCTATTGGCAATGGAACGTGTGTATACAGAGAACGGCAATAACTGCCGTTATTTGTACAAACTTGCTTTGACGTTGGCTTTCAAAACCAGAGAGTCTTATAAACTATTTTTGCTCGTAATCATTGTTCGTTCTACCGAATCTCGTACTCCAGAATCTCTTAGCAAAGACGTGTTTAAGACTCATACGTTTTTTATAAACGCCATTTATAGCCAAGAAGTAATTCTGGAAAATAATCTCTTTATTTATTTATTTGTAACACATGCAGGGCGGAATATGTCTTTACTTGCTCTGGACTATAGAGAGAAGATGAAAAATGTGGCATAAAGTTTACGTGCCAGTACAAAATTGAATAACAGGAGTCTTGTGAAGTGACTATATTCCGCTGTCAGGTGAAAGGACAAATTAAAAGACAATTTCGTCAAATGAGTATATACTTATTTGAAGTTAAAATATTTTAACTTGAAAATACAGTTTATGTTGACGTTTATGAGTACAATGAATCTCGCTTAATGGAAAACGCGTACACAGTATATGTTAAATAAGAAAAAGGAACAATCATATCCAGCAATTTACGCGAGCAGTCCACAGAATGGACACCGTAATATGACGTGAAAAAGTACATTTGCTGTGTGTTTGGCCAAATTAGACTTATACCATTGACATATGATTGAGCTTAATTTGTGTCACAGTCATTCCATGATAGATATAGCGAGAAATCTTCGTATTAGACGATGTAATAGTGACGACGTGTGATTTCATTATTTTTGCCATTCAAACGAGACATACCAGTTTGGTTTATATCTTGATAAATGTTTAGAAGGCAGAAGTCTACAAGGGTGAAATTGAGGCTTCTATACGACAAGACACTACTGTCTACTAATGGGGCTGGGGAAGAGATTGTTAGTAATGCGGTCAACCAGTCCCATTTTTGACAATATAATTTATCAGGTCGATCTCCACGTAATCCGTTTGCTTGGGCACCTCTGTCACATTCGTGTTTCAACCGTAAAGCAGTTGTGTTTGTATGGCTGTGTTTCGGTTTGAACGGTGGGATATAGCGTGAATTTGCAGAGTACAGAGGAATAACACCCAAGTCCTCAGGAATGGCAACGCATGGGGGGGGGGTATGATGGGCGAAACAGTATACTCTGTTATGTCCACGGTACTGCTTGTTTGCCATTCTAAGTTGTATAAAAAAAGTCTCCTCTGGGAACCATCGTGCTGAATATCCGCTGTATTCATCACGATGGGCTAACTGATCTGCCTCATCCTCGCCTATCATCCCTGAATGATGCGCCATAAGCGTAAACCTTAAGCGCAGGCGGGGTTACCATTCTATTATCACCCATTAAAAAAAATACTGCCTACAAAGGTAGAAACTCAAGTAGATATCACATGCGTATAGTGTAAACTCAGCGTTAGTGGTCGAGTCGAGATCATAAGCCTAATTAAGAGACACGTGTGAAGGGGGGGGGGAGTACATCCAGCCCAGAATTGTTTGGTGTTATCACAATGTGAGGGACATTTTTAGATATGCAAGAGACATATCTAAGAGTACGTATATGTGGCATTTTAAACTCCCCCCCCCCCCCCCCATCCACTAGAAAATAATCCTTAATAAGATAATGGTCGAAATCTGTTACTGTTATGTACTTAGAGACTCATAAATCATATTTTAAACCATCAATGGTATATTAAAAAATGATGTGAAATAGTATTTTATATATTGTCTAAATGATTCTCAAGAATGAAGAAAAATAAAACACAATATTCTAGGTACATATTACCTATTGTTTTATTTGTAGACGTTACAATGGCATGCCCCTGCAAATTTTTACTTAAATATCTGTTATATACAGATGATTATTTGCGAGGAAATATATTCAGTAGTGGTCTGCCCAGATGATCGAGGTTCAAACGATGTTAGATGCCACAAATACAATTTTAATTTACTGGGTACAGAGGAATAACACCCGAGTCCTCAGGAATGGCAACGCATGGGGGGTATCATGGGCGTAACAGTATACTCTGTTATGTCCATGGTACTGCTCATGTCTATAGGTGACGGTTATCACTTTTCATCACGTGGACCGTCAGCTTGTTTGCCATTCTAAGTTGTATAAAAAAAAAATAGAATGCTTTTAAAAAAACATTTTGCCACAGGCCAAAAACACCAGATATAGTTCATATACTATAGATGCAAGAGGGGTAGATGATTTACCAGCAAACACTTGGTAAGCAATTAGTATATTTAAGTATTACATAGTAGAATTGCTTTCAAATAGCTAGATGGTTTAACCTTCCTTCAATGCGATTTTTAAAAGATAAAATTCACAATAGTAATTTTAGTTCCTAAATTGCTCTACAGAGGCAGCACCAATAATCAATGATTGTACATCATGTTAGGATAGTGTTTTAGGAACTTTTTACAATTGCCCATTGTGGCTAATATAGATTGCAAGGTTTTGTGTAATAAATATTATTAAATCTATTGGGTTATTTATGGATATTTACGTATCTGATCTTTATATTTATGTAAAATATCTATATAATACAGTTTTAAAATATTAAATTTGTTAAAGCTTCCCTTTTATAATTAACAACTATTATTGAGATTAGGTATCACATTTTTTTACAAGTAATTAATTGGCACTTGTGTTTTTATAACATAACCTAAAACAATTTCATATCCTTAACAAAATTAACTAATTAATTATAGTCCATTTGGAAGGTCTCTCACATCTCCCCCTGTCTGGGCAAAGTCTGTTAAATGTAGTACTGCTACGAAACCCAAGTATCTCCCTCTCTTCCTGTATCCGAAATGTGAATGTGCTTTCGTGCGTACCAATAAAATAAGCACTGTGTGCGCAAATAATCTGTTCGATTATTGCAATACCACCATCTCTGTATGTGTCTATTTGTTTTTTATTTGGCAAATAGATATAGACTTTATAACCTAAATCAGTAAGTTTAGTTTCCAATTGCTTCAACTCGGTGGCTTTTGCATCAGATGCTATGAATACTTTTTTAATGTTTGGTGCATGTTTTTTAAATGCAGCGTCGATTTGTGTAATAGTGCCATCTATAGACGGTACGTCACTACTACGACTGTAGGCAAAATCTTGCCGTCTCCAATGCACACTGATATAACTTTCACATTTCTCAATATTACAGTCGAGATTTTCAAAGATATACTCTTTTGCTACTTCAATAAGGTTCGTATTAAATTTCATGCTCTTGCGACAATCCCAATAAATTTTCGTACCATAACTATCATGTAATGGTATCTCTCCATGTGCAAACATGACTTTCTTATCATTCGGATGTTGCATTATTATTTCCCATAGCTTAGAAATTTTCCCCTGGAATCTCACACACACAATTTCCCCCACCGTTATGTTCTTGTATCCCCAAAAACCACCATCATAGTCACATTCTTTCACAATTTGCCACTTTTCATAAAAAACACCATTCTCGAATGGATCCTCAAAGTTTAGTAACACATACAATGTGTCGATTTTTATTTTTTTTCTTTCACCAAATATTTCGTAAATCTCTAAAACTGGCGCGAAAGATTTTAAAGATTCTACATCAAAGAACGCACTCCAAGGAATAGGATCGTTCTTCTCGACCATCGATCGCCAGTGGTACAATCTATGGAAAGGCGGCAAAATTAACCTCCAATTTTTTCTGCCGCGTTTTATTGCCCCCGATAACATAATAGCAAACCTCATGTACACATCACGTCGTAAATTAAACCCTTCGGGTGGATTTACATCGTAAAATATCAATTTTGAATCTTCGACAGCGGTGACTTCGTTGCTACAGCTTTTTGTAGATATATCGCAATAGCCTAAGTCAGAATCATGGCTAGCAGCGCTGATCAATAGGCTTGTAATTATGATTAATGGTAAATGCATAATTTTAATGTAGTTGCATAGAAATTAAAAAAATAAATTATTCGATAATTATTTTATATTTACAATTTTGACATTGACCTAACGCTGATGGTTAGTGACAGTTCAAGGAAATTGAACGAATGAATGACATTTCGATGTTGATGTGTTCTTTTCCTTTTGAAATATTAAGTAAACGAGTATCGTTTTAGAACTGTCCTGCAATTAAAAACCATAGGTCACTATTACATAAGAATTAAACTGATCACATTTTATATCTAAGAAATAAATATAGATCATACACAAATAAATCTTGTTGAGCATTTTAACAAAAATATAATATTAATTTTTACACAAAAGAAAAATTATATTGTAATGAACGCTACGTAACGAATTTCGAATTTGCATTCAGGCAACACGGTTTAATCTGATGTCATTCATCATTCATTCATGTGTCACTTTTTAGAAAATTTATCTAAATGCTTTTACCACGAATTATATATTAGTAAAAATTCATTGAAACGTTAAGATCTCGTATAGAATATAAACAATGGAGTTAAACGACGTGATAGTCAATCAACCAGTTGTCATAGACAATGTAAACAGTTTTTTAATATTAACAAACTACATTTCATAACATGCCAGACACACCTAAATTTACTTATAAAGAATTGAACAAAACGTTGCTTTTACTATCGAGAATTGGGTCAAATACCGTCTATTTATACTATAATGTGTTTCAGTCGATATTGTAGTTAGTTTTCATACAGTAATATAATAAAATGAGTCATTCAGTTTACGTCAACTTATTCCCTTGTAAGATTCATTATACCTCTATTTACCGGTGTTCTGCAGGGCTCTGGTGTCATCAAAGCTGGTTTTGCCGGCGATCAAATACCGAAATGCAGATTTCCCAATTAGTAAGTACATATTACTCTGTACGTAAAAAAGATTAATATTTGCTTGTAGGTATTTATTTAGTTAACACAATTGTTTGTATTTTGTTGTTTATAGTAATAATAATTTATTTACATAAATATGGCTAAAATAGATCTTATATAGTATTATAGAGTCATATATTTTTTTATCGCAATAAATTTAATTTTCATCACATAAATCCATTTCTGTTTTGCCAAACGTTGACTGGGAGAGAATGCTATATAGTATTAAGTCCACCTTTTGTACCAGACATTTTTTTTTTAACGTAGTCAATAAAGAATATATATATATATATATTCTTTATTGACTACGTTACAAAAAAAAATGTCTATATATATATAATTATATATATATAATATAAATATATATATATATATATATATATTCTCAATTATTAATTTTAGTTAATTCCAGATTTTACAGTGACAATACTTTGTTCTAATTATTAAGAAATTATAATTAGACAATATATGATGTCTGTATATGGAAAATTTATTTATTTATTTATTGATGAGAAACTAATAAATTTAATTTTGTCTGTTTAAAAATTGTCACAATATTGTACACCACTCTACCCGCTGACATTGATGCTCCTTTCCACTTTGGGTGTTGCTGGAAGAAAACTATCATAGTTAAGCTCACCTTTGTACTTTTGATTACCTCTGTCATATTCTTAAAACAAGTGTGTACAATAAAGAATTAAATAAATAAATAAATAATATGACAAGTTTTAATAAGCCTATTGCCATCTGGCAGTACAATAATGTTTAGAATTTATGTCTATCTTTATATGGGTTTATCTATATTTTTTTATTTTATTTCAATAGGTACACATTAGGGGGAGAAGGGGTTGTTAGCAATGTGGATTACCATTGCTAGCAATAAACTCTATCAGGTCGACTTTCTCACTGTTCCCCCCTGGAAACCGTCTTGATTGGTTCATTGTTGAATTCATCACGATGGGCCAACTGATCTGCTTCATCCTCACCTATCATGCCTCACGGGTGCCCCGCCGGTGTATACCGATAGCGCGGGTGGGGTTACCATTCATTTATCATCCATTAAAAAAAAAATAGGTACACATTACAGAGAATTAACAATGTTACATTAATTTATACAGTACAATAATGTTTTGTTCAAGCTAACCCTCCAAAAATATGCGTAAACAGCGTGATCAAAACATAAACACACGGCTAAACAAGTCTGTAAACACAATATGTATGTATATGTATATTTATACAACAAAAAAACTGTTTAACTTATACATTAACAACTATAAAGGTAAATACACAAACACATGTCCTCTCTCTCTCTTTCTCTCTCTAGATATCAGTTGTTTTGCCATTGTTAGTTGCATAAAATATGTATGTCTGTATGTTCGTTTTGGCGTCACGCAAAAACTGATTTGTCAAATTAGATGCAGTTTGCACGTTTGTATTCTTGAAGGGCTAACTTGAAATTTGGTATTATATCATGATATACAACCTAGAAGTGGACAGTTAAATTGATTTTCTTACTTCTGGAACCTCTGAGGAATGATAGGTGAGGATGGAAGCGGGACTACCTGGTGAGTCCCATAAGAATTAATCACAATGATTTCCTGGGGAAGCCATTAAGGATTTTTGATCATCCATTAAAAAATGGAATGGTAACCCCACTTAAGTAAAGAGTAGGGGGTAAGGGATTGTTAGCAATGGAGTTTGACAGCCCCATTGCTAGCAATATGCCTTATTAGGTCGACCTACACATGGTCCCCCCAGGAATCCATAGTGCTGAATTCCAGATGTGTTTTTTTTTTATGGGTGGTAATGAAATAGTACCCGCGCTATCGGGATACACCGGCCTGGCACCAGTGAGGGATGATAGATGAGGATGAAGCAGGTCAGCCCATCATGACGAATTCAACGAGAATTATTCACGATGGTTTCAAGGGGGAACCACATGGAGGTCGACCTGATAGAGCTATTGCTAGCAATAGGGCTGTCAAACTCCATTGCTAACAATCGCTTTCCCCCATTCCACATGTGTTCATTTTAGTGACCTCCCTTTTTCATCTTCACCTGACATCCATCACTGGTGACCCGTTAGTGTATACACCTATCCCCCGATTTACACGGTACTTGTTTTACACGTTTTCGCTTTTACACGGTTTTCCAAATAAGTTTTTTTTTTGTTTTTATCGCACTCTACTAAATGCTACTGTGTTTGAACACGTGCGCTGTGTACACATCTCACGGGGAATCCCGAGCTTATGTGCTGACTTGCTGCACATGCACACTGTGTCTGTATTTCTTCGCATAAAATTAAAGTTTTATCTACGGAAAATTGTATTTGAGTGAAAGTTTCACAGTGTCAGAAAGATTTAATTTTTCATATTCGTAAATTACAAGTGAGTGCATAATTAAGATTTTTATAAATTAACATAAATTAAAAAAAAAATTATAGGCTTATAATGTCGAAAGAAGTTAAAAGAAAAGTTATTTCTTTAAAAAATAAAATCGAAAGTTTGGATCGCTTACGAAAGGGAGATAGAGTTAGTAGATGTTGCAAAATCATATAACATGAACGAAGCTACAATAAGAACTATTAGAACAAATGAAAATTTTTATTTTTATTTCTGTGTACACGTAAAAATATTGAAAAAAATCACAATTGTTAAATAGCAAAATTATGCATTTTCTGCAAGCTGTTCGATTTACACGGTTTTGACTTGAAAATTTTTAATTTTCGATTTACACGTTTTTCTCAGGAACGTATCTACCGTGTAAATCGGGGGATAGGTGTACTGTTAGCGCAGGTAGGGTTACCATACCATTATCACCTATTAAAAAAAAACACATTAATTGATACAAAAACTTTCTGTCAACAGCATTGGACGACCCAAACATGTCCGCGTCATGGCGGGAGCGCTGGAAGGGGAGCTGTTTGTAGGGCCTCGCGCTGAGGAGCACCGGGGATTGCTCAGCATCAAGTACCCCATGGAGCATGGTATAGTCACAGACTGGAATGATATGGAGCGAGTGTGGAACTATATTTATAGCAAGGTCAGTAAATTGGCAATATAAATATTTTTATGTAGTATATATAATACATATATTGCTGTGTAATCCTGGCATAGAATGGGCCATCCTCTCCTTTCCCATGGATGTGGTAAAAAGGAATTAAGGGAATTTAACGGTCAAAGGATGGGCAGCAGTGTCCTTTATGAAACATAATCAAAGCCTAACTGCGGTTGCCAATCTACCTGCAAAGTGTGACTACTGGTAAACCCCCCAAGGGGGAGGCTTATGTTCAGCAATGGACGGTTATGGGCTGATGTGATGAACTATAATTTTGTATGCAACAGTATTTTTTCTCAAACATGCTTGGAAATGTGAGCATTATTTTGACAATCTTCTTTGAGATAAATCAAAATTGCCATACTGGCCAGATACATGCGGACAGCGGCCGGCAAAAGTTGTATGAAAATCCATATTTGTCGTGTTTTGCGACCGGATAAATTACTATGTAAACTCATATCTGTCCTGTAATTTAAAAATGGAATGACCTTTTACTTCGATACATGGCTACCAAGGAGGTTACTAATAAAAGGTTTTATTTAAATTTCGAACTGGCTTACAAATAGAAAGCTGTTTATTGAAAAAAAAAAACAAAGGAACATTCTGGCGCGTGAAAAATTATTATTGTTCGTTATTCGTCATTGAAATTAAAATTAAAAGTAAAATTGTGTTTTTGATTTCCGCGCATTGTTTGAGAAAAGTACTATACAAGCCTTGGCCACAACTAGGCATTGATGGACTCACGTATGTGTGCCTCGGCTACGCCTCGGCCCACATTTGTACGTTCGTCCATCAATGCCTCAGTTGTTGGCCGCTGCAGTAATGTACTATTTCGCTATGTGGCCCCAGCATAGAATGGACCACTCCTTCCTTTCCTGTGGGTATCGTAAGAAGTAACTAAAGGAACTTTATAGTCTTAAAAAGTCCAAAGGGCCAACTGCCTTAGCAACCTCTCTGTTAGGGGAAGAGATTGTTAATAATGAGACTTAACACCCCCATTGCTAGCAATACACCCTATCAGGATGACCTCCACGCGGTCTCAGTCTCCATTACTAACAATCTCTTTCCCTCTCGGACTCAGGTGCTATTCCTCTGTACCCTGTAATTTCAACCTTTCAATGTACAATTCAATTCATAAACTCTCATCTCAGGACCAACTGTCCACGTTCTCCGAGGAGCACCCCGTGCTGCTGACGGAGGCGCCTCTCAACCCGCGCCGCAACAGGGAGAAGGCTGCCGAGGTCTTCTTTGAGACCTTCAATGTTCCAGCGCTGTTCCTGTCCATGCAGGCGGTGCTCAGTCTGTAAGTCATCCATTCATTAATTTCAGACATTATCCGTCCACTGCTGGACATAAGCCTTTCCCATAGACAGCCATGAGGAACGGTCCTAAACCAGCTGCATGCACTGACTCCCTGCAATGCATTTGAGGTCGTCACTCCATCTAGTGGGGAGTCGCACTAAACACAGTCTCTGTAAGTCGCTACATGATAAATAGATAGATGGGGAATCTCTATAGGAAGCTTATTATAGAAACCGGCCTATACGTAACTATCCTAACTATATATATATATATATATATATATATATATATATATATATACACACACACTTTTTATTGCTTCCTCCATAATTTTTTAATGGATGATAATGGAATGGTAACCCCGCCTGCACTATCGGCACTATTCACTGTGGGGCACCAGTGAGGGATGATAGGTGTGAATCTAAAGATAGGTCAGTTAGTCCATCGTGATGAATACGCTTGAAATTCAGCACGATGCTTTCCAGGAGTAGCCGCGTGGAGGTCGACCTGATAGGGTGTATTGCTAGCAATGGGTCAGTTAGACCCCATTACTGACAATCACTTTCCCCCCTCTCTCAATATGTTGCAGCTATGCAACTGGTCGCACGACGGGCGTGGTGCTGGACTCCGGCGACGGGGTGACCCACGCGGTGCCCATATACGAGGGCTTCGCGATGCCGCACAGCATCATGAGGGTCGACGTGGCCGGCCGCGACGTCACCAGGTATCTCAGGTCAGTACATCGCGTATTTTTTTTTATACAACTTAGAATGGCAAACAAGCTGACGGCCCACCTGATGGAAAGTGGTAACTGTCACCTATAGACATGAGCAGTACCGTGGATATAATAGATTATACTGTTTCGCCCATGATACCCCCCATGCGTTGCCATTCCTGAGGACTCAGGTGTTATTCCTCTGTACCCAGTAAATTTACTGCCATATCCCACCCTTCAAACCGAAACACAGCCATGCAAACACAACTGCTTCACGGTTGCAACACGAATGTGACAGAGGTAGCCAAGCAAACGACTTTTGAACTCTCTATTGCACCGGAAACAAAATGATAATTGAATAATTCAAGTGAAATACAGTAACATAAATACAGATTGAAATATACACATAAAGGTACAAAAGGCGGTGTTATCGCTAGGGCAATCTCTTACAGACAACCTTTCGGTTAAAGGAGAACAAATAGAAGAACAAATATTTATGTTTGTTCACTTTAGATGTAATAATTGCATGGCAACATTCTCGATAATTCATAAAAACATTTATTCTTGTATGTGGCAATTAATAATTTTGATTGGAGGTAGTAAGATAAAAAAAAGGTTGTTGGTGTCTGCTCTTAAATATAGAAACAGAACAGTTTTGTCGTTGTCGCTCATAAAGTATTTTAATACGTATAACATTTAATTTCACAATCGTGAGACTTTAGTTTTTGAATTTAATATTTTTGTTTTATAAAAAGAACTACGCAACAGACAATTGCCCGTGTCGTTCTTAAATATTTAAAAGGATTTAAGATTGAAACGTCTGTCGGAAGATTCAAGATCGAAACCCTTAGTTCTTATAACATTTACGAGGTAATCTCAGGTAACTTTAGCATGCTTTAGGGAACTGAGTGATCTGAGTATGTTGTAAAAGGAATTTTCGCTAATCACAGGGTAAGTCATTTGAACTAAGTTTGAATCTAGGTAATTTAGTAGTACTTTTAAAACAACTTGTTGGTTTTCGCATTCTCAAATATTTCAAAGAACTTATCGTACATACAGTCCACTTTATATTCTCGCACAATATTTATGTATTATTATTTATATATGTATGTTTATGTCGGGATTATTATTGTCGGGTTATATTTAGATGGGTCTTCGGTTTGTTTGTCAGTCTAAGTGTATTATATATATATATATATATATATATATATATATATATATATATATATATATATATATATATATATATATAATTACATGTAGTAAACATCAAGGCATCAAGGCTGGTAGCTACTTTGCCCAAAAGATAAGTTTGGCAGAGAGTCAGGTATTGGTTTTATATTGTTTGTTTTTTTATAACCTAGACTGGTGCTACGGAAAGAAGGCGTGAACCTGCGCACCTCGGCTGAGCTGGAAATCGTGAAATCGATAAAGGAACGCGCGTGCTACCTCTCGCCTAATCCGCTCAAAGAGGAGACCTTGGACACGGAGCGGGCACAGTACACCTTGCCTGATGGGACCCAGCTCGAGGTAAATATAGGACGATTTGCTTGTCTATGGTGATTGATGGTCAAATAATCAAATAATCAAAAGGGGTGTAAAGAGGTTTCTTCAGGGTCGGCAACGCGCGCGTAATACCTCTGGTATTGCAGGCGTTCATAGGCTACGGTAACCGCTTACCATCAGGTGGGCCGTATGCTTGTTTGCCATCTCAGTGGTATAGAAAAAAAATAACACCATGGACAATCTATACCAGTGTTTCCCAACCTTTTTTGTGCTTTGCCCCACTTGAACAGTTCTAAAATCTTTATGCCCCCATACATAATTTTCCCCGACAAAGTTTACTTGACGACTCTAATCGCCCAGTTGATATTTTGGTAACGTCCAACGAAATTATACCTAATAAATATTTACAGCATTTTTCTTTATTTACTTTTTTCTGTTAAATTTGGCCCCGATATCTGCTCATAGCATTGCATTTAAATGGTCCGGAGCAAGAGGGTTAAAATCGCTTCTAGTACATCCCCCCCCCCCCATTACTTCTTATTTTATTAGAATATCGAACAATACTGCTTTTGTTTAGTTTCTAGTTATTTCCTCACAATGTTCCAACTGACTGTCCTCACCTATCATGTGTCCCTGGTACCCCGCCAGCGTATACCGTTAGCGCAGGCGGGGTTACCATTCCTTTATCACCAGTTAAAGAAAGCTTCATCATCATCATCATCATCTCAGACATTATCTATCCTCAACCCCCCCCCCCCCCTCCCCATTCCCCAATAGAAAAACTTTGGTTTTCAGGAATTGCAATGTAGATGCATTGGGCATCACAGTGTATTATGTTACGTCCACAGTGGTTACCACGTACGGTTACGACTTTCCATGAGGGGGGTGGCGGGAAGAAATTGTTGGTAATGGGGACCGTCGGCCCCATTTCTATCAATTTACCCTGTCAGGTCGACCGCCATGCGATTCTGTTTATAAATCGTCCGTCACAACGGGCTAACTGACCTGTTTTCACCTTCACCCATCTATGTTTCCCTGGTACCCCGCCAGCGTATACCGTTAGCGCAGGCGGAGTTACCACTCCAGTATCATCGATTAAAACAACGACAGCATAACCTTCAAGAAAAGAGCATATTCCTTTTTAAAAGGCCGGCAGCACACTTGCAATTCCGTTGGTGTTGTGGGTGATCATGGGCGGCGGTAGTCACTTACCGTCAGGTGAGCCGCATGCTCGTTTGCCCCCTGTGTTGTAAAAAAAAAACATTTTCCCATTTAGAGGGCTCTACGATTTATTAGTCAGTATTTTTTTTTATTTATAAAAATAAATAAAAAAAAAACTTATACTTACATGGTTTTATTGATTTTGTGTTACAGATTGGTCCAGCAAGGTTCCGAGCACCAGAAGTGTTGTTCAGGCCTGATCTCATCGGTGAAGAATGTGAAGGTAACTTGCCATCTTAGATATTGTATTTACATTATATATATATTTTATACAACTTGGAATGGCAAACAAGCTGACGGCCCACCTGATGGAAAGTGGTAACCGTCGCCTATAGACATGAGCAGTACCGTGCACATAACAGAGTATACTGTTTCGCCCATGTTACCCCCCATGCGTTGCCATCCTGAGGGCTCAGGTGTTATTCCTCTGTACCCTGTAAATTCACTGCCATATCCCACCCTTCAAATCGAAACACAGCCATGCAAACACAACTGGTTCACAGTAGAAACACGAATGGGACAGAGGTGCCCGAGCAGTCGACTTTTGTACAGTCTCCCTCTGGTGAATAAATAAATAAATCTGTAATTACTCTATACCACAATCAACTCTTTCCTTTTTCTTTCCTTATTTTCCTAAATAAGATAAAAGTTTTACTAAATCATTGTAGGACTCCACGAGGTGCTCATGTTCGCGATCCAGAAGTCCGATATGGACCTTCGGAAGGTGCTGTACCAGAACATAGTGCTCAGCGGGGGCTCCACGCTGTTCAGAGGGTTCGGAGACCGGCTGCTGGCCGAGATACGGCGGCTGGCGCCCAAGGACATGAAGATAAGGGTAAGAGTTGACCTTAGATAAAAATTGACAGACAAACTAATTTCTTAACATGTTTATTTAAATAACTTTATTGGCCAAAAGAAAATATGGTTTTTTTTATGCAACTTAGAATGGCAAACAAGCTGACGGCCCACCTGATGGAAAGTGGTAACTGTCGCCTATAAAGACAGGTACTATAGGTACCAGGGAAACATGATAGATGAGGATGAGAAGGCAGATGTAGTTAGCCCATCATGATAAATTCACCTGGAATTCAGCACGATAGTTTCCATGGGAAATCACATGGAGATCGACCTGAATGAGTATGTTGCTAGCATTGGGTCAGTTAGAGAGAGTTACCAGAGGCAGACTTTGTACAAAAGTCGTTTGCTTGGCCACCTCTGTCCCATTCGTGTTTCTACCGTGAAGCAGTTGTGTTTGCATGGCTGTGTTTCGGTTCGAAGAGTGGGATATGGCAGTGAATTTACAGAGTACAGAGGAATAACATCTGAGTTCTCATGCAGGGTATCATGGGCGAAACAATATACTCTGTTATGTCCACGGTACTGCTCATGTCTATAGGCGACGGTTACCAATTTCTATCAGCTGGGCTGTCAGCTTGTTTGCCATTCTAAGTTGCATAGAAAAATCGTTTTCTCCAACAGTGGACTGTATGAAACATACCGTTACAGATCTCAGCGCCCCAGGAGCGCCTCTACAGCACGTGGATAGGTGGTTCGATCCTCGCGTCGCTCGATACATTCCGCAAGATGTGGGTGTCCAAACGGGAGTACGACGAGGAGGGACACCGCGCCGTACACCGCAAGACGTTCTAATTTATTTTATATATATGTAAATATATTATATAGGCGATTATGGGCTAAAATATAGAATTACTATGACAGAATATACCAGTCTCATACGAAACGCCATTTCAGTATTTTACAAATTGTCCGTTTTAGGTATTTTTTTTTTGCAAGCCAAAAAAAATATATTAATGAGGGGTCAAAATTGTAGTTTATTTATTTATTTAACTCTTTATTGCACCAGAAATATAAGAATTAACAATTCAAGTGAAATACAGTAGTATAAAATATATATCAAAATATATATACATTAAGGGTTTGTTACTAGTGGGGTTTAATTGACCCATTGCTAGCAATACAGGGTGTATTGCTAACAATGGGTCAATTAGACAGATCAGACTCCTTGGAAGCCATCGTGGTTAACCGTAGTGAAATTCGTCACGATGGGCTAACTGACCTGCTTCATCCTCACCTATCGTCTATCACTGGTCCCCTGCCAGCGTATACCGATAGCGCAGACGGGGTTGCTATTCCATTTTCAACCATAAAAAAAATACATAAAGGTACAAAAGGCGGTGTTATCGCTAAGGCGATCTCTTACAGACAATCTTTGGTTAAAGGAAAACAGATAGAAGTGGGTAGGTTTGGTGGGTAGTGATGTTGTACAGATGATAATGGTATGGTAACCCCGCCTGCGCTATCGGTATACGCTGGCGGAGTACCGGGGACACATGATAGGTGAGGATGAAGCAGGTCAGTTAGCTCATCGTGATGAATACACCTGGAATTCAGCACGGTGGTTTCCAAATGGGATCACGTGGCAGTAATGAGACTGGGACGGCTTACTAACAATCCCTTATAAACACAGTATATACTGTGTTTCCCATGTGACGTTTAAGGCAGCTTATAAATACTGAAATGCTAAGGTAGACTGCCGTCTTTCTCGATTGGTTTTTTTTTTTTTTATGGGTGAAAATGGTATGGCAACCCCGTCTGCGCTAACGGGATACGCTGGCGGAGCACCAGTGAAGGGTGATAGATGAGAATGAAAACAGGCCAGTTAGCACATCATGATGAATTCATCAGGAATTAACCATGACAGTTTCCAGGGGGCACCGTGAGGAGGTCGACCTGGTTGGATATATTGCTAACAATGGGATTCTCAGTCTCCATTACTAACAGTCCCTTTTTCCCTATCCTCAATCGGGTTAGGCAGAGACGATATGCATTTTTTTCCTAAATTATTCTGTCATAATAATTTTATTTAACTTATTTTTTTTTTTAGCTAAAATGACAAGTATAAATAAAAAAAAAACAGTCATTATAAATTATACATCTTGGGAGTATTCATGCCGAGAGCTGCCTCTGAATTATCTGTCAATTTTAAATTTTTAAATAATTAAAAGCACTTAATTTTTCATCAAATATTTCGGAATATTTATTTCGGAATAGAATAGATGGGATGCATAATTCACATAGTGTGAGACTCGTTGTTATTATGACATTGCTAATGCGTTATCCTATTTCATAGTTAAACTACACGGTACGGAGGCGTTAACATTACAGTCCTCAGAATTGTGGGTGTCACAGTATACCCTGTGATGTCCACGACGCTGGTCATGTCATTTAAATGTAGTACAATTTGTTTTTACAATTGACAGATAATTCCGGTCTCGTAACATTGCGGTGAGCTTTTTAAAAAGTACTAAGCAAAAAAACTTAATAAAAATGTTACTCTATTTATGTAAAAATCATCAGGGCCGTAATAACGAGACGGTTTTGAATATTTAATAATTAATTAAGAATTTAATTTAATAACTAATTAATCATTAATTATTTTTCATTTAATATTTAATTAATCAATAATTAATTTCATTTAATATTTAATTAATCATCAATTAATTTTTATTTAGTATTAAATTAACAGAGAACTACCAAGTACAGTGTTTTATTGTAATAAGTAAATAATTAAATGCTAAATAAACATTAAACAAGAATAGTAATTAATTAAATTTCTGTTTATAATTAATTAGTTATTAATTTATTATTGATAAAGTCTAATCCTTATTACGGTTCTGTTATGTATTTTAATAATACACTATGTATCTCAGATCTAGAATTACATCGCAAAAAATGTATGCTTCGAACATTGATATAGAGAAAACTCGAGATGTACACTAGATTAAAAAAAAATTATTTACCAGAGGGAGACTTTGTACAAAAGTCGATTGCTTGGTTACCTCTGTCCCATTCGTGTTTCAACCGTGAAGCAGTTGTGTTTGCATGGCTGTGTTTCAGTTTGAAGGGTGGTATATGGCGTAAATTTACAGGGTACAGAGGAATAACACCTGAGTCCTCAGGAATGGCAACGCATGGGGGGTAACATGGGCGAAACAGTATACTCTGTTATGTCCATGGTACTGCTCATGTTTATAGGCGACGGTTACCACTTTCCATCAGGTGGGCCGTCAGCTTGTTTGCTATTCTAAGTTGTATAAAAAAAAAGGTCAGTTAGCACATCGTGATGAATACACCTGGAATTCAATACAATGGTTTCCAGGGAGGGGCAAGTTAAGGTCAACCTGGCCAGCTCCATTGCTAGCAATATACCCTATATTGCTAGCAATGGAATTGATAGTCTGCATTACTAACGCTTCCCTCCACTCGTAAGTGGTTTGGAAGTACGCGCTCAATCAGAGGAACGCAGACAGCGTTTGAGTTTTACTTATTAATTAAAATTTTAATTTTTATGAAGGAATCTTTGGTTTTTTATATATCAATGTTTTTATATAGTATTTTCTAGTTTTATAATAAAGGCTTTGCACGTTTAAAAAGAATCATAGAAATAATTTAAATAGATGTAAATACATTTAGTTTGCGTATTATTTTTTTTTACCCTTTTTTCTATGTAAATTAGGATGGTAAACAAGCCGACGGCCCACTTGATAGTAAGTGATAACTGTCGCCTACAGACATGAGCAGTACCATGGAAATAGCAGAGTATACTGTGTTACCCATGATAACCTTCATGCGTTGCCATTCCTAAGGACGAAGGTGTACCTGTACCCTGTAAATTCACTGCCATACCCCACACCTTTCAAGCCGAAACAGCCATGGTGACAACTGTTTCACAGCAGAAACACTAATGGGACTAAGGTACCCAAGCAGACGACTTTTGTACAAAGTCTCCTTATGTTAAAAATGCAATGGAGTTCTAAATAAAAAAGCTACTTCCTTATAAAATTGTTTCCGCTGTATTTGAATAACTCCTTAGAACACATGTTAGCCTAGTACTTTTTGTTCGGATCGTTTTCATTTTTTTTTATACTAACGAGCTGACGGTCACCTGATGGTAAGTGGTAACCGTCGTCACAGCACTATAGACATCGCATGATATACTGTGACACCCTTAGTACCTAGTAGTAGTTTTAAGGGTAAACTTTCACTCAAACATGGCATTTAGCCCCTAGTGGCGAATTCATTAAGAATTGATCACTATGTCTTCCAGAAGTACCGTAATGTAATATGTATATAGCGGGGGTGGCCAACCGATCGATCGGCGGGGGGGGGGGGGGGGAAGGAATTGTTTGTAATGGAGACTGAGAATCTTACTGCTAGCAATATACCCAACCAGGTCGACCTCCTCGCGGTTCCCCCTGGAAACTATCATGGTTAATTCCTGATGAATTCATCATGACGGGCTAACTGGCCTGTTTTCATTCTCATCTATCACCCTTCACTGGTGCTTCGCCGGCGTGTCTGGTTAGCGCAGGCGGGGTTACCATTCCATTTTCATGCAATAAAAAAAATTTGGTCAATCGGAGTGGGTGGGGGGTATTGTTAGTAACTGATCCATTGCCAGCAATACATACTATCAGGTCGATCTCCACGTGGTCCCACCTGGAAACCATCTTGTTTAATTCTAGTGGAATTCATCACGATGAGCTAATTAACTTGCCTTTTAAACCTCGCCAATCATCCGTCACTGGTGCCCCGCCAGCGTATACCGATAGCCCAAGCAGGGTTACTATTCTATTATCATACATTAAAAAAAAACCGGTAGATCGCGACTATAAGTCCAGTGGACGGTGGCAAGGCGAAGAATATAATACATTGCTAATCCAGCGGAGGACGCTCGGACGCGACGCTCGCACTAATATAAACAAGTAGTCGCCGAGAAGCAGTTTCAGTTTTACATTCTCCCTCTTAATACAATAAACAATACTGCAACACTACACGCTCGTGTACTGAACTGTGCCGTTACATTTGTAATCTCATGAAGTATGCAACTGGTAGATCGCACAGGGTCTCGTCGGTAAACAGTTGATCTTGGGTCTAGTCGAGTCGACCAGCCCTGGTATACAGTAATGTTCCAGAAGCAATGAATGCGTAATAAACTACCGCTAAGGGTAGGTACTGATCAAAATTGTACTGTGCTTTTTTTTTCTTAATGGATGATAATGGAATGGTAACCCCACCCGCGCTATCGGTGCACACCGGCGGGGCACCAGTTAAGAATGATAGGTGAGGATGAAGTAGGTCAGTTAGCCCATCGTGACGAATTCAACAAGAATTGTTCACGATTGTTTCCAGGGGGAACCGCATGGAGGTCGACCTAACAAGGTCTATTGCTAGCAATGGGGCTGTCAAACTCCATTGCTAACAATCCTTTTCCCCCCCAATTGTACTGTGCTATACAAGCATAAATACAAGAGTTTAAATCGACATTAAACGATTTAATCAAACACATTTACATACGTTTCGTAGCTAGGGGCCCTACCTATATATAATATAACGTATTTAGGAACGTTCAAGGTCACTCGAATTGAACGCGGAACAAAATAAAACTTGCGCGCCGCGACGTCAGTTTTTGCCGCGCTTTGGCCGAGACGTGTTCCATTATCTACAAAGTAACATCATATCTTTCATTGTGTAATCGTTATGTACGATTAGCGTACTATCAATTATATAAATAGCAAAATACTATATTACTTTTGTGTATTCCTGCGATAGTGGGCAACGGTTAGAAAGAAAAATCAGTTTTCTACGATTTTTTTAGGTGTAATTCAAATAAATATGGCTTCGAGAGTACCGAAAGTGAGGTTTAATAATAATTTGGAGTGTCCCGTACTTGGGCTAGGCACATGGAAGGTGAGTTTTTTTTTTTAATGTTTTTTTTTTTTAATAACCAGTCACAACAACGCAGATCAAATTTATCAACTTTGTTGGGGGAAATGGGATTGTTAGTAATGAAGACTGAGAATCTCATTGCTAGCAATATACCCAACCAGGTCGACCTCCTCGCGGTTCTCCCTGGAAACTATCATGGTTAATTCCTGATGAATTCATGATGGGCTAACTGGCCTGTTTTCATTCTCATCTATCACACTTCACTGGTGCTCCGACAGCGTATCCCGTTAGCGCAGGCGGGGTTACCATACCATTTTGCAACCATAAAAAAAATCTATCATCTGTCCGTTGCTTTAGATTTTTAACAATATTAAAAAAAAGCTTTGACAAAGTGGAGTTTTTTCACATTTAAAACTTGGCAGCATGATTTCCGACCTTAGCCTGTTTCTATGAGGAATGAATATACAAAAAAAAAATTAAATTTATTTTATTTATTTAGATTAAGTATTTTTTGTGCGTATGTTCAAACATTGCAAAAATTTATTGACACAAACGGCGGACTTAATGCTATACAGCATTCTCTCCCTCATTCAACCTTTTGCAAAATAGAAATGTAATTATGCGATGAAAATTTTGAAAAATAATTAAGACTTAATTAAAATTATGTGAAGCTTGAAGAGCTATTGAGATTTATCGAGCAAGAACGAATGGAGATGTTAGTAGGGGCCGCCCTAGACGGATATATGTCGATCAAATAGGCGACGTGCTGAGGAAGGGCCAAATTAAAAGTACCCGTAACCGGCACTGGCGAGCGTGTATGAAAAGATTGATGAATGTGGAGGAAGCGAAAGAGGTTTGTTTGAATCGAAGCATTTGGCGTTGAATTGTTTCTGCCTACCCTAATGGGAAACAAGTGTGACAGATATGTTATTTATTTATTCTTTATTGTACAATAAAACTTTGTACAAGTGGCGAGCTTAATGCCATATTGCGTTCTCCACCAGCTAGCCGTTAGGTGAAAACAGAAAGCGTATGAAGGGCAGATGTGGTGAAAAACATGGGACATAATTATAGCAACATACTGAATTAATTATACATAATAACACAAGAAATAAGGGGGAAGTGATTGTTAGCAAATGTAGTTTGAAAGCCCCATTGCTAGCAAAATGGCCTATCAGGTTGAACTCCACGTGGTTTCCCCTGGAAACCATCGTGGTTAATTCTAGTTGAATTCGTCACGATGAGCGAACTGACCTGCTTTATCCTCACCTATCATCCTTCACTGATGCCCCGTCAGTGTATACCGATAGCGCAGACGGGTTTTTTTTTAATGGGCGAAAATGGAATGGTAACCCCGCCCACGCTATCGGTATACACCGACGAGGCACCAGTGGAAGATGATAGGTGAGAATGAATGCAGGTCGGTTGGCCCACCATGATGAATTCGACAAGAATTAAACATGATGGTTTCCAGGGGAACCGCGTGGAGGTCAACCTGAGAGGGTGCTAGTAATGGGGCTATTAGACCCCATTACTAACAATCCCTTTCCCCCCGCGCAGACGGGGTTACCATACCATTATCATCCATTAAAGACACCATATTGTTTCTACATAACAACCGTGTAAAGCCGGGACGCGTCGCTAGCTAGTAATGAAATGAAATATTTATTTGCTTTAAACAGACATTTGACATTATAAGGGCCATGTGACACAACTTTTTGGCATCTGTCTAATTGCCTTAAAATTGTAGGCAGGCAAATCTAATTTATTCCTTAAATAAGGATACAAATTTAATTAAGACATTATTACGATAATAGAAAAATAAAACAAGAAAAAAAAAAAACAATGCTCAAACAATTATCAAGTCAAATCAATAAATGTATGTAGTATTTCATATACGAGGATATATTTCATATCTTTGATTGCGACAAATTGTGTAATATTTCTGGCGGATTCCACACACTGGAGATGGTTATCTCTGAATGGCTCGCACCTACTTCTGTCTTATCTTAGATATCTTTCCCGTCGGTAATTTATCGATACAAATCAGATTTCTATTACTTATAGACGTATATATATGTATATATTGATATACAGATAAACCTATAACGGAAATGTTTGTAAAAGTCTTATGTACTTATACTTACTTATTCTTTATTTTACCAGAGAGATACTTTGCACTAGTCGTTTGCTCGGCCACCTCTGTCGCATTCGTGTTTCTACCGTGAAGCAGTTGTGTTCGCATGGCTGTGTTTCGGTTTGAAGGGTGGGATATGGCAGTGAATTTACAGGCTACAGAGGAATAACACCTGAGTTCTCAGGAATGGCAATGCTTGGGTGGTATCATGGGCGAAACAGTATACTCTGTTATGTGCATGGTACTGCTCATGTCTATAGGCGGTCCCTCTGGGTAGTTTTATACTATACGAGATATATATATATATAATTACCACGCTATTGTAATAATAACTACACGTGACAGATATGTGCGTATCGGCCGAGGTCAGCGTTGGTATTTTACAGTTTTTGTGGGCGTCTATTTGTACACAGTGATCTATTTTTATATAAATAAAAATGAATTTATACTTTAAAAATACTAAAAAAATACACCTAGATACCAGCTTGGGGGGAAGGGATTGTTAGCAATGGAGTTCGACAGCCCCATTGCTAGCAATATGCCCAGGTCAACTTCACGTGGTTCCCCCTGGAAACCATCGTGAACAATTCTCGTTGAATTCGTCACGATGGGCTAGCTGATCTGCTTCATCCTCACCTATCATCCTTCACTGGTGCCCCGCCGGTGTATACCGATAGCGCGGGTGGGGTTACTATTTCATTATCACCTGTAAAAAAGAAAAAAGATACCAGCTTGAACCCGTTCGATTCTGTGCAACGACAAGCTATGAGAATTGTCGATGATCCCAGGCTTACAAGCGGTATCGAACCTTTAAGTCTTGGGAGAGATTTTGCCTCACTCCGCTTGTACAAGGGATTGTGCTCAGAGGAATTGTTCAATATGATGCCCACGGCCACATTCTACCATCGTACAGCTCGCCATCGACAGGGAGTTCATCCTCATATCCTACAGCTTAAATGGTCGCGTACAACGCGGTTTCAGAGATGTTTTCTCTTACGAACACTCAGGTTATGGAATGAGCTTTCTGCCGAGGTTTTCCTAAAAGACTACAGCATGGGGTTCTTTAAAAGGGGGGTAAAGAGGCTTCTTCAGGGTCGGCAACGCGAGCGTAGTGCCTCAGTTGTTAAAAAAAAAACCTTAAAAATGTAAGTTACTAAAAAATTCGCATGGGCTTTAGATAAGGCGAAATATGTAGCTTTGTTATCAATTAAGACTTTGTACAAATCACATTTTGTTGCTCAAAATGTGATTTGTACAAAGTCTTAATAAATAATTATTAATAATAAATTATTATTACCATTAAATGTGTTGCTAAGAGCTAAACTCTAGAACAGCGGGTTGAATTCCGCTTTCTTTTTTTTTCAATATACATTTTTTTTTATCATTATTTTAAGGGCTTTTACCTTCTTCAGGTACATATATCAGTCCAATCGTACCCTGAACTGAATTCTAAAACAAAACTTTACTTTCCCTAGACGCGGAAAGTTGAAGACCGAGTAAGGTTTTTATGAAGAGAAAATTGGGGGAAATTACCTGAAAGAATGTAAAATCTTCATTTTTTTTTTAATAAGCTCTACTAATCTCTCATATGAAACCGTTGAATTGAGGCTTTTTTAATGAATGACAATGGTATGGTAACCCCGTCTGCGCTATCGGTATACACTGGCGGAGTACCAGGGACACATGATAGTTGAGGATAAAAAGACACGTCAGTTAGCCCATCGCGATAAATTCAACGATAAATTAGTCACGATAGTTTCCAGGGGGAATCGAGATCGACCTGAATATACCCTATATTGATAGCTGTTGGCGACAGACCTCTTTTTATATAAGTTTGCCTTTTTAGATTTATATTTTTATTGTTTGAATACACCTATCCCCCGATTTACACGGTAGATACGTTCCTGAGAAAAACGTGTAAATCGAAAATTAAAAATCTTCAAGTCAAAACCGTGTAAATCGAAAAGCTTGCAGAAAATGCATAATTTTGCTATTTAACAGTTGTGATTTCTTTCAATATTTTTAGGTGTACACAGAAATAAAAATAAAATGCATTGACAGGTTACAATATGTAATATATTACGGAAACACTGTTTTTTTATTTAATTACAATACATTAAACAGAAGAACAAAAAATTAAAAGGTGTTTTATTATCCTTCATCACTATCAGAAATTACTGTCATTCTTTTTTTCGGAATCGAAGGTTGGAATTCACTTTCATCACTCGAAGTTATTTGTGCCGATTCGATGTTTGAAGCAGAAATATTTACATTCTGAGAGGTGGTAATAAAATCGGTTATTAACAATTGCTTCGATTTTTTTGTAAGACCTTTGTGAACTTCTTCATATTGAGCACGTGTTCAAACACAGTAGCATTTAGTAGAATGCGATAAAAACAAAAAAAAAAAAAAATTATTTGGAAAACCGTGTAAAAGCGAAAACGTGTAAAACAAGTACCGTGTAAATCGGGGGATAGGTGTATGTCTTTTAGAAACATTTTTGTTTTTTTACTTGATTGACATATTGTATGTATTGTGCTCGGCAAGAATTATAGTGGGGGGGAGAAGAATTGTTAGCAATGGAGACTAAAAATCTCATTGCTAGCAATATACCCAACCAGGTCTACTTTCACGCGGTTCTTCTTGGAAACTATCATGGTTAATTCCCGATGAATTCATCATGATGTGCTAACTGGCCTGTTTTCATTCTCATCTATCACCCTTCACTGGTGCTCCGCCAGCGTATCCCGTTAGCGCAGGCGGTGTTACCGTACCATTTTCATCCAACAAAAAAAAACCTCCCCATTACTAAAAATCCCTTCCCGTCAGGAATTAAATTAGAATTAGGATCGATATGTAATAGTTTGTATTAGCAAATAAAATTTATTAACAATTGAAGTTTTTGGACGAGAAATAATAAGATTAAAAATGTTAATATTATATAAATTGTAATAAATTGTGGAACAGGCTACCTGCTGACATACGGGATAGTCGGTACGGGATACGGGATACGGGGTAGTCATTGCTTCCTTCAAGAGAAGACTGAAATCACACCTTTTAATCAATTGTACATGATAATTCTATGCACTTATACATATGTATATATATTTATCTATTTACTTATTTATGGAGATGTCGGTAGGGGCCGCCCTAGACGGACGTATGTCGACCGAACAGGCGACGTGCTGAGGAAGGGCCAAATTAAAAGTACCCGTAACCGGCGAGCGTGTATGAAAAGATCGATGAATGTGGAGGAAGCGAAAGAGGTTTGTTTGTATCGAAGCATTTGGCGTTACATTGTTTCTGCGCTACCCTAATGGGAGACAGGCGTGACAGATATGTATGTATGTATGTTATTTACGTATTTATTTATATATTTATTAATAATTTGTGTTTGTTGTATATATTTACATTATTTTCACCGGTACCTTTCCTGCACTGGATTACTCAAACTAAATCATTTTCTCTCCAACTACACTGGGTTGGCTGGAAGAGATCTCTTTCAGAGATAAGCCCTCTTTTGCTAACAAGTTGTTACACTAATCGTCGCATATATTGTTTAAGTGCAATGAAGAATATATAAATTTATTACAGTCGAAGCCGGGCGAGGTGACACAAGCTGTGAAGGACGCCATAGACGTCGGCTACAGACACTTCGATTGCGCCTATGTCTATGGCAACGAGAAAGAGGTCGGCGTCGCTCTTACGGATAAAATAAACTCCGGCGCTGTGAGGCGGTAAGGCTTTATAAATATCTACATGCTAAGTCCATTGCGGGGTAAACAGAGAGGACCCAGTACTAATGGCCAATATTTTACATATGAAAGAAAGAAAGAAAAACTTTATTTTACTAGAAATATGCGACGACACCCACACAGGGGTTAAAAAAAAATCCATATATTAAGAAAATATATCTCTTATTTCCTAATCTTTCATGGCTAGGGGAAAGGGATTGTTAGCAATGCGGATTATCGTTTCCATTGCTAACAATATACCCTTCCAGGTCGTTCTCCCCGTGATCCCCCCTGGAAACCATCGTGCTGAATTCAAAGTATATTCATTACGATGGGCTAACTGACCTGCCTTTTCATCCTCACCTATCATTCCTGACTGGTGCCTCGTCTGCGTATACCGTTAGCACAAGCGGAGTTACCATTCCATTATTATTATTATTACCAGAGGGAAACTTTGTACAAAAGTCGATTGCTTGGGTACCTCTGTTCCATTCGTGTTTCTACCGTGAAGCAGTTGTGTTTGCATGGCTGTGTTTCGGTTTGAAGGGTGAGATATGGTGTGAAATTACACGGTACAGAGGAATAACACCTGAGTCCTCAGGAATGGCAAAGCATGCGGGGTATCATGGGCGAAACAGTATACTCTGTTATGTCCACGGTACTGCTCATGTCTATAGGCGACGGTTACCACTTTCCATCAGGTGGACCGTCAGCTTGTTTGCCATTCTAAGTTGTATAAAAAAAAAATGTAATTTCAGGGAGGACCTATTCATCACATCCAAGCTATGGAACACCTTCCACCGGCCGGACCTGGTGCGGGGCGTCCTCAACACTACATTAAAGAATTTGAACTTACAATATTTGGATCTTTACCTCATTCACTGGCCTCAAGCCTACAAGGTACGCGTTTAAAGTTTATTTTAACGGTTCCATATTAGAGTTTAGGGTTTAGGGTACGTGTGGTACGCACGAATTAATTAATCCGAGGGCCTACCATGAAATATTTTCCGAAATTTCGGAGCCGAACGAAACACAAATTTAATGTTAAAATTACATATCCACACATACCGTTTAAAAATATTAAAAATATGAAAATATTATTCCTTGGGACTTTTATTACAGGATTTATGACGAACAAAATCTTAAGCTCCATTTACGGGCCCGATTTAGGTGTGAACAAAAACACGAAATTGAGTCCGAAACTTCGGAATTTCATTTCATGGTAGGCCCCCTGATCTTCTCTTGTCCCGCCAGTTGGTAAGGTGGGAGAGGTAGGGGCCTCGGGGCGTACCACATTGCCCCAGCTTCAACTCCGGAGGTAACAATCTCCGGGTCACTTGATTTTAAGCCTGACATACACGGATGGTGTTTGTATGTCGGCGTGGCATCGAAAACATATATGATACGCACGAAAGGAACAATTGTGAACGGTGTGGACTGCCGTTCGGTGAGCGTGGACTGTAGGGGCGTTGGTTCAGGCTGGAGTGAAACACAGGGATTACTATTCTGAAGCCTCCGGTACCGTCTGAAGAGAGTATTTTTTCTTCTTGTCCTATTTCTTCTCGAGTGTAGTGCGTCGCTGCCCGGAAGCGAATGCCGCTCGACGGGAGGCGGCCTATCTTTATACCCGCCCGCTCGCACGATAATGTTTCCAACTCGCGATAGCGATCTGTGCGAGCGGGACGGGGCGAAAATGAACGAGACGCGTGTCTCTTCAGATCGGTACTCTATAGCGTCTATTTATTTATTTTATTTCAATTTACAATTTCTTAATTCTATTTATTGTTACAATTTCTATTCGTAGGTAATAACGACAACACGCAAAGGAATACTTTATTTAACTTACACTATCTTAAATCTATGTAAATCTATATAAATAACAGAATACAAAACGATTAACTAGGACTTAACAACTATAAATTACGATATATACAAATAATGTCGCGAACATAATCTCCCGCCGCAGCTCTCGTAGCTGGAGTTAACTCGTGTTCGCGTCGCTCGATGTCGATGTGGGCAGTATGATCAGCTTCTTAGTGGGTCGCCGTAGGATGCCCTTGTTCGTCCGCACGTCGACCGCTCGAACCTCGCCGTCTGGTCCAGGGTAGGTCGCCACCACCACGCCTCGCGGCCACGTGTTGCGAGGCAAGGTCCCATCAGCTATCAGGACCAGGTCGTCCATTTTGATGGCTCCGTGTGTAGCTCGGGGCTCCCGCCGGTGTTGCAACTCGGGTAGGTACTCCTTCACCCACCGGTTCCAGAAGCAATCAGCTAGCCTCTGGCTGGCACGCCACTCCTTGTGTCCCGCCGCGTCGCTCTCTGTGAAGCTGCCTGGCAGTGGGACGCGCGATGGACCGCCCAATATGAAGTGATTGGGGGTTAGGGCGCTGTCGTCGTCTGCCGATGTCGACACGTGGGTTAGCGGTCGGCTGTTGAGGGTGTGCTCGACTTCGACCAGTAGAGTGTGGAGGACCTCTTCCTTGGGCGCCCGTTCGTTCAACGTGGCGGCTAGTGCGGTCTTCACGCTACGCACCAACCGTTCCCACGCACCTCCCATGAAGGGTGCGCTCGGGGAATGTAGCGCCACCGGATGAAATGGACTGATGACTCTTCTTGGATGGCTTCCTCGGCTGCTTTCTTCAGTTCGACGTCAGCACCTTTGAGGTTGGTGCCTTGGTCGGACCATAGCTCAGTGGGACACCCTCTGCGGCTTATGAAGCGCCGCAGGGCCATTATGGCGGAGTCCGTGCTGAGGCTGCCGGCGATTTCTAGGTGGACAGCGCGCGTCGTTAGGCAGGTGAAGAGCACTCCGTACCGCTTCTGGTGAGTGCGGCCCACTGTCACGGTCATAGGCCCGAAGTAGTCTAGGCCGGTGAACGTGAACGGTCGTTGATGATGCGCCAACCTGCTATGTGGATGGTTGCCCGTTGATGGCTGCGCCGGTCTTGCTCTTCGTAGGCGGCACAGCTGACACCTCTTCAGTTCACTGCGGACGGCGTGTCGTAGGCGCAACACCCACAAGTGTTGTCGCACCTCGTTCGTGGTGATCTCGAAGCCGCCGTGGTGAAGTTTCCGATGCACCCATGCGATGTATAGGCGCACCCAGGCGTGGTTTCCGTCGACGATGGGGGGTTCTCGTTGCTCGGCTGACAGATCGGCGGCGGCTGCTATTCTCGATCGAAGTCGCAGAATGTCGTCGTTGTCTATGACGAACGACAGCTGTATGAGTCGACTGGATGACAGCGGCTGTTTCCCTTGTTTCAATACTGCGATTTCGTCGCCGAACGCCTCTTGTTGTATCGCGCGAATCCATAGCCGTCGCGCGCGATCTAGGTAGTGTGTGTCTATGGGGATGAAACACACAGATGGACTATTGCTGTTCTTGATTTTCATCTTCGTCTTCTCTCTATCGACTTTCTTCGTGCGGGTCCAAGTGGGGTCGGCGCTCTCTTTCTTCTTGTTTCTCTTTCGGATGGCGGTGCAGCGTTGACTGGTCGGTCGCAGGAGGTCGATGAACTGCAACACCCGTGCTGAACTGCGAACAAGTTTCAACCAATTAGAAAAACGTGACGGATCGGGTAATGCTATAGACAACTGCGTCGCGTTCTGTAGCTTGTGTACGCGTTCTTCTCCCGTTTCCGCTTGACTATCGTCGCTCGAACTATCTTCACGCGGCCACTGTTCTTCATTTATGTCGAATTTCCTTTCGACCAGTTGGAGACGTCGCATTGCCGATTCATAGTTGTCCGGCGGCACAGGGTCGTCCTTCTTCCATAATAACCCCGTCTCGTATCCTCCCGCCGGTAACGGACGAGTTTTCTCTTCTAAAATGCGTAGGGCGCGACGTTCTTCTTCATTGTAAGACCTCTTCGGTGCGATCCCCAGCGATTCGAGCGCGAAATGTTGCTTCATCATTTCTTCCATCGATTGTTCCTCTTCATGTGTCGTCACTATGTGGCTGATTCTGTGCACCTGCTGTCTTGTCCTGCCGCGACTCGTACCGTGCAGTACCCATCCCAGATCGGTGAGTGATGCGACCGGCTGCGTGTCGGATCCTCTTCTGACTTCGTGGGTCAGCAGTAGGTGCCAGTTGTCTTGCCCCAACAGTACCGTCGGTTTGCCCTCTTCGTAGACCAACTCCCTCTCTATGTCTTGTAGATGTGGACAGCCCTTGATGACGCTGCGTGGTACCGACTGCGGTGATAACTGCAGTCTGTCCATCGTCCGTGCCCCCACTGTGTATTCTTGTGAATTCCGCCCGCGGATCTTGAAGTGAACACGCGTCGATTGAGCTGCGTTGATCCGTGCCCCGGCCACACCTTCCATGTAGAATGGTGCGGGGGGACCCGTAGCACCGATTCGCTCCGCCACCGTCGTCTCGATGATGGTGCAAGTCGACCCGTCGTCCAGTAGCGCGTAGGTGTCGCACGTTCCCGTGGGACCGGTGACTCGTATCGGCAGGATCTTCAGGAACGCGATCTTGTCGTTTTCCCTTGCCGATGCGGTGACTGCGGCGGACTTGTCCTCGACGACGTGTGTTGTTACTTCATTCTCCGGCTGTTGTCGCGTGGTGTGCAGCAGAGGGTGATGAGTCTGCGTGCACTCATCCACTCCACATCTCTTGCTCTTGCAGGCGTGGCGAAATCTTCTTACTTTGAGGCAGCGGAAACACAGCCTATGAGTCTTCGCTAGCTCCCATCTCGCCGATGTGTCCGCTTCCTTCATCGTCTTGCAGTCCGATGGAGCGTGTCCCTCTCGTCGACACATCGGGCACGGTGGTGTAGCGGGTTTCTCCTGCGTCGTGTATGTCTTCGCCGTCTTCCTAGGAGCGGACTCCCGCCGGTCTTCGGACGGTATCTCCTCGGCGGGGGCGAAGTTTCCACATCGTGCGGCGGTCCTTTGCAGGAACTGAGAGAGTGTTATGAGGTCCGGTTGTCCCTCCGGTTGGTCGTTGGCGAAATCGTAGTACTTGAAGCGTAGTACCGACGGCATCTTCTCTGTGACGTTTCTCACTATTTCTTCATTGTAGAGGTAGTGACTCTTGTTCAGCGCTCGTATCGTGGCGACGACGTTCTGCACCTTGCTTGCGAAGAGGCAGACGTCTCTTGCGTTGTCCGAGAGTCGTGGTAGCGCGCGGAGTTTGTTCAGTTCGGCTGTGACGAGTGCTCCAGGGCGGCCGAACCTCGCGGCTAACATCTTCATCACTTCTTCTGCGGTCGTAGACCCGACGAATAGGGAGCGTGCCGCGTCCTTTGCGGCCCCCTTCAAACTTCTGCGCAGTCTTGCTAGGTTCTCTTGTTCTGTGAGTTGACTTGCGCTCTCTTCATAGGCCATCTTCCATGGTAACCACTCGCTCGACGATCCATTGAAGACTGGCAACTCGGTGACTCTTGACGCTGTGGAGGGCAGTATGTTGCGAGCGGCCATCTGCATGGCGATCGCAAACTCATTACAATCGATGCCCACCTTCAGCACCGGTTCTTCTTTCTTCATCGACTGCATCGCTGCTGCTATCGTAGGAATGGCGGCATGTGGGTCAACGTGGCGTGCGTGGTCCCGGTGAAGTGCGTCGCTGCTCGGCTGTGGCGGCGGCGCTCTCGAATCCTCTTCAACGGGTCTCGATGGGACGAACCCCTGACGCTTGCCGGTGACTTCTTCTATCTCTGGTACATGCGGCTCCATCGTGAGTGCTAGCGTGCTTCGATGAACCCAATCCGACGTTCGTTCTCTTCTGACGGTAGCGTCGTCGTCTTCTACTTCCTCGTCGTCCTCTGATTCGGCTTCCAGGGCGGCGACACGTGCAGCAGCCAATTCCACCTCCTTTCGAAGTAGCTCCTCCCGTGCCTTGGCCAGAGCCTTCTTCTTCTGCGAGGCCGTGGTGCGAACCGTGCGTGCCGTGCCGTGCTTCGGTTCCTTCTTCCTTGCTGTCTCCTCTGTCGTTCCTGTGGCTTCGGTAGTCTCCGTGGCTCCTGTGGTCGTCGTATCGCCGGACGTGTTCGTAGTCGATGTGGTGGCGGCGGTAGACGACGTGGCAGCGACAGAAGGCATTCTGACAGCCGCAGACGACGTGGTGGCAGCAACGGACGGCGTGGCAGCGACGGACAGCGTTCCGGCGGTCGTAGTCGACGTGGTGGCGGCGGACGTTGTGGCTTCGGTGACGGCGATTTTTTGTTGCGACGACTTCATGTTTCTCGTAGTCGGCATTTCAGCGATCCGGCTTCTCGATGTACCAACGGTGTTCCTCCAGCAATCCGGCTTCTCGAAGGACCACGATGAACGGTGTGGACTGCCGTTCGGTGAGCGTGGACTGTAGGGGCGTTGGTTCAGGCTGGAGTGAAACACAGGGATTACTATTCTGAAGCCTCCGGTACCGTCTGAAGAGAGTATTTTTTCTTCTTGTCCTATTTCTTCTCGAGTGTAGTGCGTCGCTGCCCGGAAGCGAATGCCGCTCGACGGGAGGCGGCCTATCTTTATACCCGCCCGCTCGCACGATAATGTTTCCAACTCGCGATAGCGATCTGTGCGAGCGGGACGGGGCGAAAATGAACGAGACGCGTGTCTCTTCAGATCGGTACTCTATAGCGTCTATTTATTTATTTTATTTCAATTTACAATTTCTTAATTCTATTTATTGTTACAATTTCTATTCGTAGGTAATAACGACAACACGCAAAGGAATACTTTATTTAACTTACACTATCTTAAATCTATGTAAATCTATATAAATAACAGAATACAAAACGATTAACTAGGACTTAACAACTATAAATTACGATATATACAAATAATGTCGCGAACAAATTGTGTTACCACTTTTACGTATTTTTCTTTTTTTTTTTATCTAATATATAAAATTCTCGTGTCGCGGTGTTTGTTACCAAACTCCTCCGAAACGACTTTACCGATTTTTAAGAAATTTTGTGTGCATATCGAGTAGGTCTGAGAATCGGCCAACATCTATTTTCCATACCCGTCAATATATATTTATTTTATTTTTTTAATAAAACTTTTTATTTTTATTTTATTATGATTTAGCATTGAAAAATACATACAACTTCAAATTTTCACCCTTTTACGATCAACCCCTGTTTTTTAATCGCGATTTTTATATGCCGCAATAGGGTTGTAAGATGGCAATCGAATATAATGATTGTAGTACGATAAATTTTCATGTATAGTTCTAGAAATAATGTATATGGTAAAACAACGTTTACCGAGACAGCTAGTATATGTATATAAATATGTCTTTTTCTCTCTTTTTGTACATATAGATATGCATCGTGTCGTTATTTATGTACTGTAAGCGATGCAAATAAATTATATATCTTTTTATCAGCCTTAAATTAGAAAAAATATAAGATTGCGTGATATTTCCATAGGTATAAATACAAAAAAAAAATATAGTAGGATTCCGGGAGTGCCGACAGAAGTGAAAACTTGAATAAATACGTGTGTATTGTTTATATTGTCGCGAATCACCAGAGGGAGACTTTGTACAAAAGTCGTTTGCTTGGCCACCTCTGTCCCATTCGTGTTTCTACCGTGAACCAGTTGTGTTTGCATGGCTGTGTTTCGGTTTGAACGGTGGGATGTGGCAGTGAATTTACACGGTATAGAGGAATAACACGTGAGTCCTCAGGAATGGCAACGCATGGGGGGTATCATGGGCGAAACAGTATACTCTGTTATGTCCACGGTACTGCTCATGTCTATAGGCGACGGTTACCACTTTCCATCAGGTGGGCCGTCAGTTTGTTTGCCATTTTAATTTGCATAAAAAAAGAATTTAATGGTTTTTTCCCATATCAAAAATGTCCAACGCCTAAAGAAATATTGACTTAAAAAAAATCCAAAAAAATATAACTAAATGATACTTTTTGGCAGGAGGAAGCAGGCAGCCTCTTCCCGGTAGACGCCAACGGTAAATTACAATTCTCTAATGTGGACTTCGTGGACACGTGGAAGGAGATGGAGGGGCTGGTCCGCGACGGACTGGTCCGCAGCATCGGCGTCTCCAACTTTAACAGGAGGCAGCTGGAGAGGGTACTGCAAGCGGCCACCATCAAACCGGTTACCAACCAAGTAAGTTGCTGCGGAACATCATCTCAGACAGTTTCTGTCCACTGCTGGACATAGGCCTCCCCCATAGACTGCTATAAGGAACGGTCCTGAGCCACCTGTATCCATAGACTCCCTGCAATGCATTTGGGGTCATCACTCAGACATTATTCGATAGCGGTTTAAAAAATATAATTATTTATATTTTAGCATAATATTGCCGAGGTTTTCCCAAAAGACTACAGCATGGGGTTCTTCAAAAGTGGGGTAAAGAGGTTACTTCAGGGTCGGCAATGCGCGCGTAATACCTCTGGTATTGCATGCGTTCATAGGCTACGGTAACCGCTTACCATCAGGTGGGCCGTATACTTGTTTGCCACCTCAGTGGTATAAAAACAAAATATGGTGAATTAAATAATAACTTTTAAGTAATAAAAAAATAGAAATAGAGATATTTAGGATATTTAGATAGATAAATAAACACTTTATTTGGTCCGTTTATGATACATGGTTCATCCTTATTGAATTCGTCACGATGGGCTAACTGATCTACCTTCATCCTCATCTATCACCCTTCACTGGTACCCCGCCGGTGTATACCGATAGCGCAGGCGGGGTTACCATTCCATTATCACCCATTAAAAAAAAAGCTATATATATATCTATCTATTACAGATTGAAAGTCATCCATATTTAAATCAGAAACGTTTGAAAGCGTTCTGCGAAGAGCGTGGCATTATAATCACGGCGTATTCCCCGCTCGGGTCGCCGGACAGGCCGTGGGCGAAGCCCGGCGAGCCGCTGCTGTTAGAAGACCCCAAACTCAAGGCCATCGCCGACAGGATCGGGAAGAGCGTCGCTCAAGTACTAATCAGGTATGTTTGGGGTCACCGGTGACCGTCGGGTAAACGTTGTTTTGCCTCCTATAAATACTTACTGAATAGTTTTTATACCACTGAGGTGGCAAACAAGCATACGGCCCACCTGATGGTAAGCGATTACCGTAGCCTATGAACGCCTGCAATACCAGGGGCATTACGCGCGCGTTGCCGATCCTGAAGAAACCTCTTTACCCTTTTTTTTTAAGAACCCCATGCTGTAGTCTCTTGGAAAAACCTCGACAGGGAGCTCATTCCATAACTAGAGCGTTCGAAGGAGGGAGGAAGGAAACATCTCTTAAACCGCGTTGTACGCGACCATCTTAACATATTCCCCTTTTTACAGATACCAAATAGACAGAGGCACTATTGTCATACCTAAGTCGGTGACCAAGTCGCGTATTGCTGCCAATTTCGACGTGTTTGACTTCACGCTATCCAAAGAAGACATAGCATTGATCGACACCTTCGATTGCAACGGACGAATCTGTCCGGAGTCTTCGTAAGTTATTCTTTTAATATTTTACCAAGCTGACGGCCCACCTGATGGAAAGTAGTAACCGTTGCCTATAGACATGAGCAGTACCATGCACATAACAGAGTATACTGTTTCGCCCATGATACCCCCCATGCGTTGCCACTCCTGAGGACTTAGGTGTTATTCCTCGGTACCCAGTAAATTCACGCCATATCCCACCCTTCAAACCAAAACACAGCCATGCAAACACAACTGCTTCACGGTTGAAATACGAATGGGGCAGACGTGGCCAAGCAATCGACGTTTATACAAAGTCTCCCTCTGGTATAGTATTTTTTTTTTTGCTTTTTTTTAATAGATCGTATTATTATTAAGAGATGGACTTTTGAGGCAGAAAAAACCGTGACACTGCGACCTTTCCGTGATTTTTGGTACTCGCCCTTTTTCAAAAGTTCGCTGCTAATGCCTATCAGAGATAGGAATTTTAAGATGCTCTTTGTAGCGATGTTTTTATCTCCTCAGGACACAGAGTGTGTTTTCCAGAGGAGATATATCGTTTATGTACAAGTGGGCTACAGCGACACATCCAGTGCTGCGGGGTTTTTTCCTCACTGTGCCAAAATCTGTAAACGCTTTTTGGGCATCAGCCTGGTTTCGGTCATATGCTTGTTGGAATGAATAGACGATTGGATGGGTGATCATTGAATAGTATGAAGTAGTATCCACCGGCGTAGAATCGGCCACCTGTTTCTTTCCCACACGATCGACACGTTCTTACGACAATTATGGGACTTTAGTGGATTTAGGTTTGGAAGCAGCATTTCTCTTAAAACATCAACAAAGCCTAACTGCCTCGGGGACCACGTGGAGGTCAACCTGATAGGGTACATTGTTAGCAATGGGACTTTTAGAACCCATTACTCACAATTCCTGTACCTTTCTTTACCCGCTAATTATTTTCGCTCTAGCTCTCTAGCATTGGGTTGGCTGGACGAGATCTCTTTCAGAGACAAGCCCTCCCTTGGTAACAAGTTGTTCAACTAATCAATGTATTTTTTTTTCAAGTGCAATAAAGAATATATAAATAAATCCTCTTACAGGTAGCTTTGTCCACATTGAGATGTTTTTTTTTTTGATGAGTGAAAATGGAATAGTAATCCCGCCTGCGCTAACGGGATACGCTGGTGGAGCACCAGTGAAGGGTGATAGATGAGAATGAAATTTGCCACGCTTGGCAGGCGGGTTGGCAACCGCAGTCAGGCTTTTAGAGATGTTTTAAGAGGGACGCTGCTCATCCTTCGCCCTCTCTTAGTCGACTCTTACGACACCCACGGAAAAGGAAGGGTTGGCCTATTCTATGCCTGGACCAGATGCTTTAGGAAACTGGATTAACTGGTGTTTGGGGAGGAAAGGGATTGTTAGTTATATGGTCTAACATCACCATTGTGTTTTTCTTTTTACGTCTAGGGATGACATCATCATTGTTAACAATATATACGCTATTATGTCGACCTCCACGCGGCTCCTTTGGAAACTATCGTGGTTAATTCTTGAATTCGTCATGATGGGCTAAGTAATATCTCTTTGCATCCTCACCTATCATGTGTCCCTGGTACCCCGCCAGCGTATACCGATAGCGCAGGCGGAGTTACCATGCCATTATCACCCATTAAAAACAAATTAAGATTAATTGTGATAATTTGAGATAATTATAGTAAATCATTAGATATTTGCTTTTGTAATTCAAGTAAAATCAGTTTTAATTTGTGCCAATACTTTCCTATTATTTAGTGGGTATTAATATGTACAGTAATGGACTGTCCATTTAACAATGTAATTAGACAATACTAATTATTTATTTAAAGTTTATGAATGAAAACAGACCAGTTAGCCCATCATGATGAATTCATCAAGAATTAACCATGATAGTTTCCAGGGGGAACCGCGAGGAGGTCGACCTGGTTAGGTATATTGCTAGCAATGGGATTCTCAGTCTCTATCACTAACAATCTCTTTCCCTCCCATTGAGATAAGTTGGTTAAACGAAATAAAAATGGCCTATTTTCTTTTCCTATATTGAAATCGCAGTCTGATTTAAAATAATAAGACCTTGAAAGATTCTTTTAACATAGCGACTTTATTATTCCGATTCGACTACTAAATTATTGGTCTTTTTTTTGTCATTACTCGATTGAATTCACGTGATTCCTCCTGGGAACCATCATGAACAATTCTTGTTGAATTCTTCATAATGAGCTAACTGACCTACTTCATCGTCACCTATCCATCCTTCACTGGTGCCCCGCCGGTGTATACCGATAGCGCGGGTGGGGTTACCATTCCATTATCATCCATTAAAAAAAAAACTCGATTAAATTTACACGGTACAGAGGATTAACACCCGAGTTCTCAGGAATGGCAACGCATGGGAGGTATCATGGGCGAAACAGTACACTGTTATGTCCACGGTACTGCTCATGTCTATAGGCGACGGTTACCACTTCCCATCAGGTGGGCCGTCAGCTTGTTCGCCATTCTAAGTTGCATAGAAAAAAGTTAAATAATTATTGTTTATTTTGTTACAGTGCCTTCGATCACCCAGATCACCCGTTCCGGAATGATGAATATTAAAAATTTTCATTTGTATGCACGAATTTAATTAAAATGTGATAAAAAAACACCATGCATTTATGTTGTTAAAATACATTAAATGGATTTATACTGTGTAAAGTGTTTATTTATTGATCCTGCGTACCGTGTCGTCCCGGCATAGAATGGGCCACCACTTCCTTTCCCGTGGGTGTCGTAAGAGCCGGCTATGGGAGCTTAACGATCGAAGGATGGGCAGTAGCGTCCTTAAAACATCTCAAAAACTCAACTGCGGTTGCCAAACCGCCTGCCAAGCGTGGCAACTACTGGAACCACTTAAGAATTGTTCGGATTGATACCCGCTGCTGATTTTCACCACCGTACAACCCGCCATAAACTAAAATTTCATCCCAACCATCTGGACGAGTGGCGGTCCCCCACCGTGCGTTTTTCAAGGCACTTTCTCCCACGCACAACCACTCTTTGGAACCAACTTCCAGCAGCAGTATTTCCGAACCGATACGACAACATAACCTTCAAGAAAAGATCATATTCTTTTTTAAAAGGCCGACAGCACACCTGCAATGCCGCTGGTGTTGCGGGTGACCATGGGCGGCGGTAGTCACTTACCATCAGGTGAGCCGCATGCTAGTTTGCTCCCTGTGTTGTAAAAAAAAAGGAATCATACAAAACAATATATTTAATTACATTTTTGAAGCACAAAAGGCGGTCTTATCACTAAAGCAATTCCTTTTGTTTAAAATAAAGAATAAAAGACAGCTAGTCCTGGCTTCGTACGATGTTCTGGTAATAAAATGTAAGTCTATACGAAATATAAAATGTCTAGTTTTAAAACAAAACTTAAGGTTTTTTTTTTATTTGAGCAAGTTGCCATCTTCTTAATTTATTTGACTGGTTAGCATACTTATTTCTACAGATATGTAAAAAATTTAAAACTTTGCGTTTTATGTATACATGTGAGCAGTGTTTATATATATCTAATATATAAAATTCTCGTGTCACGGTGTTTGTTGACAAACTCCTCCGAAACAGCTTTATCGATTTTTATGAAATTTTGTGTGCATATTGGATAGGTCTGAGGATCGGCCAACATCTATTTTTCATACCCCTCAATGATAAGGGTGACCAACCCTTAAAACATATTTTTTTATTTTTTGACAAAATTGTTTATTTTTATTTGATTATGATTTAGCATTGAAAAATACATACAATTTCAAATTTACACGCTTTTACGATCAACCCCTGTTGTTTAATCGCGATTTTTATATGCCGCAATAGTTTTGCAAGAAGGCAATCCAATATAATAATTGTAGTAGGATAAATTTTCATGTATAGTTCTAGAAATAATGTATATGGTAAAACAACGTTTGCCGAGTCAGCTAGTATATATATATATATATATATATATATATATATATATATATATATATATATATATATATATATATATATATATATATATAATAATAATGAGTAGGGATATATATGTACATTATTACATACATCTCCATATTTAGAAATACTAGAATTTCCGTCGTGCCTCCGATCCAACTGTTTATAGCTACTCCTCTCCATCCAAAGGTGGCGTGCAAGAGATCGCTCTCAGCGATAAGGCAGCGCATTGTTCTCTCAGTGCAATATTACCTTGTAATTGTTTGTGTCTATAATAAGTTTACTATTGTAATCTTATGGAGGGAACAATAAGGAGTAGCTATCTATCTATATTAGTCGCTAATAATATGGCTTTATGGCTTTCTGCATATAAAAGATTTTTTAATTTTTTTCATCGGGAAAGGAAGTCGTGGCCTATTCTATATCGGGACCACATAGTACCTTTATCTATACAAAAGGCAAACTAGACAATAGCTGTCTGGAATAGTTTGCTATAGCGATAAGACCGCCTTTTGTTTTGTATTGTTCTTTAAATGGTAGAGTAATTTACCAATTCTAAAAGCTGAAAATTTAGAAATAACAACAATTTATTTGTTTGGAATGCGGTCTGTATGTATATAATTTTTTTTTCAATCGATGACAATGTAATGGTAGCCCCTATGCTAACGGTATACACTGGCGAGCTACCAGGGAAACATGATAGATGAGAATGAAAACGTAGAGTGGATTGATAACCCCGCCAGCGCTAACGATATACACTGGCGAGGTACCAGGGAAACATGATAGGCGAGGATGAAAAAGCAGGTCAATTAGCGCATCGTGATGAATACATCTGGAATTCAACACGATTGTTTCTAGTGGAGGATAAAATGGTGGTGGTCAACAAGGGTATATTGCTAGCAATGGGACTGGTTGGGCTGGACTCGCATTACTAACAATCCCTTTCCCCTGTACAAATGGTACTAAATAGTAATACACCTTCCGCCTTATCTAAAGACATGCTAATTTTTATTTTAGTACCTATTAGTAATTTTTAATGGTTAACATTTTTCAAGTATATTACCAGAGGGAGAGTTTGTACAAAAGTCGTTTGCTTGGGCACCCTGTGTCCAGTTCGTGTTTCTATCGTGAACCAGTTGTGTTTGCATGGCTGTATTTTGGTTTGAAGGGTGGGATATGGCGTGAATTTACTGGGTACAGAGGAATAATACTTGAGTCTTCAGGAATGGCAACGCATGGGGGTATCATGGGCGAAACTAATATACTCTGTTATTTTCATGGTACTACTCATGTCTATAGGCGACGGTTACCACTCCCCACCAAGTGAACCGTCAGCTTGTTTGCCATTCTAAGTTGTATAAAAAAAATACAGGGTCCCAAGATTTTTTTACTTAACTTTATGACTTTTTCGAATGAATGAAACAATGTCATAGAGGGATCCTTTGTAGTCAACTTTCGAGAAGTCGAAAGAAAACTGTAGAATGTTCGAGAATAAAAACTGTACAGTTAAGGATAAAACATAATAGGTCTATGGTCTTTCCATCAAGTGGGCCGTCAGCTTGTTTGCCATTCTAAGTTGTATAAAAAAATAATGTCAAAAACTGGCAACACTAAAACTGTCAGTCAGTAGGCGGTAATTTGTAACTTTTATTTGTTAATCTTAATATTTATTTAATATGTATAATTATGTTAAAGTATATGCTGTAAATACCTATAATAGGCATGTGCATTAATATTGTATTATATTTAATGTTTGTTATACCTATATGTCATAATGCAATATGCAGTTGGTGTTCGTTAAATAAATAAATAAATACGTAATTTGATCAAATCACAGATGGATTTGAATTGATTTATTCTTAACTAAAGTTTTTTGTTCATATAAATTGAATTATGCGCAAATATTTACATATAAGTCGAGAAAACTGATAAAATAAATTATCTTGTTTGAAAACAGACAACTGTGTATTGTATAGGTTTTATCTTTAGATTATATAGACAGAGTATTGAGTTTAAAAAATGGGTCAACTTTTGTCAGCTAATTGTCAAATTAGCTGACTCGTTTCCTTACCAGTGTTCTATATACTTACGCACACAATGCACCTTGACGTATCTATATTTAATTGTTTAATAAATAAAATGAGTGTTTACGCATTAAAAAGATGCAGAAATTATAAAACAAAATAAATATAGAAGTTATAAAGAAATCACTCGTAACTATTTATCACGCAGAATTGTATGAAAAATTTAAGCTGCTTTTCTCGAAGCATTTGTATGGAGACACCTCTACCTATATAATGTAAGGTATTTTCATACCTTTTGGATAACCATTTTTGTTTACGAAATTTTGGAGATATTATATAATAATCATCAAGAAATATTTGAAAAAAGTTAATTGGGTTAAGAGAAATTTCTTTTAATTTTTTTATGCATATATTATGCATATATATTTTTCCATTCAGCGCTTTCTTTTTTTTCCGTCGTTCCTTTTGTGATTCAAAACAAAATGACACAAGTGAAAATCGATACAAGAAAATCGTATCGAGTTGGGCAGAAATATTTGTCATTTGGACAAAAATAAAAAATAGCACCTGGCAACCCTGATTTTGTGTGTATCGTTATCTTTCGTGAAGTTTGTCTTGTCAGTAATTTATCGCTCAGTCACGTACTTGATCTTCGAGGATTAATATCGATCTGTGAGTTCGTGTTTGGACAGCTAGTATTAATTTTGTAGAAACTTCCGTCATATAACCTCCTGAATTTAAATACAATATTTAGCGGCTTATTTATAAATATGGCTTCAAGAGTACCAAGAGTGAGGTTTAACAATAACTTGGAGTGCCCCATACTTGGGCTAGGCACATGGAAGGTGAGTTTTTTTTTAATAATTTTAAATTAATCACACACGACTTAATTACATTTTTTAATTATATCGGCAAAAAGTAAAGTTACTCATTATTCTTTATTTCTCCAATTTTTTTTTTTATTTTGGAACTAAATGTATGGATACATTTTATTTTGAAATTATATAGCTCGTATTTGGATTCTTACATTTTAACGTGGCGTTTTATTATTTAATTAATGTTTTATAATTAAGAAATAATCTTTAGTATGAACATTTAAAGCTTGTGGTTATTTCGACTTCTTCATTTTAACGTGGTATTTTAATAATTAATATTTTATAATTCATGTTTAGTTTGAAAATTTAAAACTTGCGTTCCTTTCCAATCCTTTATTTTAATGTGGTGTTTAATTAATTAATAAATTATAATTAATCTTGAATTTGAAGATTTAAACCTTGTGGTTGTTTTGACGCCTCCATTTTAACATGGTGTTTTTTAATTAATATTTTATAATTAATTTCGAGTTTGAAAATTAATTCTTGTGTTTTTTCGACTCCTCCATTTTAATGTGATGTTTTATTACTTAACTATAATTTAATAATTAATCAAATAAATAGTTTTCAACTGTATAGTTTTACTGCTTGTCTTATATATGTTAATTTGCAAAGAAAAATAAAAAATGTAACTAAGTTCTCTATTCCATTAAATTTAAAACAAAATTAATGAATTAGCCATGAATTGAAGGTTACAGCCCATATGTATTAATTTTTTATCTCCTATCCGTGGTAGAGCTTTAACCTAAACGTTTTTAATTAAAGAAAAATGTAATATAAAAAAAAAAACAAGAAATAAAATTAAATTGAGTATACAGGGAATTCTTTTTAGACTTCCACTTTGAAATGGTACTAAAGAGTCCTTATGGTGTTGCTTTACCCAACTTTTTGTCACAGTGTTTTGTCCTATCAACAAAAAATGCTATTAATTTGAAATTTATAATAGTTTTAAATATTAACCAACACATATTGTAAAAAAAAAATTTAAAAAATATATATTTAATCTTTTTCTAAAAGGGGTAAGAATTCAAAATTACAAAATGATTTTACTACTTACTTTGGACTTGTCAAAATTACAAAATGATTTTACTACTTACTTTGGACTTCTCAAAATTACAAAATGATTTTATTACTTACTTTGGACTTGTCAAAATTACAAAATGATTTTACTACTTACTTTGGACTTGTCAAAATTACAAAATCATTTTACTACTTACTTTGGACTTCTCAAAATTACAAAATGATTTTATTACTTACTTTGGACTTGTCAAAATTACAAAATGATTTTACTACTTACTTTGGACTTGTCAAAATTACAAAATGATTTTACTACTTACTTTGGACTTCTCAAAATTACAAAATGATTTCACTACTTACTTTGGACTTCTCAAAATTACAAAATGATTTTGCTACTTACTTTGGACTTGTGTTTAAATAGGATATCATATAAAAGGGCTTCATTAGTACATTTTAAATATTTTTTTTTAAATGTTTTTGTTAATACAGTACAGCTGTTTGACTTGCAATTGAAAATCTGAAACAAAAAATATAATTTTACACTATTGTCTCTAAAGTTTATTATTATATATTTATTAAATTATTATATACAATACATATAACATATTAGAAAACTGAAATAATTATAATTTCTAAAATTATGTATGAATTATCAACATATCAGCTGTAAAACTGGCTGTTGTTGAACATAGGCCTCCGCTAATAACTGCTATGCTTGGCAGGCAGGTTGGCAACTACAGTTAGGCTTTAGTGATGTTTTAAGAGGGACACTGCTGCCCGTCTCTCAACGATTAGGGTCCTTTAGTTACCTTTTACTACCTACATAGGAAAGGAACAAGTGGCCCATTCTATTCCAGGCATCACTGCTTACAAATTGTATTAAGTCTACCAGAGGCAGACTTTGTACAAAAGTCGTTTGCTTGGCCAACTCTGTCCCATTCGTGTTTCAACCGTGAAGCAGTTGTGTTTGCATGGCGGAGTTTCGGTTTGAACGGTGGGATATGGCAGTGAATTTACAGGGTACAGAGGAATAACACCTGAGTCCTCAGGAATGGCAACGCATGGGGGGTATCATGGGCGAAACAGTATACTCTGTTATGTCCACGGTACTGCTCATGGTACATGTCTATAGGTGACGGTTACCACTTTCCATCAGGTTTTTTGCCATTCTAAGTTGTATAAAAAAAAGTGTTTAGATGACCATTATTTGCCATTTATTTGTACATGTTGTAATTTATCTTATCTTTGTTTGTGTGAGGGTCCCTCGGTGTTTGAGTTCAACTCGTATCTGATTAGTTTATTTAGTCATGTCCTTGACTTAGTTGTTATTATTATATAGTATTATAATAAGATACCGAAATACATTTTGGATCTGCCTTTTAATAAGTTTAAAACTGTTAATAAAAAACACTTATTGAACAAAGCCTATTACACACTAAACGATTACTCGAATGACAAACGTGCATGGTGTTAGTAGATCATGCATGGGCTTTAACGACCGTGTAATTTTAGACATAGTACATTTAAATAAACACACATAATGTTAACTGAGATTTAGAAGAGTGACTGTTGAGTTTCTCGCGGGCTCTTCACAACAGATAACATCCTTCCGAACTCTGCAGTAGATTAAAAAAAAAGATTTAAAAGTGCTTGTAAACAAGTGTATTTGAACAAAGATGTTTTAAATTATATAATAGTTAATTTAATATAATTAATTAATTTATTTCTGACAACTTGTGAGTCCATGTTTTGTTAGTAGATGCAATTAAAAACTATTTTATTTATTTATTTATTTATTCATTAGTACATATATGTGTACATGGCGGACTTAATGCTGAAAACATTCTCTCCCAGTCAACCGTAGGCAAGTGTCAGAATACACGAATGCGGTACTAGTAACTATTGATATATATACATACTGAAATTATATATATAAAAATATTTAATTACTAATAATGATCCAGTCCTCTTGGCAAGCATTTTAAATAGTGATACAAAATGTAAATTAAGACATTGGTGAAGAGTCTCTTATCATTATACATATAAAAATTTCGTTTATCTTTAAACCTAATGTTTTAATTTGATAGACAGATCTAAAATAAATTAAAAATAATAAACTATCAGAATTACTATATTTATTTATTTATTTGTTTATTTATTTATTTATTTAACAAAGTATGTTTGTAAATTTGTAAAATTTTTAATTTAACAAAGTATGTTTGTATTAGCACAGAATTTATCATTGCCTCCTACACTAGGCCGAGCCTGTCCTGTAGGAAGCAGTACTCGTGTTATCATATACATGCATACAGATATTAAACATAGGCTTTTTAGCAGTACTCACAATTGTGTAACTAATCTGTATAATACAATTATTTTATTTATTTATTTTTTCTTTCTCTCACCACCAATACACTATATAAGTGACACGAAATGTATCTTCTATACTTATAATAAATCTGTAGAGAGGTCAATTCTGTACATGAAATATATTTACAAAATAACTGTCAGGCGGTGATTAGTGATCGATACTGATGACAAAAATGCAATCAGTAAAATTTTTGTCTGTCTGTATGTTTATGTTCTTTTTTTTATACAACATAGAATGGCAAACAAGCTGATGGCCCACCTGATGGAAAGTGGTAACCGTCGCCTATAGACATGAGCGGTACCATGGACATAATAGAGTATACTGTTTCACCCATGTCACCCCCCATGTGTTGCCATTCCTGAGGACTCAGGTGTTATTTCTCTGTACGTTATAGAAACAAAAACTACTCGACGGACTTTAACGAAACTTGGTACAATTATTCTTCATACTCCTGGGCAGGTTATAGTATACTTTTCATCACGCTACGATCAATAGGAGCAGAGCAGTGAAGGGAAATGTTGGGAAAATGGGAGAAGTTACTCCATTTTTAAGCTTCCGTCGCGTGTGCAGCCTTAATGGCCATTTTTTTTAATGTAAAAATTACCACCCGTGCGACGCCGGGACAGGCCGCTAGTTTTCAAATAAAAGAAACCAATTCCGATGTGTCATTTCTTTAAATTTATCTCTTAACATTTGAATTTGATAAATATTCGTGAATTTACAGTTTTCTGGACTATTCTAAACTATTTTATTTATTTATTCTTTATTGTACAAGAAAAATTACAACATATAATATATATAAAATAAAGATGTACAACAGGCGAACTTAACTCTGTAAGTGTTCTCCTCCAGCAAACCCTGAGTGGAAAGGAGCATTAATTACCAGCGGGCAGTATGCGTACAATAATAGGAGGAAACATTATAGATGTTTCTATTAAAAAATAATAAATACGTTGACATACATATATAAGTAACTCATACAATTAAAATCAAAATAAATACATATCTGTATACATAAATATATATACATACATACATAAAATATCTCTTTACATACAAAATACGTACATATATAATACATACATAGACATAATAAGTTTATGAGGACAGAAAATGCTCTTTTAATCCGCTCTTGAATATATTCAGCGATTGGCTTTCACGAATATGCAGTGGAAGAGAGTTCCATAGTCTATGTATATAAAATCATAAATACATTAGCTGGTTATTGTCCACTGCTGAACATAGGTCTTCCCTTAGGTGTTTTGCCAGTAGATGCCATTTTGCCAGTGGTTGGCAACCGCAGTTTAGACTTTAGTGATGTTCTAAAAGGGATTGTTAGTAATGGAGACTGAGAATCCCATTGCTAGCAATATACCCAACCAGGTCGACCTCCTCGCATTTCTCTCTGGAAACTATCATGGTTAATTCCTGATGAATTCATCATGATGTGCTAACTGGCCTGTTTTCATTCTCATCTATCACCCTTCACTGGTGCTCCGCCAGCGTATCCCGTTAGCGCAGGCGGGGTTATATATATATATATATATATATATATATATATATATATATACACACACATATTTTTTTTGATGGGTGAAAATGGCATGGTAACCGCCTGCGCTATCGGTATACGCTGGCGGGGTACCAGGGACACATGATAGGTGAGGATGCAAAGAGATATTACTTAGCCCATCATGACGAATTCAAGAATTAACCACGATAGTTTCCAAAGGAGCCGCGTGGAGGTCGACCTAATAGCGTATATATTGTTAACAATGATGATGTCATTCCTAGACGTAAAAAGAAAAACACAATGGTGATGTTAGACCATATAACTAACAATCCCTTTCCTCCCCAAACACCAGTTAATCCAGTTTCCTAAAGCATCTGGTCCAGGCATAGAAAAGGCCACCCCTTCCTTTTCCGTGGGTGTCGTAAGAGTCGACTAAGAGAGGACGAAGGATGAGCAGCGTCCCTCTTAAAACATCTTTAAAAGCCTGACTGCGGTTGCCAACCCGCCTGCCAAGCGTGGCAACTAATGGCAAAACAATCCTTATGGGGACGGCTTTTGTTTAGCAGTGGATAGTTAACGGTGAAATAATAAACGCATGCCATTGTTACCTGCTTTTACTTCGTGGATATTTCAGCTCCAGGAGACTTGATTAGATATTTTTTCACATATTTAGATATTAGTATTCAATATTTACTTAATTGTGACATTTAGAACGATAAGTTCCCGCCTTTTTTAACTTTTTTTTTTCACAAGAATTTATTTCTTTATTAAAAAGTCACCGATAAAATTTAGTGTCGTAACGTTTCGATAAGCATCAACGACAATTATTTTTATAAAAAGTTTACCTTTCTACCCTCGATGTTTTGTTTTAATGAGTGTTTTTACGTCCCTGGGTACTAGCTTTTTAGAGCGTATCTTCATTCATTATTGAATTAATAAATTGATCATTACATTTTTATAATTTGTCCCAAAAATAATAATTCTATTGTTTTAATTTTTTTTTTTATTAAAAACAGACATCTTAATATATTTAACACTAGATACAGATACAAATTTGCTGTTCCGAAGTATCGTTTAGAAAAAGTTACTAGGCCTTTTGTGGATATGGGCATTAAATGTTATAATAAGATACCGAAGGATATTTTGGATCTGCCTTTTAATTTGTTAAAACTGTTATTAAAAACGTTTATTGAACAAAGCCTATTTACATACTAAACGATTACTCGAATGACAAACGTGCATGGTGTTAGTGGACCATGCACGGGCTTTAACGACCGTGTTATGTTAGACATAGTACATTTAAATAAACACACATAATGTTAACAGAGATTTAAAAGAGTGACTGTTGAGTTTCTCGCGGGCTCTTCACAACAGATAACAACCTTCCGAAGCCTGCAGTAGATTAAAAAAAATGACGATTTAAAAGTGCTTGTAAACAAGTCTATTTGAAAAAATTTGAAATGCCACTTGTAAGAAATAAAATGTCCCTATTTAACACCGATAATGTTGCCAAGCAATAATTGTTGTGTTAAATACATATTAAAGAAAGGATTTGTTGAAAATGAACAAGTACGTAAGTTACAATACAGATTAACAATTCTTTAAACTTAAAAAAAAATAAAAATATGTACATTTTTTTTTATTTGGTAACCAATTAAATTAGCAATGACGAGGTCCTGCTTAGGGTTAAGGAAAAAAGACAAATTATTAGAAATATTGAGGACAGAAGGGGAAAAATGTTAGGACACTTGATACGACACGACGAACTTATGAACATTATAATAGAATGTAAGATAGAAGGAAGGAGGGGAAGAAGGAGACCGAGGCATAGTTACATCAGGCAGATCAAGGAAGGAGTTGGTGTCGTGTCGTATCAAGAGGTGAGGGGACTCGCTGACAATCGTAGTGAATGGCAAGAGCTCCACCGACAAGAGAGCAACTCTTAAATAGGATAGATAGAACCAATTAAATATTGTTATTTTTTTTAACAAGATAAAGAATTCATCTTTACAGTCTTGAATAAAAATGATCATGTACGGTGCGTTTTTTGAGAAGATTTCTCTCGTGAATTCTCAGATTGTGGAATAAAGTTCCTGCCGACGTTTTCCCTCCAGATTACAGTATGGGGCTCTTCAAAAAGGGTATATTAAAGTTTTTGAAAAGTCGGCAACGCGTGACATCCCTAATGTTACAGCCGTCCATAGTCTATGGTAACCTTGTTTACCATCAGACGGGCCATATACTTGTGTACCATCACAGTAGTTTATAACACTATATAGTGTCGTGATGGAATCCTAAAAATCTTTAGATTCATATCAATAAATTGCGAGCTGTCAAGTTATCTAACAGCAATGGATAAGATAAGTCTGTCTGTACGTTAGAGATAAATACTGAATTGAATACGCGTTATATTACAACATATTTCGCAATAATATATTAGGTAATAATAATATATATATATATATATATATATATATATATATATATATATATATATATATATATATATATATATATATATATATGTTGGAGTTAAAACTCTTAACCAGTCAAAAGTATTATTGACTAGCAAAATCAGTCAAAAGTTTTGACCGTATTGCTTTAGTCAATTTGACTAAAATAACAGTTAAAAGTACCTAACCTAACCGCAAATTTGCGGTCAAAACCACTTTTGACAAGACTTTGTACAAAAGTCGTTTGCTTGGCCACCTCTGTCCCATTCGTGTTTCTACCGTGAAGCAGTTGTGTTTGCATGGCTGTGTTTCGGTTTGAAGGGTGCGATATGGCAGTGAATTTACACGGTACAGAGGAATAACACCTGAGTCCTCAGGAATGGCAACGCATGGGGGCTATCTTGGGCGAAACAGTATACTCTGTTATGTCCACGGTACTGCTCATGTCTATAGGCGACGGTTACCACTTTCCATCAGGTGGGCCGTCAGCTTGTTTGCCGTTCTAAGTTGTATAAAAAAAGAAGTACTTTTGACTGATTTTGCCAGTCAATAGCACTATTGACTGGTTAAGAGTTTTGACTGCAACATATACATATATATCACGCGTACGTAATAATCATTACGTACGCGTAATGACAAGCAGAATTTATCTTTTAATTTACAAGAAAATAATTATGAATTGATAATGATTTAAGACATAGCTAAAACTGACATCGCTGAAATTTTATTATTAAACTATTTATTAATTAGTTTTACAATATGAATAATTTATTTATTTATTTATTAGTACATGGCGGACTTAATGCTAAAAGCATTCTCTCCCAGTCAACCGTAGGCAAGTGTCAGAATACACGAATGCGGTACTACTAATTATTGATATACATACATACTAAAATTACATATATAAACGAATAGATATATATGAATAACAAATATACTTACACATATATGACATATACTATATTGTACACGAATTTGGGAATAATATAAAGTACTCACTGCTCGGATAAAGATAAAAAGTGAGCGTGAACGCTTTTTTTGAAAGACGGTTTAGTCGGTAGTCTCTTAATGGCATCAGGAAGCGCGTTCCAGAGTCGTGAAGAATGTAGGAGAAAAGAGTTTGAAGCGTAACCAGTACGGTGAGAGGGGAGAGATAATGTAATAATAATAAGATAATAATAATAATGTATTTTATTGCCAAACACATTCTATCATCTACATCTACGCTAATATTATAAAGAGGAGAGATTTGTTTTTTTTGTATATGTATGTATGTTTGTAATGAATAAACACAAAAACTACTTTGGCGTCATCAAAAATTCTCTCACCATTAGAAAGCTACATTCACCCCGAGTAACATAGGCTATATTTATTGCTAGAAAACATTAGGGGATCCTTACTAAAGCTTTAGTAACGTAACTCGAGGTGTAAAAAAAAATGCTATAAAATATCTTTGGTCGCGTGCGCTGCGGAAACTATTGGCGATAGAACAAAAGTATGTTCTACAATATTGAAGGAAATAACAATAACTACAAAAAACTTCGCGACACTATATGTCCAACTATTGTCGTTATGTCACAATAAGCACTTTTTAAAATGTTGTAAAAATGTCCACCCGTGCGAAGCCGGGACGGGCCGCTAGTTAGTAATATAGCCACTAGTCTCCGTTACTATACGGACTTCAAAATTAAAAAGAGGTCCTCATTTAGAATGTATTTTTTTATGTTTGTCACCTCATAACTCCGTCAGTTGTAAACTGATTTGGAGAATTCTTTTTTATATGAACACTAATACCAGAGGGAGACTGTACAAAAGTCGATTGCTTGGGTACCTCTAACCCATTCGTGTTTCTACCGTGAAGCAGTTGTATTTGCATGGCTGTGTTTCGGTTTGAAGGGTGGAATATGACAGTGAATTTACAGGGTACAGAGGAATAACACCTGAGTTCTCAGGAATTGTAACTTATGGGGGGTATCATGAGCGAAACAGTATACTCTGTTATGTCCATAGTACTGCTTATGTGTATAGGCGCCGGTTACCACTTTCCATCAGGTGGGCCGTCAGCTTGTTTGCCATTCTAAGTTGTATAAAATAAAAAAAAAAAAAGAATAGACGCACCTTTCCAACAAAAGGGTACAAAGTTTTATTGTCAAAATTTTCCAATCTTCAATAGTTTTTAACGCCTAAACCCTATTTCTAAGAATTCTCTACTCTACTCCCACGCGTTTTTATACCAATAATTAATACGTATTGATCGTAACTATGTTCAAATAATGTAATCACATGTCTCAAAACACTGAATTAATTACAGTCGAAACCGGGCGAGGTGACACAAGCGGTGAAGGACGCCATAGACGTTGGCTACCGCCATTTTGACTGCGCTTTTGTCTATGGCAACGAGAAAGAGGTCGGCGCCGCCATCACTGAGAAAATAAAGGCGGGCGTTGTTAAGCGGTAAGTGAGCATGCGCGGGTCAGCGTTATCTCGAATTATGATAAATTTATAACAGCAATATTGTGTATGAAATAGGAAGTGTTTTTGATTCACGTTTATCGAGATTATTTCATTGGCGTATTTATTTATGTTCTTTTTTTTTAGCAAATTTTATTTATGTATCTTTTTTGTTAATTTACTTTTTTGTTTTTTTTTTTAGACACACTTTGTTTATGTTTCTTTTTTCTATGTCTACTTTTTTTTTCTTTTATAAATGCGGTGTTTACGAATAATTGGTTAGTGCAATGTTTGTAATATTATATTGCAATAAAAAGAAGAATTAAAATAGGAATAAAAAAAAAGCAATTACTTTTTTTTAATTCTTATATTATTAAAGAGGGGTTTTTCTTAAAAAATATGGTACCTCATAGGTGCAACGATGTATAGAGATTTATATATATAATTTCGATATATCGAAATTACGAAATATAAATAACGATTGATTTTTATCTATATATTTTTTTATATATACTTTTTTTAATGGGTGATAATGGCGGCGCTATCGGTATACGCTGTCGGGGCACCAGTGAGGGTTGATAGATGAGGATGAAGGCAGGTCAGTTAACCCATCATGACGAATTCAACAAGAATTATTCATGATGGTTTCCAGGGGGAACCAGGTGGAGGTCGACCTGAGAATAAAATATATAAGAAGGAACTGCATTTATATATATATATATATATATATATATATATATATATACTAACCCTAATGTATAATTTCAGGGAGGACCTATTCATCACATCCAAGTTATGGAACACCTTCCATCGGCCGGACCTAGTCCGCGGCGCTCTCAACGCCACCTTGCAGAACCTCAACTTGACATATTTGGACCTGTACCTCATACACTGGCCGCAAGCTTACAAGGTAACTGTCGCATTATTTTTTTATCACAATACATTAAATGCTTATCATCTCCATATCAGCCGTTAACTGTCCACTGCTGGACATAGGCTTGGACAATTTGTTTTTATACACCTTAGCATGTCAAACAAGCTGACGGCCCACCTGATGGAAAGTGGTAACCGTCGCCTATAGACATGAGCAGTACCGTGGACATAACAGAGTATACTGTTTCGCCCATGATACCCCCCACGCGTTGCTATTCCTGAGGACTCAGGTGTTATTCCTCTGTACCGTGTAAATTCACTGCCATATCCCACCGTTCAAACCGAAACACAGCCATGCAAACACAACTGCTTCACGGTAGAGACACGAATGGGACAGAGGTGGCCAAGCAAACGACTTCTGTAAAGTCTCCCTCTGGTTAAAATATCATTTTTTGATAACATTTGTTATAGGAAGAAGCAGGCAGCCTCTTCCCGGCAGATGAGGCCGGCAAAATCCAATTCTCCGATGTGGACTACGTGGACACGTGGAAGGAGATGGAGGGGCTGGTCCGCGACGGACTGGTCCGCAGCATCGGCGTCTCCAACTTTAACAGGAGGCAGCTGGAGAAGTTGCTGCCAGCGGCGACTATAACGCCTGTCACTAATCAAGTAAGACATTTATACTTAAATAAAAACATATTTTACTAAACTAGATGTAGTTCTGCAGAAGTCCATATCACTGGTTTTTTTTGACGGGTGAAAATGGTATGGTAACCCCGCCTGCGCTAACGGGATACGCTGGCGGAGCACCAGTGAAGGGTGATAGATGAGAATGAAAACAGGCCAGTTAGCCCATCATGATGAATTCATCAGGAATTAACCATGATAGTTTCCAGGGAGAACCGCGAGGAGGTCGACCTGGTTGGGTATATTGCTAGCAATGGGATTCTCAGTCTCCATTACTAACAATCACTTTCCCCTCCATATCACAGGTTAAGTTTGTTTAGAATTATCTCGTTTAATTCCGCCACCATTAGTATGTATGCGACTGCCAACACTCGGAGACTGACCACCACTGTTACTACCAGAAGTGCCACAACCTTATATATAAGCTATTAATCTCCGACTGCCATTTTGCTCACGCATGTTTTGCTAAAAATAATAAAGCGAGGGAGTTTGTTTAAACGCCCTAATCTCTGAAACCGCCAGTGGAATTTAGAATAATAATTTTGCATTTGATGATTAAGGTTTTGGTGATGTTTTAAAAGGGACGCTGCTACCCATGCCTCTGCGGGGGGGAAAGGGATTGTTAGCAATGGAGTTTGACAGCCCCATTGCAAGCAGTATGCCCTATTAGGTCGACCTCCACGTGGTTCCCCCTGGAAACCATCTTTAACAATTCTTGTTGAATTCGTAACGATGGGCTAACTGACCTGCTTCATCCTCACCTATCACCCTTTACTGGTGCCCCGCCGGTGTATACCGTTAGCGCAGGCGGGGTTACCATTCCATTATCACCCGTTAAAAAACCCATCTCTCGCCCTCCCTTAGTTGCCTCTTACTATACCCACGGGAAAGGAAGGGGTGGCCTATTCTATGCCGGGACCATGCTGTGCCAGGACATGCTATGCTTTGAAGGTCTTTTTTTTTATACTACTGAGGTGGCAAACAAGCATACGGCCCACCTGATGGTAAGTGGTTACCGTAGCCTATGAACACATGCAATACCAGAGGTACTGCGCGTGCGTTGCCAACCCTGAAGAAACCACTTTACCCCCCTTTTGAAGAACCCCATGCTGTAGTCTCTTGGGAAAACCATGTTATGAAATTACATATTGTTTTTATAGGTCGAGTGCCATCCCTACCTAAATCAAAGTCGGTTGAAAGCGTTCTGCGAAGAGCGTGGTATAAAGATCACGGCCTACTCTCCGCTGGGGTCGCCGGACAGGCCGTGGGCGAAGCCCGGCGAGCCGCTGCTGTTAGAAGACCCCAAACTCAAGGCCATCGCCGACAGGATCGGGAAGAGCGTCGCTCAAGTACTGATCAGGTATGTTTGGGGGTCACCGGTGACCACTTGGTAAATTTTTGTATATTTTAAAACTTTGAATACATTAAATTATTGATTGACATTTTTTTTATAAAAATGGTCAATGAGTGTCTTTGTACAAAAGTCGTCTGCTTGGGTACTTCTGTCCCATTCGTGTTTCTGCCGTGAAGCAGTTGCCTTCATGATTGTGCTTCGCTTTGAAGGGTGTGATGTGCCCGTGAAATAACAGGATAAGGAAACAACAGCAAAGTCCTTAGATGGCAACGTGTGGAGGTTACTATGGACGTCACAGTATATCCTGTGATGTCCATTGTGCTGTTCAGGTCTATAGGTGACGGTTACCACTTACCATCAGGTGATCGTCAGTTCGTTGGTATAAAAAAAATTTAAACGATCCGAATAAAATGTACTAGGCTAACATATGTTCTAAGGAGTTATTCAAATACAGCGGAAGCAACTTTTTAAGGAAGTAGCTTTTTAATTCCATTGTGTTTTTATCAAAAGGAGACTTTGTACAAAAGTCGTCTGCTTGGGTACCTTAGTCCCATTCGTGTTTCTGCCGTGAAGCAGTTGCCTTCATGATTGTGCTTCGCTTTGAAGGGTGTGATGTGCCCGTGAAATAACAGGATAAGGAGACAACAGCAAAGTCCTTAGATGGCAACGTGTGGAGGTTACTATGGACGTCACAGTATATCCTGTGATGTCCATTGTGCTGTTCAGGTCTATAGGTTACCACTTACCATCAGGTGATCGTCAGTTCGTTGGTATAAAAAAAATTTAAACGATCCGAATAAAATGTACTAGGCTAACATATGTTCTAAGGAGTTATTCAAATACAGCGGAAGCAACTTTTTAAGGAAGTAGCTTTTTAATTCCATTGTGTTTTTATCAAAAGGAGACTTTGTACAAAAGTCGTCTGCTTGGGTACCTTAGTCCCATTCGTGTTTCTGCCGTGAAGCAGTTGCCTTCATGATTGTGCTTCGCTTTGAAGGGTGTGATGTGCCCCTGAAATAACAGGATAAGGAGACAACAGCAAAGTCCTTAGATGGCAACGTGTGGAGGTTACCATGGACGTCACAGTATATCCTGTGATGTCCATTGTGCTGTTCAGGTCTATATGTGACGGTTACCATTTACTATCAGGTGACCGTCAGTTCGTTGGTATAAAAAAAATTAAAACGATCCGAACAAAATGTACTAGGCTAACATGTGTTCTAAGGAGTTATTCAAATACTGCAGAAGCAACTTTTTAAGGAAGTAGCTTTTTATTTCCATTGTATTTTTGTCATAAGGAGACTTTGTACAAAAGTCGTCTGCTTGGGTACCTTAGTCCCATTAGTGTTTCTGCCATGAAGCAATTGTCTCCATGGCTGTTTCGGCTTGAAGGGTGGGATATGGCGTGAATTTACAGGGTACAGGGGAATAACACATTCGTCCTTAGGAATGGTAACGTATACTCTGATATATCCATGCTACTGATCGTATCTATAGGCGACGGTTACCACTTACCATCAGGTGACTATCAGCTTTATAGTTCTAAGTTGCTGAAAAAATCTCTCGTTGCAGATACCAAATAGAGCGCGGCGTCATCGTCATCCCGAAGTCAGTAACGAAGTCGCGCATCGCTAGCAACTTTGAAGTTTTCGATTTCCAGCTGTCCAAACAGGACTTGGAATTGATCGACTCCTTCGACTGTAATGGGCGCCTGGTACCCATGACTGCGTAAGTTCTCTTAACACTCATTTATTTTTCTCTAATTTTTTTTAACCGGTTGGTGTTCTCTACCAGTCGACCATTGGGCGAACAGAGAAATAAGTAGGCGGTGCATTGTTGAACTAATTATGAATTGAATAATTAATAATTTGTTTTTTTTTTCTTAATCTAAATATTTTACTTAGTCCATAATACTTTTGTCATTTGTCAGATTGACGTTTGTTTTTTTTTATAAACCAAGTAGTAGTTTTATGCACAATTTAAAAGGCAAAGGAACTAAGCCATACTTTGTGAACGAAAATTTACTATCTTTAATTTTTTTTACAGCTCCCTCGGACACAAGCATCACCCGTTCGAAAATGACGAATATTAAATGAATTTACATTCCTAATAATATGTATATAAATACATAATTTTTATAATAATGTATTATAAATGAATTATGTGATAACGTGTGTTATGATGCATTTATGTTTGCAATGAAATAAATATATTTTATTCTGTGTAAATTATTTTTTATTTAATTTATTTAGCATTTCACATAGACAGGGGACTACAGACTCTTAATCTTAAACTGCGGGATATTGTTAAAGTAACATATAGGATCTATGAAATGATGGTATAAAGCAGGGGAAAGCACAAAAGATCCTGATGGGTCGACGTGCAACGGTTTAGTTTTTTTTTTTGATGGGTGATAATGGTATGGTAACCCCGCCTGCGCTAACGGGATACGTCAGCGGAGCACCAGTGAAGGGTGATCGATGAGAATGAAAACAGGCCAGTTCGCACATCATGATAAATTCATCGGGAATTAACCATAATAGTTTCCAGGGGGAATCGCGAGTAGGTCGACCTGGTTGGGGTATATTGCTAGCAATAGGATTCTCAGTCTCCATTACTAACAATCCCTTTCCCCCCGATGATGATGATTAGGTCAACCGTTACGAGATACGAGAGAAATGGCACCTCAGAATCCAGTCTATATTTTTCTTCTATCGCCACATGGAAGCATCAAATGTCATATATGTTACAAAAAACAATGAAATAAAACACAAAATAAATATATTACAACATTTATTACACATTATATTCCATTATGAACTGTTCATACACAAAAGTTCCATCACAGTCGTGCTATCCCATATTGCTTACCGCCATCGTCAGTTTTGGCGCCAAATTGTTGTTCGAAATTCAAGTAAAATAAACTACATTAAACAGTCAAATTAAGAATCGAAATTTCAAATTGAACGTGACTGACATTAATTTTGGCGCCATATCGCGTGATGTTTTTTTTTTATCGATTTCTTGAATAACATAGACAGAGAATGGGAGCTGGCATTCTATGTCTATATTAAAATACTTACTTAAAGATCAGTCTGTACGTTGGGGCAATGAATATAATTTTTCATATTGAAATATGTTATTATTAATTTGAAACAATAACGTATGAATTTTCACAAATAATAATATAAATTAATAATAGACAATAATAATAATATAAAAGAGACTATAAAACCTCAAATACCATGCTTAAATAAACATAATCGCGAACACATTTGCAACACAACCAAGCCTGTAGCTAAGAACAAGGGATTACATAGACGGAATGATAAAATAAAAACTGTAAATCATATGGTTGCCTCCTTTCTTCTTATGAAAATATAATTAGTAAAAAGAGGACGAAAGATACACCATCAGGTTGCTATTTTTCTCAATTCACAGCAGGCTGGTGTATAGAAAATGTTTGATATGTCAATTATTTGTCAATGACAAATGTTACATTACTAGATTATATATTGGACACAGTTTATGTAGAAAGTATGCAAGCAGGTTGCATCTGTATTTTGTAGGGTTATACGGCCGTATAACATTTTCTATACACTAGCCTGCTACGAATTGACCATTTTATCACTCCTTCTATGTAATTCTTGTACATAGACTTGTAGCGATTCGAAGTCGGATTAAAAAAAAATACACAGCGGTGTTGCCAAAAACAAATTCTGTAATTACCTTAAACTACTAATAAATTTAAAATAAATTAATATAATGAATGTGTTGTGACTTTTTGATAGAATTTCATAATATCGATTAAATATTATTAAAAAATAATTGTACTTTATTCCGTTTCTATATACAGTATGTGCCGTGCGGGGGAAGGGATTGTTAATAATGGAATCTAACAGCCCCATTACTAATATACCCTATCAGGTCGACCTCCACGTGGTTCCCCCTGGAAACCATCGTGGTTAATTCTTGTGAAATTCGTCACGATGGGCTAATTGACCTGCCTTCATCCTCACCTATCACCTATCATGGTGCCCCGTCAGCGTATACCGATAGCGCAGGCGGGGTCACCATTCCATTATCATTCTAAAAAAAAAGAGCATGTGCCGTGTGGTCCCGGCATAGAATAGGATTCATCCCAGCCTTTCCTGTGGGTGTCGTAAGATTTAAGGGAACTTAATAGACGAGAGATAGCATTGTCAATAGATAGCAATGTCCTTCTTAAAAAAAAAAAAAAACTAAACTAACTGCGATTGCCTGAAGGAATTGTTAATAATAAGGAGTAAAAGCCCTTTGCTAGCAATATACCCTATCAGGTCGACCTCCACGCGGTTCCTCCTATAAACGATCCTGATTAATTCATGCTGAATTCGTCACGATGGGCTAACTGACCTGTTTTCATCCTCACCTATCATGATCTCCTGGTACTCCGCTAGCGTATACCGATAGTACAGGCGGGGTTACCATATCACCCATAAAAAAACTGCGGTTGCCAATCTGTCTGCCAAGCGTGGCAACTACTGGCAAAACCCACTTTTATGGGAGTGGCCTGTGTCCAGCAGTGGACAGATAACGGCTGATATGATAACAAAACAGTATAGACATACTATACTGTAAATATTTCCATTATTTACCAACTATATCCCGTGGCTTTGTCCGCGTGAATCAATACATAGTGTCCTAAATACAAAGTCAGGATATAACCTACCCGTGTGGGGGGAAAGGGATTGTTAGTAATTAGGTCTAATAGCCCCATTGCTAACAATATACCCCCTCAGTTCGACCTCCACGCGACTCCCCCTGGAAATCATCATGTTTAATTCTTGTCGAATTCATCATGATGGGCCAACTGATCTGCGTTCATTCTCACCTATCATCTTCCACTGGTGCCTCGTCGGTGTATGCCGGTAGCGCGGCGGGGTTACCATTCCATTTTCACCCATTAAAGAAAACAAAAACTTACCTAACTAACTTAACCTATCTACCAAATTTCCTTCAAATACGTCCAGTAGTTTTTACGTGAAGGCATAACAAATATCCACCCATCCAATGTTATAAACTATTTTATACTGGGAAGAAAGGGATTGTTAGTAATGGAGATCGAGAATCCCATTGCTAGCAATATACTCAATCAGGTCGACCTCCTCGCGGTTCCCCCTGGAAACTATCATGGTTAATTCCTGATGAATTCATCATGATAGGCTAACTGGCCTGTTTTCATTCTCATCTATCACCCTTCACTGGTGCTCCGCCAGCGTATCCCGTTAGCGCAGGCGGGGTTACCATACCATTTAATAGACATAGTACATTTAAATATACATACACACACATAATGTTAACAGAGATTTAAAAGAGTAACTGTTGAGGGTGATTTTAACAGATAACGACTTTCAGAACCCTGCAGTAAGTAAATAAAAAAAAATGAAGAGTTAAAAATGCTTATAAACAACATGCAAAGACAAAACCAGTTAATTTAGCCTAAAAACGAAAGTTCTAAATCGATTTTGATAAAATTTCCACGGGACATATCTGTAAGTATATCCTTTCGGATAAAAAAAGAAAAGAATTATCCAAATAAATTTGGAATTGATGGAGTTCGAAGTTATAAAAAAAAACTTTAATAAAAAAATTCAACCGAATTGAGAAACTTCATCTTTTTGAAGTCGGTTGAAAAGAGGAGGCCGGATGGATCATGACCACCCCAAGATCAGGAATGGCACTTTCAACTATAAGCAAAGATCAGAAGTGAAATTTTCAACTATGCCCCAAGATCAGGAATGGTACTTTCAACTATAAGCAAAGATCAGAAGTGAAATTTTCAACTATGCCCCAAGATCAGGAATGCACTTTCAACTATAAGCAAAGATCAGAAGTGAAATTTTCAACTATGCCCCAAGATCAGGAGTGAAACTTTCAACTTTAAGCAAAGATCAGAAGTGAAATTTTCAACTATGCCCCAAGATCAGGAGTGAAACTTTCAACTTTAAGCAAAGATATAAAAAGTACTTATGCATCTTTATTAAGAAACCAGGAAAATAATATTAAATACGTCAATTTTGCGGGCAAATCCGGTACTCAAAGCTATATTACAACAAGCAAAGTCGTAAACAATTAAATTATAATAATATCAGTACTAAATTACTAAATCTACTTAACTGTAATATACAAAAATATACAAAAAAAAAAAAACATACACACACACACTTTAAACTTTGAAGCGCGACACTTTTTATCACTTTGTAACAGGCATGGGCGATTAAAATAAAACATGCTAACGACTACAATCCCTGATTGGGTAGACAGAGCCATCTGTCGACTGTTGTGGACGATAAACGACATTTCCACGTTTCGAGCGTATTACAATCATGGGCGATACAAGTTATATATAGATACGATAACTATATATCGGTACTATATCTAATATCTAGTTATTGGTATGTACGATTGTTAGTAATGCAAATACAAGTTTCCACAGCTATCAAAATGCCTTATTAAAAAGAAAAATTTAGATGTCCAATAACATGTAAATAATCTTTTATCCTATTGTTTTTTTCTCGTTTTACTCCATTTATTTAACTGATTACTACATTAACAAATAAAGTAAAAAAAAAAAAAAAAGAAATGTAGAACTAAAATCTACAATATAATAAAATTACCTACTTTCTATATAGCAGAAATTTTAAAAATAAACCAACTACAATTATAACAGAGTATCATAGATTCCGACCGATACATAGATATCAAAATATTTCGATATATGATATTACAAAATATATAGTTACCTATAGATATTACCCATGCCTATGGTAACAGTATAAATACACATGTCCATTCACTTAATATTGTCATTTCAGTTTGCTGTCACGTAACACTCGATATTAGTGACGCGGTCACACGATTCTAGTGACGCGGTCACCTGGTATTAGTGGCGCGGTCACTCTCATTCCAGTGACGCGGTCACTCAATCTAATGACGCAGTCTCTCGATATTAGTGTAGCGGTTACTCGATCTAGTGACGCGGTCACTCTAATTCTAGTGACGCGGTCACTCTCATTCTAGTGACGCGGCCACTCAATATAAGTGACGCAGTCTCTCGATCTAGTGACGCGGTCACTAAGCATTAGTGACGCGGTCACACAATATTAGTGACGCGTTTTCCCCAACACTTGTTCATTATAATCACAACACAGGACGTCACCGGAGCCGTTTCGGACACTATTATTCGCCTTTAAGTCTCTTACTGAACTCCTCTTGTTGTAGCTCCCGCCATTCTTTCTTTGGTTTCATGCGTTTTAATTGGCCGTCCCTGCAATAAAATATAAATAAATAGACATAAAAGCTTGTAGTATAGTCACTAGAGTAGATAACGTATGTTTAAGGGATGGAGGAAGGGGGTTATTAACAGAAAAAAGTAAAAAGTAGTTGTTTGCTTGAGTAGCTCTATCCCATTTGTGTTGCTACCGTGAAGCAGCCGTGCTCGCATGGCTGTGTTCCGGTTTGAAGTGCGAGATATTTATTTATTCTTTATTGTACAATAAAACTTTGTACAAGTGGCGAGCTTAATGCCATATTGCGTTCTCCACCAGCTAGCCGTTAGGTGAAAACAGGAAGCGTATGAAGGGCAGTGGTATGGTATATATATACTTAGCTGACTCGGCAAACGTTGTTTTACCATATACATTATTTCTAGAACTATACATGAAAATATATCGTACTACAATTATTATATTCGATCGCCATCTTGCAACCCTATTGCGGCATATAAAAATTGAGATTAAACAACAGAGGTTGATCGTAAAAGGGTGAAAATTTGAAGTTGTGTGTATTTTTCAATGCTAAGTCATTATAAAATAAAAATAAAAAAATTGTCAAAAAAATAAAAATAAAATATTTAGAGGTGGGTCACCCTTATCATTGAGGGGTATGAAAAATAGATGTTGGCCGATTCTCAGACTTACCCGATATGCACACAAAATTTCATAAATATCGGTAAAGCCGTTTCGGAGGAGTTTGGTAACAAACACCGCGACACGAGAATTTTATATATATATATATATATATATATATATATATATATATATATAATAAATAAGAATCTATTTATCTATTCGAACTCACCACATGAGGTCGACGAGGCCGCCCCGCCGCGCGATCACCGACTTGACACGGTTCGCGAAGTCGACGGCCGACTCATGGGGCTCCCGGTACATGGGGGGCAGGTACCATATGTCGCACACGATCGCCCACGAGGTCATCATGTTGAGGAGGTAGTGGAGCATGCCGTAGCGGGAGCTGTTCCAGAACGCGTCGCCGAACCTCGGGTCGTATCTGGTTAGGAGGTACATGGATATCATAAGATACATAGAGGTAGATGCCTGTTATTGTTTTATACTTATAGTGTGTGCGTGGTCCCGACATAGAATGGATGACCCATTCTATGTCAGGACCACACACACATTAGGGAACTAAATGGTCGAGGAATAGGCAGCAGTAGCCCTCTTAAAACATCTCTAAAGCCTCACTGCGGTTGCCAACCCGCCTGCCAAGCGTGGCAACTACTGGAAAATCCCCCCAAAGACGAGACTTATGTTCAGCAGTGGACAGTTAAAGCCTGATATCATGATGATGTAGATAAAAGTAGGTAGATATTATATGTATTTGTAGCTTTTTCTAAGGGAGACTGTACAAAACTCGTTTGCTTGGCCACCTCTGTCCCATTCGTGTTTCTACCGTGAAGCAGTTGTGTTTGCATGGCTGTGTTTCGGTTTAAACGGTGGGATGTGGCAGTGAATTTACACGGTACAGAGGAATAACATCAGAGTCCTCAGGAATGGCAACGCATGGGGGGTATCATGAGCGAAACAGTATACTCTGTTATGTCCACGGTACTGCTCATGTCTATAGGCGACGGTTACCACTTTCCATCAGGTGGGCCGTCAGCTTGTTTGCCATTCTAAGTTGTATAAAAAAAGCTTATGTATTAATTAGTACATATTTAGTATATTAATCTTGTACGTACAGAACACGTGCAGTTTAGCTGCCCGCGAACTACACGCTTTTCAATTATATTGGGTTGACTGGAAGAGATCTCTGTCAGAGATAAGTCCATCCTTGCTCAAAATATTTATAAATGTATTAACAATGTCGTTTTAAACTATATTATAAAAAATAGATGGTTTCCGCCATTATCCGTCCACTACTGGACATAAACCTCCCCCATAGACTGCCACAAAAAACGGTCCTGAGCCACCTGCATCGACTGACTCCCTGCGATGCATTTTAGGCCGTCACTCCATATAGTGAGGAGTCGTCCTACACTGCGTTTACCAGTACGCGGTCGCCAATCAACAAGCTTTCTACCTCATTGGTTGTCGGTTTTTCGAGATATGTGACCAGCCCATTGCCACTGGGGGGAAAAGGATTGTTACTAATGGAGACTGAGAATCCCATTGCTAGCAATATACCCAACTAGGTCGACTTCCACGCGGTTCTCCCTGGAAACTATCATGGTTAATTCCTGATGAATTCCTAATGATGGGCTAACTGGCCTGTTTTCATTCTCATCTATCATCCTTCACTGGTGCTCCGCCGGCGTGTCACGTTAGCGCAGGCGGGGCTACCATTTCATTTTCACCCACAAAAAAAAAAACTATACTCACTTGATGGCGACGGGATATATGATGCCGCCGACTTCGAAGCTGCCCTTCTTGAACTGCATCACCGACGTATTATTGATGCACGTGCCCTCGGGGAAGATCAGGATCGGGGGGTTGTCCGGCACGGAGATGTGCTCTTTTAGTCTACAAGTGGACAGATAGATTTAGAAAAACCTTTGTTCCTGGCGTGAAGCAGTTGTGCTGGCATGGCTGTCTTTCCGTTTGGAGTGTGGGATATGGCAGGGAAATAACGAGGTACAGAGACGTAATACTAGTCCTCGGGGGGAAAGGGATTGTTAGTAATGGAGATTGAGAATCCCATTGCTAGCAATATACTCAATCAGGTCGACCTCTTCGCGGTTCACCCTGGAAACTATCATGGTTAATTCCTGATGAATTCATCATGATGGGCTAACTGGCCCGTTTTCATTCTCATCTATCACCCTTCACTGGTGCTCCGCCAGCGTATCCCGTTAGCGCAGACGGGGTTACCATACCATTTTCACCCATCAAAAAAAAAAATACTAGTCCTCAGGAATGGTAACGCGTGAGGTGTACCATGGGTGTCACAGTGTATTCTGTGACGTTCACGGTGCAGTTCATGTATCTTAATAGAATGATTAAGCTCTAAGTAATGTATGTTCTCCTGGTATCGACGCCACTGTCTCACTTCGTCTACGACGACATTTACCACTTCCCGGCTGTCAGAATGCTGTGCTGATACCAGGAGAACATGCATTAGTTAGAATTTACTCAATCTATTCTTCCGTGGAAGAACTACGAGTTATTGAATAATATCTCCTTAGAATACATGTTAGCCTGGTACTTTTTGTTCAGATTGTTTTAATTTTTTTTACTATACAACCTGGATGGTAAGTGGTAACCGTCGCCTGAACATGAAACAGCGCCGTGGACGTCACAGAATACACTGTGATACCCATAGTACCCATCACATGATGTCCGCCAGAATCTTCACAATCACAAAAGATTGTAATATATTAGAAATAACACCTGAGTCCACAGGAATGGCAACGCATGGGGGGTATCATGGGCGAAACAGTATACTCTGTTATGTCCACAGTACCGCTCATGTCTATAGGCGACGGTTACCACTTTCCATCAAGTGGGCCGTCAGCTTGTTTACCATTCTAAGTTGCATAAAAATAAATTAGTTACTGAAATAAAAAAGAAATTGTATAATAAAAAAAAATACATTACCTTTTAGCGACAGCATGTCTGTCCTTCACTTCTGACCTCTCGAACCATATATGGGGCGAGGCTCTAGCTAGCGCCCTCTGTAAGAGCCCCAAAAACCCGCCGTGCCGTTGGCCAATCTACAAATATTGCAAAGTATAATAATTTAAAGACACAGACAATCCCTTGAAATTTGATATGGATGTAGAAGGGCTAATCCCATATCCCGGCCACGTAGACGAAGTCGCGGGTAAAACTAGTGAGTTCACGAATTACTTTTATCAATAACTAATAATAGACTTAAGGAAGATTTCGTACAAAAGTCGCCTGCTTGGGTACCTCTGTCCCATTTCTGTTTCTGCCATAAAGCAGTTGTTTTCATTGCTGTGTTTCAATTTAAAAGATGTTATGTGTGATAAGGAGACATAACACCAAAGCCCTCAAATGCCAACGCATGAAAGGCACTATAGGCGTTACAGTGTATATACTGTGATGTCAACAGTACTGTTCATGTCTATAGGCAACGACTACCATTTACCATCTGGTGACCGTCAGCTAGTTTGTACAAAAAAAATAAATAGAACGATCCCAACAAAAAGTACCAGGCTAACATATGTTCTAGGGAGATATTCAAATTTCATATATTTATAGGAGATATGGCAGTGAAATAACAGAGTACAAAAGCATAACACTTTAGTCTGAGGGAAGAGATTGGTAGTAATGGGGTCTAAAAAGCCCCATTGCTAGCAATATTCCCTAGCAGGTCGACTTCTACGCGGTTCCCCTTGGAAACCATTGTGGTTGTTTTTTGCGGGATTCGTCACGATGAGCTAACTGACTTGTTTTATCCTCACCTATTATGTGCCCCTGGTACTCCGCCAGCGTAAATGCAAGCGGGGTTACCATTCTATAAAAAAAAAACACCTTACAGGAATGGGAATATATGACGGGTGTCATGGGCGAATCAGTATACTCTGTTACGTCCACGGTACTGCTCATGGCTATAGGCGACGGTTACCACTTTCCATCAGGTCGGCTGTGATTTATGAAATTAAAGCAACATACAATGGCAAACAAGCTGACGGCCTGCCTGACGGAAAGTGACTTTTGTACAAAGCTCTAGCTTTTTTTTCATTACATTAATTAATTAATTCATTAATCCCATTAATAATATTTACCCAAGACAACATTTTGAAACACATAAGCACAAATATAAGGCAAACGAAATGATCAGGCCAGCGCCGCACCACAACCGCTTACGATTAAGGGTTCCGAATGGTCCCGTAACTAGTTGAGCTTTCTCTACCTAACTACGCATAAGTTAAATAAACCGGCAGTTATTACATTAAAATATAATGTGTGCTTACGGAAAACTTTAACAATTAAACGAAATGGCATTATGGATAAACAATTTTTGATGAGATTTCAAAGATTCGCAACTTTCGTTGGCTTATTTTGATAGTTCTTTTTGTTATTTAATATTATTACTTACATAAACTTGCTATTTTAAGCCAATGACTGCTGTGACCTTTTTATAAGTCCATGACCACTAATTACTAGGGTCGATTCTGAGGCGCTCTTTCTCTAAATCTATTACTAAGTTAAAATTTTTAATTTGGTGTAGTCTCCAACTGTAATATCGAAAGCGAAATCTTTGCTTTGAGGACCAATATGATATAACAAATTTTTTAATAGATTTAAGGAAAAATTTTATAGATAGATAGATAGAAATTATTATAAGTTAATTTTTTTTTATACCACTGAGGTGGCAAACAAGCATACGGCCAACCTGATGGTAAGCGATTACCGTAGGCTATATATAATTGTCCATAAAACAATAATTATGTGACACTATCAAATTACGATATCAGGTTAAGAAATAGGTTTAGAGTAATGACGCCTCGAAATCGGCCTCAGCATGATTATCTGAATGACAAATAATGTAATCAATTATTTCAATCAAATATTGTACAAAAATACCGCGCGTAAACAAATTCGTGTACAACAACAAGTTCAAATACTAGAATACTTACCAAAGTGGCAGTCAGTGACTGCTATGACATGATATACTCTTTATGAATATATTATTTAAGTAATAGGTCATTCACCATTTACCTTTTTAATAAAAATAAATGAAGTCATTGACTTTTATTACTTATTAAATTGTAAGTCAGTGACTGCTATTAATATTATCACTAATTGCAAAACATGAAAGTGCAGTGCAAAATTAAATTAAATTATTAACTAATGTTAGTTACCAAATTATATCTACAATGATTATTACACAATGTGAGATTACATTTAATAAATGACTACTATCACCGACTATATAAATATAAATGAAGTCGTTGACTTTTTACTTACCAAAGTACAAGTCAGTAGCTAAGCTGGTTGCACGATTATACTAAGAGATAATACGAGACTACTTATTCAATAAATAATTAAATCACTTATATGGGCTAAAAATAAAAAAAAAATTTCATTGAAAAATAAAAAAAAGTTTTTTTACTATTATTAATACTTGTATAAAATACTGTCTAACAACAAATAAAGACATTGAATATAATTGCTTACATAAATGAGACAAATAAATAAAATAAATTTACTACTATTAGAGACTGCATAAAAATAAATGAAGTCACTACTGTATAAGTCTTATAAGTCAGTGACTACTATAATTGAATAAGGTTTTTAATTAATAAATTATCACTACCAGAGAATGCATATTAAAAAAATTACCAAATTAGAAACCAGTGACTACTGCCACTATTCACGTATATAATACGAGAGTACTACTATTTAAAAATAAACCTTTTTGAAATTAGGAATTTAGTGTAAAAGAGACAAAACACTTCTATAGCAAAAATAGGTTTAAAAGACATTTTACGTCTTATTGAATAAGGGCGTCAGTGACAACTAGGCATGAGTAATATTGATACTGCTATGATATCTACATATTGGGTTCTTCCAGACATTGATGGCAGAAAAGGTCATTACCCAATTCGATATTACTCCTATCATTCATTTATTAATTAATTTATTTAATACTTTATTGCACCAATACTACAAGATTTATTGAAGAATTTTCAGTAAGTATAGTGTGGTAGAAAAGGTGGTCTTATTGTGAAACAATCTCTTTCGAACGACCTTTGCGTAGAAGGAATTAAATAATAAATGGGTAGGTGGCGAACGCAATATTATTTATTCGCTAATTTGCTAGAATCAGGTACATTTTTTTATAGGTGTTACAACATAAGAAAATTATAGTCCAATCTTATTCTGCTACAATGTAGTAAATATATACATATAATAATAATAATAAATCTCTTTATTTTCAGGTATATACCCATAGTTAACATTTTTATATTATTAATTAAATAAATTGTTATTATTATTTTTAAAATATACATCAATTATAAAATACCAATTTAAATTATTTCGTTATAAAATCTCTTGTCGTCAGGTATGCTGTGAGAAATACAGTCTTTACAATATTATTACTTGTTGTCATTAATCTGTCATGAAATTTTGCCTTATAATTACGTAAATATATAGGATAAGCTATATTTAACATATCCATTATTAGCCCAATATATAGATATTCAATCTCATAATCTTCCTGTCTTTATCCCAATTACTTGGGGTTAACGTAATATGTTTTTATTCATACTACACAAAATCTTTACCATTAGCCGCCTGTTTACAATATACAAATATCGCTACATATTACCCACACCTAGCAGCTACTAACAGGGACTGTATAAAAATAAATGACGTTTGCTACTTACCAGTTAACTAGACTTATAAAACTTATAAGTCAGTGACTTCTACGATGCACGTGACCACTTACCAGCGAGTAACAGTTGTCGCACATCAACACCAACGCGTCAATGGGGCTCGTGTGATTGGCAACGCAGATTCCACTTCGGGGCTTGTTCTGAGCGTCGTGATACGTTATCACGACTGATATGCACCGCGATAGGAAGTTGAAGCACATAATGGACACGACGTAGTTGACGCGCTGTTTGAACGGCCCGTCCGGGAGGGTTCCGATGCAAGCCGTGCTTACTATAAGGAGCCAGACCTGGATGTACCCGGTGAATGAGCGGAGAGCATTTATGAGTATTCAACAATTGATTTTTTTTTGTTGTGTTATATGTTTTATTCATAAAAAAAAAATATGTATTGTTGGTTTTATAAAATAAGTAAAACGTAGCCCCTATCATTTCGGAATAAATCGACAAGCGTAAATATAAGATTGATAACTGTTAACTTATATTTACTTTGAGTTTTCTTCTTTCCTTTAGATTAATATATTAATAAACGAACTAATTTAATTAACATTAATTTAAAAATAATATAAAGAAAATATTTGAAATATTTCTTTTTATATTATTATTAAATTAACATTTATATAAATAACGAAAAATATTCTCAAAGTGTTATTAAAAAAAAAAAAATATAAATGCTCTTCGCTGTATACATTTCAATCGATGCCTTACTTCGAATGACATGTAGCAATGATTTTTTTATACTTGCAGTCAATCATAGAAGTCATTGACTTACACGCTAATAAGTCAGTGACTTCATGACCACTCAGAATGCGTATTAGTAGAATTTGTATACAATATTAATGGAACACATAAAACAGACATATTTAGTATCGTTTACATGTAAGACAGGCACAAATGGATAAAATGAGGTCATATTATATACACCCATGCATTAGACCGTATATGGAAGCGACAAAACCCATAGACAACACAAAACCCCCGAGATAATTAAAAAGTACTACCAAAGAGTAACAATTATTGATGCTTAGCGCGGCAACATCGATCGGGCTCGTGTGGTTGGCAACACAGAATCCGTTTTTCTTCGGTATATATTCAGTATCGTGGAATCTAACGTAACAAGAGAGAGCTCGGAAGAGTATTCTGAAAGACATCTTGTAGGCCAACGCTCCCAAAAATAGTCGAATTTTGCACGCTGGCAACATGCTTACAATCAAGGTAGACACTACCATGGTTACCACCTGGGGTTGCCAACATACATGGTAGTTTTCACAAATCGTATTATTCGGTAGAATCCGATGTCAGGCCATGTGGTAGAAAAACGAAGTTAGGTTTTGCCGCCATTTTGTACAATGGTAGTTTTCGGCCATTTTCCAATTGCGATTCGTCACGTCAGACCATTGAGTGTTGCCACGGATTAGTAAAGGAAATAAAACATAAAATTAATAAAGGCGAACAAATTATATATATAGATTAATATAAGCTGTTTTTTTTATATCGTATTGTCTAAACGATTTGAAGGGTTGGATATGGCGTGAATTTACAGGGTACAGAGGAATAACATCTGAGTCCTCAGGAATGGCAACGCATGGGGGGTATCATGGGCGAAACAGTATACTCTGTTATGTCCACGGTACTGCTCATGTCTATAGGCGACGGTTACCACTTTCCATCAGGTGGGCCGTCAGCTTGTTTGCCATTCTAAGTTGAATAAAAAACCGACTTAATTTGTGACAAAGACCAGTTATGTTGATTCTACGATAAATCGACCAAGATTACAAAAAAAAAAAAATGATTTTTCCAAATCGAATCGATTTATAACTGACAGAGTTGATGAGGTAACAGACATGAAAGAAGAAATATAACCGAATTGATAATCTCCTTTTTTACAAGTCGGCCAAGAAAGGTAATGTATTGAGGGTAGATTTTTCATTCCACCATAACTTGTAAATGCCTGAACAGATTTGAATGTATAGGGGTTCGGTTAGAATCCTCACATCATCCCGAGTGATACGGGCTATAAATTTTTGGAAAACAGCGGAACTACCATGAAATGTTTTTCGAAATTTCGAGGCTGAATGAAACAAAAAGTTCATGTTAAAATTACATAATAATACATACCGTTCAAAAAATATTTAAAAATGTTACAAATATCTTTCCTTTGGACTTTTATTTATATTTATTTTAAGTTCCATTTAAATGAAAAAAAACAAAAAATTCAAAATTGAGTCCGAAAAATCGCCATTTCATTTCATGGTAAACCGCAATTCGTATTTTTGTTGGACATTCGTGTTTTATTTTTTTTATTTGATCAGCAAAATATATTTGTTAGAATAGAAAAAAAAAAAACATATACTGAGATCCCTTATTCATAAAAAAAAACATCAAATCTCTAATTTTACTCCATCTCTTTTAGGCATTAAACTCTCTCTTTCTTTCACACTAAATTCCCAATTTGAAAGAAAGCGATAAAACAATGTAATGATTAAGTTAGACTCGTAGAATATTTTAGTTTTTATGAATAAGGGGTTACAGTCAAATATAGAAAAATAATGCAGATATCCAGAGGCAGACTAAATGCAGGGAGCGAACTAGGCAAGCACCTTACCGGGGCCCTCGAGGGGGCCATATATTAGAACAATAATAAATATGCCCCTAAAATCCTACCCTAAGTCCGTGTCGAACACCAGACCTCGTGAGGGGTGGGGAGAACATATACAAAATAAAACTTAATACGGTCGGGGGAAAAGGGATTGTTAGTCATGGGGATTAGAAACCCTATCAGTACGACCTCCTCTCGCGGTTTTCCCTGGAAACCATTGTGATTGGTTTATTGGTAAATTCGTTACGATGGGCTAACTGACCTGCCCTTCATTCTCATCTATCATCCCTCATTGATGCCTCGCCAGTGCATACTGATAACACGGGGTTACAATTCCATTATTATCCATTTAAAAAATTCAATATGGCCGACAGGATAAGTACAAATTAAAGATGGCGAACGAATACAATGAAGCTCTAAACCTCGGTTGGGTCATTTACTTTTCTTTTTTTTTCTAACATAGTTGTAAGAAAATTGTTGTTAACAAAATTGACCAAATTGTAGTCTGAATAATAAAGTATTATATTCCACTGTTGAACATAGGCTTGCCCCCACAAAGGATGGTTTTGCTAATAGTTGCCACGCTAGGCAGACGGGTTGACAACAGCAGTTAGGTATTGTTGATGTTTTAAGAGGAACGCTGCTGCCCTCGCCCATTGAGTTACCTTAGTCACGACACCCACGGGAAAGGAAGGGGGAGAAGGCTATATCAGTGTTTTAGGTAAATTGTATAACTATATTTTATATTACTCCTCTCCATCCAAAGATTAGCTGCAAGAGATCGCTTTCAGCGATAAGGCCGCCCATTGTTTTCTCTGTGTAATAATTTCTTGTAATTGTTTATATCTATAATAAGTTTACTATTGTAATCTTATGGAGGAAACAATAAAAAGTACCTATCTATCTATTGTAAGTAATAGGTACATATTGGCACAATTAATTTCTTTTTTTTTTCGTTTAAAAATTCGCACGCGCCCCTTTGTATTCTCGCGCCCCCAAGTACGTGCCTAGTTTGCCTTAGAAATAATCCGTCTCTGGTTAATGCGTTAGTATAACGTTTAATAAGCGATCTAAACTTGAACAAGTTCTACTCACCCCGATTACAAATATCAGCACTCTCAGTGGCAGTAAGAACATATATCTGACTAGGAAACCCATAGCCCATATAATCGTTAAACGCCATGTCAGAAATTCGTATTGTCTGAAATGAAAAATTCCATTAAATCCATGGGAGACTTATACAAGATTGTCTAGGGGAGAGAGAAGCTAGCAGTCCCATTGCTAGTAACGTCAGGTTGACTTCCACGTACCTCCCCCTTGTAAACCATCCGAGGCCAAACAACGGGGTCACCTATCCATCCATGAAAAAAAAGTTGTCTAAGGAAGGGGGGGGGGAAGCTACCAGTCCCATTGCTAGCAATACAGGTTGATCTCCACGCACCGCCCCTGGAAAGCATCGTGCTAAATTCCAGGTGTTATTCATCACGATAGGTTTATTGACCTGCTTTTCTCCTTACCTATCATGTTTCCCTGGTACCTCGCCAATGTATACTTTTAGCGGAGGTGGGGTTTCATCTATTAAAAAAAAAAAGATTATCTAAGGGAGAGGGGAAGCTACCAGTCATATTGCTAGCAATATACAAGTTGATCTCCACGCACCGCCCCTGGAAAGCATCGAGCTAAATTCCAGGTGTATTCATCACGATAGGCTAACTGAACTGCTTTCCTCCTCACCTATCATGTTTCCCTGGTACACTGCCAGCGTATACCGATAGCGCGGGCGGGGTTGCCGTTCCATTTTCACCCATTAAAAAAAACTCTGACCCACTCAAAGGCATAGTATAATGTACCACATATTGACAGACTGGCAAGACAATCACAAATATAAGACAAGAAAATGGTTACACTGTAAGATGAACGTACCTAGTTTAAATATGTATAAAGGAACGCATCTTAATTGACAGATGACATTAGTTAACATGTATGTACTAGCGGATCTTCCGGTTGCTTTCTCACCTTTGTTCACTCTCTTGATGTTAATAAATATGTTTGCAATTAAATAAGTTTTATTTAAATATAATATGGCGCAGTCGTAGCGGTATTTGAAGTAGTAGTCATGGTTGAAGTTGCAATTATCGTATTCAAAGTGTAAACGAGATTGTATCAAGTATTAAATATCGGAAAGAAGTTTTTCAGCCAAGCAGACGCCATCATGGAAGGATCGGTTAAATTGCCTCCAAATTTCGACATAAGATCGCCTAATGCAGCCTCAGAGTGGAAGGTATGGATACAGGCATTCGAGGATTATTTAGTGAGCATTGGAAAAGATGACTCGCAGGACAAAGTAAAATTATCACTTTTGCGTAATATGATGGGAATCGAATCTGCAAGATTGCTACATACATTGCCGATTACGGAAACAGAATCGCAAGTCTATGCAAATGTTATAAGAGCTATTAATAATTATGTAAGTCCAAGAGCAAATCAAGTATTTGAAAGATATAAATTTAATGAAAGGAAACAAAGAGAAGGCGAAAGTTTTCATAATTTTCTCACAGATTTAAAACAGCTGCTTGCTAATTGTTCGTATAAAAATGTAGAAGGACAAGAATCATTAGAGGACCAAATATTAAGAGATAAAATAGTGCAAGGCATATACGCCAAGTCCTTACAGGAATCTCTACTTAGAATAGACAATTTAACACTGGAGAAGGCAACCAACTTTTGTCGTACAAGTGAAATTAGTAAAAAGCAGGCAAAAGAGATGAATCCAAATATAGAAATAGATATAGTGAAGAAAAGAAATAGTTTAAAACAGAAGGAAAAGGAAGTATATCAAGGAAATAAAGAAGTATATAATGGGAAACAGAAAAATAAAGGAAGGCAGCATGCATATCAAGAAAATAAAACAAAATATATAGAAAAATTTAATTGTAGGCGCTGTAAGAGAAACCACGGGCCGAGGGAGTGTCCAGCCTTTGGGCAGAGATGTCATAAATGTGGATTAAAGAATCACTTTGCAGTTAGTTGTAATGTGAAGAAAAAGGTACAAAATGTAGATTGTAATTCTGACAGTGACTCTAATTCTAAATTGTAATGTTGCAGTATAACGAGAAACCAGGTAAAAGGTAATAAAAAGACACACTGGACAGAGAACATTTTAATTGAGAACAGGTATGTAAACTGTAGATTAGATACCGGGGCAGATGTGAGTATAATGCCATTAAATATATATAAGTCACTAGGAAGTAATATTGAACTTAGGAAATGTAACCAAAGTTTAGAGGCCTTTCAAGGCTCCACAATTAAACCAGTGGGTATGGTAAATTTACACTGTAAATATAAAGCAATTGAATGTTATGAAGATTTCATGGTAGTTGACTGTAAATCAATGTTACTAGGATTACCAGGTTGTATTGCATTGAATTTAGTTAAAAGAATTAATACAGTAAATTTAAATTGTAATGATGAGAAATTTAAGTTTATACAAGAAAATATGGAAATTTTTGAAGGTCATGGAAATTTTCCTAAACCAGTGGATATTCCTACATTACCACATGAGCAAATTTGTCATGCGGCACCTAAGATACCAAATAAATTATATAATCCATTGAAGTGTGAATTGAATAGGTTAGTTAAGAGGAAAGCTATCACTAAAGTTGAAGAGATAAGTTCAGAAGCATGTATAAATAGGCTAGTTTTAGTAGAAAAACCTAATGGAAATATAAGATTGTGTTTAGATCCCAGTGAGTTAAATAAAAAAATAATTAGAAAACCCCAAGTATTATTAACTGTAGATGAGATAGCATGTAAAGTAAAAGGTAAAAAGTATTTTTCAGTTTTTGATTTATCGGAAGGATTTCATCATGTGACACTAACAGAAAGTGCATCATGGAAATGTTGTTTTGCGACACCTTTTGGAGTGTATAGATACTTAGTTTTACCGTATGGTCTTTCAAATTCACCTGATGTATTTCAAGATCAAATTCAAAATTACTTTGGCGATATACCTAATGTAATAACATGGTTCGATGACTTACTAGTTATGGGAGAAACTGAGGAAGCTCATGATAAAACTGTTAGGGAAGTTATTAAACGTGCAAAACAAATAAAAGCTAAATTTAATAAAGACAAGTTGCAATATAAGTTAAAAGAAATTAAATATATAGGACAAATATTCAGTGAAAAGGGTATGGAAATGGACAAGGATAGAGTCAAATCTTTATTAAGTCTAGAAGCTCCTAGAAATATAGCTGAGTTAAGAAGAATTATAGGGTCATTCAATTATGTTAGAAGATATGTACCAGAAATGGCTGAGCTTATGGCTCCATTATGTCAATTATTGAAAAAAGATGTTTTATTTCAGTGGTTACCAATACATGATAAAAATTTTTCAGAGCTCAAAAAGAAAGTTTCAGAGGCTCCAGCTTTGAGTGCTTTTGATTCTAAAAAGGAAATTATAATGCAGTGTGATGCATCTCAGAATGGAATAGGTAGTTGTTTGTTTCAAAAAGATAACAATAACTGTTTAAGATTAGTAGCTTGTGTATCCAGAACAATGAACAATTGTGAAATAAACTATAGTCAAACGGAAAAGGAATTATTAGCTATTTATTTTGGTACACAAAAATTCCATAAATATATATATGGTGCTAAAAATATTCAGGTACAAACAGATCACAAACCATTGATTTCAATTATTAAAAAGCCTAATACTAAAGTAGGATCTCCAAGGCTTAGACGTTTGTGTCTTAAATTATTAAATTATAGATTAAATCTTAATTATATACCAGGTAAAGACATTAATTTTGCAGACATGTTATCTAGATGTAGTATGAAAACAACAGAGAAGGACTATGAAATGTTAGACATGGATCATTCAGTTTCATTGCATTTGCCTATGAGTAGTGAAAGAAAGTCTGAGTTTAGATCTGAGACTAGCAAAGATAAAGTGTTATCTGAAATTATAAAATATTATTATCAAGGATGGCCTGAAGAAAATAAATTGTTAAAAGAATGTAAACCATATTTTAAATTTAAAGAGGATATCTATGTAGAATCAGGTTTAGTGTTCTATACTAACAAAATTATTGTTCCTAAATCTTTACAATTATATGTATCAAATTTAGTTCATTCTGGTCACCCAGGCATAAGTAAAAGTATTAAAAAAGCTAGACAGCTATTTTATTGGCCGAAATTGTCTCAGGATATTCAAATCTTTATATCTAAATGTAGAACTTGTGAGAAATTTAAATCTGCAAATACTCATGAACCATTGTTAACTCATAAGATACCTAAATTAAGATTTTCAAAACTAGGTTCTGATATTATGGAGTATGGAGGGAAATCCTACCTTGTTGTTGTGGATTATCTATCACATTGGTTGGAAATTATACCAATAATAAATAAAAGTTCAAAGTCTGTTATAAATGCTTTTCAGGAAGTATTTACAAGGTTTGGTTACCCTACTGAAATTATAGCAGATAACAATCCATTTAAATCTTATGAATGTATTCAGTATTATAAATCTAAAGATATTTGTATCACTACCAGTAGCCCTCACTATCCTAGAAGTAACGGCATGTCAGAAAAGGCAGTAAATATTGCTAAAAATTTATTAAAGAAAGCGAGGGAGGATAATGTAGATTATAGAGATTTTCTATTAAGTTATAACTGTACACCTTTATCTAGTTTAGAAGTGTCACCATCTCAAATATTACAGAGTAGACAGTTGAGAACTTGTGTACCTATTACAGAAAGCATGTTAGAACCTAAAATAGAGAAAAGTATTCATAAATTGTTAACTGTGAAACAATCTATAACTAAAAAAATTCATGATAGATTTATAAGGAAGGGTGAAACAAATTTTAAGGAAGGAGAAAATGTAACTTATAGGACAGGTCATGATAGTTATTGGAAAAAAGGAGTAGTTATTAAGAAGTCTAAAGAACCTAGATCATATTGGATCAGTAGGGGAGAAAATTGTAAGCCCTTTAGGCGCACTTCTCATCACATTAAGAGGTCAAACACAAAAACACATAGTTTTAAGAGAGATTTTTTTGATTATTCTTTAAATGACAAAGTTAGTAATAATGTGCCAAATATTGTATCTGAAAATAGTAACCAAGCAAATGTCCCTCATAAAGCATGTCACACTCGCAGTGGAAGAATTATAAAACCTAGAGATAGACTCAATTTATAATGTAATTTTGTAAAATGTTTTTTTATTTTGTAATTGATTGTAAAAGTTTTGTTTTAAAGTTGAAGGGGGAGGTGTAAGATGAACGTACCTAGTTTAAATATGTATAAAGGAACGCATCTTAATTGACAGATGACATTAGTTAACATGTATGTACTAGCGGATCTTCCGGTTGCTTTCTCACCTTTGTTCACTCTCTTGATGTTAATAAATATGTTTGCAATTAAATAAGTTTTATTTAAATATAACATACACTAGTTTTGTATGGAATTGAAGTTGCAAAAACAGCAAAAAATCACGCATTTATTTCACAATTTTTCAATTTCAACTCGTGGTCGTTCAGAACTTTATATTTATGCGAATAGTTGTACAAAAACAAACCTTATTATACCAGCAAATAACTTGTAATCTACACATCGCTCGCCGCAACTGTGCGAGCGAGACGGCAATATTTAAATATAAGCATGAGCGACAGTGACAGGTAGTGACTAGATTATAACGCCTTGCAATTATCTAGTAATTTATTTAGTGCTGGAAATATTCATGGCTGCGTTAGCCATTCGCCATGCTACCAGGCGCCACGTGGAAGGGTGGGATATGGCGTGAATTTACAGGGTTCAGAGGAAGAACACCCGAGTCCTCAGGAATGGCAACGCATGGGGAGGTATCATGGACGAAACAGTATACTCAGTTATGTCCACGGTACTGCTCATGTCTATATGCGACGGTTACCACTTTCCATTAGGTGGGCCGTCAGCTTGCATTCTAAGTTGTATAAAAAAAAAGTATGTCCCGGTAAAAAGTCTACCCACTTGTTCGTTCTGGTGAGAAGGTTCCAACTCCTCAACTCTTCGGCTTCGAATACTGACGTGACTTGATCCTCTATTATTGACTCCACGCCAGCTTTGACCAAGTCCAGACAGTGTGATAGATGGAACTCTAGATTAACCTGGAATTGATAATTAATTATTGTGAATTTTTTTTGAAATCTCAACAGATGTTAAGGTCTTTACGATCCGTTCTCCCTGTCCACTCCATAAGCGACTTGTCGTGCTGATATACATGTCGTGTTGCTATGAATTGACAATTTTATCACTCCTTCAATGTACTTTCTTGTTCTTAGGTTTGAATATAGATTATTTATATTCTATATTTCTATATATACAGTTATGGTACCTCATTCTTCTCCTGGTCGGTTCTATGACCGTTCTGAATCCTTTCCTGGCTCGAACTCCTCTTGTAATTCAACTCCGGGGAGGGGCCTAGTATCTCTTGCCTTTCTATCACAGACATCTTTGTACCTGGAACGTTTTAGGAAATAAATAAAAAAAATTATGTGTGTGTTAATTTTCAAGCGACTTCAAAAAAGGTTTCCAATTCGGTCGTTTCTTTTTTATGTTGGTTACCTTATAACTACGTCATTTATAAAGTGATTTGAAAAATTCGTCTGTTCTATACAAATACTAAACAAGCATACGGCCATCAGCCGGCCGTATGCTTGTTTGCCACTATAGTAGTATAAAAAAAAAAAACAAATTTCATCCAAGAGTACTCGCGATTTTTTTTAAAAAGGAAAAAAAGCCCGCCTGCGCTATCGGTATAAGCTGGCGGAGTACCAGGGGAGCATAAAACATTGAAGATAAACGTAGGTCGGTTGGTTCATAGCAGGCAATTCATACAAATTAACTACAATGGTTTTTAGAAGGAGCCGTGTGAAGATTAACCTTACAGGGTATATTGCTAGCATTGGGGACAAAAATCCCCATTACTAACAATCTCTTCCTCCCCGTGGTAACCGATATAATTTAGCATAAGATTTTTTCCAAGGATATAAGAATGGTAACTTCGCCTGCGCTAACGGTATACGCTGGCGGGGTACCAGGGACACATGATAGGTGAGGATGTAGTAGTAGATCAGTTAGTTCATCGTGACGAATTCTCTTGGATTCACAATGGTTTCTAGCGGGAGCCGCGACGAGACCGTGTTTCAATTCGATACGCCATCTATAGGAGTGGTATATTTTCTTGGTTTGCCTACTTCGGAAATCCACGCGAAGTAGCGGGCGAAAGCCAGTTTAGAGGCAACAATACGAGAAATCATTAACATAATGAAGGCCTACTATTTACATAAATTGAACGCAGTCACGCTAGAAGTTTCTATCATTTATCTCTTCACTAGCTCTTACCGGCGACTTGGTTCGCGTGACCTTCTCCATACTGTATTTTTCTCACTGTCTTCATAGGACCAGTACATCATTAGTCCATGCATACGTTTTTTGCAATTGATCTACCTACGAAGGCTAGCTTTTACAACAGTAACTCTTGCTAATGATAAGGGATTATAAATAATGGGGATTAGGGTCCCATTGCTAGCAATAGACGCTACCATGGTCGACCCTTGAAACCATCGTGCTGCGCATAAGCGTATTCATCACGAGGGGCTAACTGACTTGCCTTTTCATCCTCACCTATCATGTTTCCCTGGTACTCCGACAACGTATACCGTCAGCGCAGACGAGGTTACTATATCATTATCATTTATTAAAAAAAAAAAAAACTTTCTGATTGGGGGGAAAGGGAACTAGTATTGGGGATCAAACAGCCCCATTGCTAGCAATATCAGGTCGACTTTCACGCGGTTCTCCTGAAAACTATGTTTAATTCTTGTGAAATACGTCACGATAGGCTAACTGAACTGCTTTCCTCCTCGCCTATCATGTTTCCCTGGTACCCTGCCAGCGTATACCGATAGCGCAGTCGGGGTTAACTTTCCATTTTCGCCCACTGAAAATACCAATTCGGATAAAAATTTTGATGAATAATGTACCATTAATTCCGTTCTCCTTGATGATGGCCGAGGGTGGTTTATCATCAGGTATAGGCGGTTCCTCCTCCTCATCAGAACTGTCGTTCCTCTGCACCTTCTTGGCGACTTCGATGTGTTGCCTGCCATACTGTGGGCAAAAGAGGTCATTTAATGACATGTAAAATCATTCATACCCACTGCTGGGAAGCTTGGGCGCTATCATATCCACCTATTTAATTTTTGTGCCGTATGGTCCTGACATAGAATAGGATACCCATTTGTTTTCCTTGGGTGTTCTAAGAGGCGACTAAGGGATGGCGAGGGATGGGTAGCAGTGTCCCTTTTAAAACACCTCCAAAACCTAACTGCGGTTGTCAATTTAAATTTATGTAGGACGACCACCCACTAGATGGAGTGACGACCTCAAACGCATTGTAGGAAAACTTAGAATTGCAAACAATCTGACGGCCCACGTGATGGAAAGTGGTAATCGTCGCCTATAGACATGAGCAGTACCGTGGACATAACAGAGTATACTGTTTCGCCCATGATACCCCCCATGCGTTGCCATTCCTGAGGACTCAGATGTTATTCCTCTGTACCCAGTAAATTCACACCATATCCCACCGTTCAAACCGAAACACAGCCATGCAAACACAACTGCTTCACGGTAGAAACACGAATGGGACAGAGGTGGCCAAGCAAACGAGTTTTGTACAAAGTCTCCGTCTGGTGAATGATATTTATATTAAATTCAAGAGTTAGTCTTTTTTTTTTTTCTTGAACACAATCTTAAAATAATAATTAATAAATTGTTAAACATAATAAAGAATTTATGCATTTTTTATCTCATTTAATAAGAGATATCATTATTTTTTTGGAATTTACGACTTTAAATTATGCATAATTAATGTTAATATATTTGACAATGCGATAAACTTGGGGTTACGTTATTAATTAAATGCACAGAGGTTATTCATACTGCAGGTTATCGTAACAGACATATATACTACTTAATTCTGCATCTTATATTTATTAATTATTTATGACCACATTCCAAAAAAGAAAAAAAAAATAAAGAATGAATGAGTATACTTTATTTGCATTATACAATATAGGAAACTAGCGGCCCGTCCCGGCTTCGCACCGGTAGACATTTTTACAACATTTCAAAAAGTACCTATCGTGACATAACGACAATAGTTGGACATATAGTGTCGCGAAGTTTTTTGTAGTTATTGATATTTCCTTCAATATTGTAGAACATACTTTTGTTCTATCACCAATAGTTTCCGCAGCGCACGCGACCAAACATATTTTATAGCATTTTTTTACACCTTGAGTTACGTTTTGATGTGTGAAAATGGTATGGTAACCCCGCCTGCGCTAACGGGATACGCCGGCGGAGCACCAGTGAAGGGTGATAGATGAGAATGAAAACCGGCCAGTTAGCACATCATGATGAAATCATTAGGAATTAATCATGATAGTTTCCAGGGGGAGCCGCGAGGAGGTCGACCTGGTTGGGTATATTGCTAGCAATGGGATTCTTAGTCTCCATTACTAACAATCCCTCCCCCCCACCAGGTGTATTTATCACGATGGGCTAACCGACTTGCATTTTCATTTTCACTTATCACCTCTCACTGGTGCCCCGCCGATGTATATCGATAGTTCAGGCGGGGTTACTATTCCACGCGACAATGGCAGCCATGTAAACCTGCTATTCTTTATAAGAAACTCATGGCGCTTATATGTTTATACTGTGACACCTTGAATTCTAAATAAGGTTAAATTGAGGCCGACCCGTCTGGCCGGTAACTTCCTCAATTGCATATAATTTTCAAAGCCGAGTCATATGATGCGTGTAACAAGATGAAAAGACGAAGTCCACTAATGTTTAACTGTCCACTGCTGGACATGAGCCTTCTCATAAAGGGGGGTTTTGGCTGTAGTTACTACACTCGGATTCCGTAGTTTTTTGATGGGTGAAAATGGTATGGTAACCCCGCCTGCGCTAACGGGATACGCTGGCGGAGCACCAGTGAAAGGTAATAGGTGAGAATGAAAACAGGCCAGTTAGCCCATCATGATGAATTCATCAGGAATTAACCATGATAGTTTCTAGAGAGAACCGCGAGGAGGTCGACCTGGTTGGGTATATTGCTAGCAATGGGATTCTCAGTCTCCATTACTAACAATCTTATTTATATTTATAACTTAAATTTGGCGTGAATTTACTGGGTACAGAGGAATAACACCCGAGTCCTTAGGAATGGCAACGTATGGGAGGTATCATGGGCGAAACAGTATACTCTGTTATGTCCACGGTACTGCTCATGTCTATAGGCGACGGTTACCACTTTTCATTAGGTGGGTCGTCAGCTTGTTTGCCATTCTAAGTTGAATAAAAAAAAACTCAATTTTTTTTTATTATAAAGTCTTCATCGAATACTTTTACGACAAAAAGAAAAGAAAAAAGAAAACTGATTATTTAAATAGTTTAAAAATAGAACATTCTAGAATAGACAACAAATCTATGAAGTCCGATAAACAGTGCAAGGAGGCCGGTCTTCGACCAACGATAAGATTACTTTAATCATAAAATCCATAGATTAAATTTATAATAGATAAAGCCTATTTGTTAATTTTAATAATACGATATAGTTTATTACATAAATAACATCCTGGTTATAAATTTAGATAATCCAGCGATCAGGCCCTTGTTCGATATATATGATTATTAAGCGCCAGGAATTTCCTTGACATACAGTGCCATCTGTTGGAGAAATGAAACCATAGTTTTTACATTGACAATCTCATGCACGAGATCGTGGTGGGAAGATCCACGACACCCACGGGAAAGGAAAGAGGTGGCCCATTCTATGACATTTTTTTTTACAACACAGGGGGCAAACGAGCATGCGGCTCACCTGATGGTAAGTGACTACCGCCGGCCATGATCACTCACAACACTAACAGCATTGCAGGTGTGCTGCCGGCCTTTTAAAAAGGAATATGCTCTTTTCTTGAAGGTTACGTTGTCGTATCGGTTCGGAAATACTGCTGCTGGAAGTTGATTCCAAAGAGTGGTTGTGCGTGGAAGAAAGTGCCTTGAAAAACGCACGGTGGGGGACCGCCACTCGTCCAGATTATTGGGATGAAATTTTAGTTTATGGCGAGTTGAACGATGGTGAAATTCTCACTAGTTTACAATATTGGATATGTCTTTTAACATATTCGAAAATAGACATCCGACCGATACGGGCGATATCGGAATGGCTGATGACCTTTTTCCCGCCATCAGTGTCCAGAGAAACCCAATATATAGATATCGGATCGGTATCCATATTACGCTAAATGCCTATAAGATAATTGCGTGGTTGCGTCCCATGTCGACTCTCGTTTACAATAGGTCTATGCGTCAGACTGGACTTTGCCTCTAATGGCGTATCATCACGTCATATCAAAGGTCCAAAATCCAATATTCAAGCAACACAACGGACATGACAATCTTATAATATATTATTACAATTCTATTATATCCGAAATAATCCGAAACCAGAGGAAGATTTTGTATACAAAAGTCGTTTGCTTGGCCACCTCTGTCTCATTCGTGTTTCTACCATGAAGCAGTTGTATTTGCACGGCTGTGTTTCGGTTTGAAGGGTGGGATATGGCAGTGAATTTACAGGGTACAAAGGAATAACACCTGAGTCCTTAGAAATGGCAACGCGTGGGGAGGTATCATGGACGAAACAGTATACTCTGTTATGTCCATGGTACTGCTCATGTCTATAGGCGACGGTTACCATTTTCCATGAGTGGTATTGACAATACCCCCAATAGGGGAGTCTATGTTCAACAGTGGGCATTATTTGTGGAAATTTCCATCATAACATTGAACGCCTAAAAATTATTTAAAAAACCAAGTTCACTTTAAATTGATCGTGTCTGGATACCTTTCTAATGTCCATTGCAGAAAAAAAAAAACATAGCTGTCAAATTTATTTCTTTAACCATTGTTCCTTTAATTTTGAACATGAATTATATCACCTTGATTTATTTCACCAATAAAAAAATCACGCAAAGAAGAGATACCAGCTGGTATCATGATCATCATCATCATTATTTATTACAAAACATGATATAATGACGACACCGCGACGTGAGACCTAAGATTTCCCTAATTGACCTCAATATGACCCCGCTATCTGTACGTACATTCATGAACCCTTCTCATTGGCCCGTGAACATGTAGTGTTAGACACATGATTATCCTAGTCTTGATCAGACGGGGGGAAAGGGTTTGTTAGTAATGGAGACTGAGAATCCCATTGCTAGCAATATAGCCAGGTCGACCTCCTCGCGGTTCCCCCTGGAAACTATCATGGTTAATTCCTGATGAATTCATCATGATGGGCTAACTGGCCTGTTTTCATTCTCATCTATCACCCGTCACTGGTGCTCCGCCAGCGTATCCCGTTAGCGCAGGCGGGGAGTTACCACGCCATTTTCACCCATAAAAAAAATAATGCATACTGTTAGCAATGGGGCTGTCATACTCCATTGCCAACTATCCCTTTCCCCGCTATCGACCTAATAGGGCTATTAGGTCGACCTCCGCGTGGTGAAAACCATCGTGAACAATTCTCGTTGAATTCGTCACGGTGAGCTAGCTGACCTGCTTCATCCTCACCTATCATCCTTCACTGTTGCCCCGCCGGTGTATACCGATAGCGCGGGTGGGGTTACCATTCCATTATCATCCATTAAAATTGTTGTTTGTCATTCGAGTACCTAATCGTTCAGTAAATACATATCCTGCAACAAGATTATGTTATAAAATAACATTCTAGGCTGTTTATGACTTGGTTGTTGCTTTTAATTACTTTATAAATAAAGATTAATTGCTATTTGTAAAACGCACTATCTGTATGTTGGGAAACATAGTCATTATGATATGTTTATCAAAATTCAGATTGAATTCTAATATATTACTTCTGTAGCGGCCCGTCTCGGCTTCGCACGGGTTTTTACAACATTTTTCATTTTTATCTGATAGATAGATAGATAAACTTTTTATTTGAGCCATTTATGACACACGTAAATTTACAAATGAGTTCATACATTTAAATTATTTACTCTATTTAAAATATACAACAAAAGATTAAAATATGGTTTCGCCATGTGTGTCGCAGTGACCCAAATAGGCTACAGCTCAGTGACGATTTTGCTTAAAAGCAAAGCACTGATTTTCAGCTGCAGCCTGAAGTTTGGCTACACGGACGCGTGTAACAAACCCAGAGTGTAACCTGTGTAACCAATTTAATAGCCAAAGATAAAATTGTATTATATAGATACATACTTATATAAATGATGCATAAATAATATATTTTATTAATTAATTAAACATACATTATAAATAATTTACCACAATAATTATTATGTTGAAAGCAGTCGCTACCAGGCGGTCAACCCAAGTTTTTGTTTAGTTAATAAATCCTACTATCTATTGCATGGATGTGCGCGCCCCCACCTGCCCTTCTGCCATACCGCTACAATGCCTGGCTAACTAGCCATGCGACCGACATAGCGCGGGCGGCGGGCAGCGCTTTTTTATATTTGACTTTTTAACATAATGTCTTTCGAATGGAATATAGCTGTGATTTGAAAAATTCAAAAAGTAATCTGCAGGTATTGATACAATTTTGAATACAAAATAATTTATTTGGATAAGGATTAATAAATAGGTATGAATAACATGTATAACGCGACAACGTTATTTTTTCTATTTCTATGACTTAATAAATTAGTAATATCTATTGAATGGAATAGCCGATTTGAACAATTCAAAAACTAATCTACGTAAATTGAAACAGTTTTGAAAACAATATGATTCATTTGGATAAGGATTTAAACAGAAGTATGAATAAAATGGTATAATTTTGGTCGGTATTTCTATCAACTTATAAAATGTAAAAAGTGGTTATTGTGATATAACGATAATAGTTGGACATATAGTGTCGCTAAGTTTTTTGTAGTTATTGTTATTTCCTTCAACATTGTAGAACATACTTTTGTTCTATCACCAATAGTTTCCGCAGCGCACGCGACCAAAGATATTTTATAGCATTATTTTACATCTTGAGTTACGTTATTAAAGTTTTAGTTAGGATCCCTAATGTTTTTTAGCAATAAATATAGCCTATGTTACTCAGGGTAAATGTAGCTTTCTAATGGTGACAGAATTTTTGAAATCGGCAAAGTAGTTTTTGTGCTTATTCATTACAAATATACATACACATAAAAATACAAATCTTTCCTCTTTATAATATTAGTGTAGATATAATTTCTAGTTTTATGTAGCCTTTTTTTTTAATACAGTGAACGCTTTATATAAGCAACCTCTCTACAAGCAATATTCTTTATATTTTATTTATTTTACTCAGCTTAGTTAGTAAAAGAAATAAGTAAAAATATTTTCCAGACGCTAAGTATTTTTATACTCCTTTTTTCCCTATAAGCAACTTTTCCTAATAAGATTTTTTTTTAATTAAAAATCGGTTTATATGCATTGCTTATATAGAGCGTTCATTGTATTTCTTTTTTAATATGGTTTGCGGTGCAATATTCAAGGCATCCCGTCCTCCAGGAATGGCAACGCATGGGGGGTATCATGGGCGAAACAGTATACTCTGTTATGTGCATGGTACTGCTCATGTCTATAGGCAACGGTTACCACTTTCCATCAGGTGGGCCGTCAGCTTGTTTGCCATTCTAAGTTGTATAAAAAGAAATGTAAAATACCAAATAACCGTTAAACATGTGAGAACCAACCATTTCAGCCATTATTTCTTTAGCAGTGTACACATAATGGCTGATATGATGATGACGTGGGATTCGGTGATTGCTGTTATTATTATTGAAATTAAATATTTTGAAAAATATTCTCGACCAACTTCGAAAAGGAGGTTTTATCCAGTTGCATTTTTTTATGTTTGTTGCCTCATAACTGCATTAGTTATAAACCAAAATGGGATGTTTTTTATGCGAAAGAAAGAAAGAAATACCAACAGATTGGTCCCATAGACATTTTATCAAAATTAGTAACTTAGTTTAAAAAAAAAACAATAAATCAATATTTGAAAAAAAAATATAAAAAAAACATTTTTGTGTAAATAAATTTGTAAATTAATTTTCTTCTATTCATTATATATTTTTAGTTATATAATAATAATAATATTTCTTTATTATAGATTACAAAGATCCATTTTTGTTAGTAACAATTGACTTAAACTATGTTAGTAGAAAAAAAATACATAATTCATTTTATGGCCCCTATAATAATTTTGACCCACAATGAGAGGATCGGGCTATCGTATTTATTACACATTGCCCACAGAATGGTATGGTACAATGAATGAAGCTAATAAAAATAAAACAATGAAAATTTTCGATTTTTATTGTATAAACTATTTTGTGATATCAAATTTAAAATGGATGAAAATAAAACGGTGGTTCCCAACCCACCTGCCGAACGTGGTAACTATTGGCAAAACCCCTCTTATGGAGGAGACCTATGTCCAGCAGTGGAAGGTTAAGCTGATATGATTAAAAAATAAAAAAAAAAAAATCATTTCCATTTTAGTCATTTTCCATTTATATATTTAATTTTTTTTAGGTTACTAGGCACTATTGATATTAAATATGATACCAGTTTTTAATACATTCCTATATTTATATTTCTTTGTTATTATTTATTTTTATTTATTCTTAATAAAGAAAAAAATTTTATTGTGCAATAGCACAATAAAATTTTGTACAAATGGCGAGCTTAATGTCATATGGCATTCTCTACCAGCTAACCATTGGGTAAAAACAAACTAATAATAAAAAAAAATATAAATCCAACCTTTGGTTACTGTATACCATTTCATTCCCTCCAAAATTTCAAAATAAGAAGGTCTCATAGAATATTCTTTAATTAAATTTCTTTAATAATTATGTATTTATGACTTAACACTTTAAAAACAGAACAAACATTTATAAAATAAATTTTAATAGGATGATATGCAATTTTTATACTTGAATACAAAATGCAAATCACCAAAATTTGGACATAATGAATTGTGAATTTAAAATTATTTTTTTTTTTTTATTGCTCAAGAATATAATTATTTATCATTTATACCAAGGCCAAGGCAGATGCCATACTATGCTATTCAAACAAAGAAAAAAAAAAATAGATACATAGATAATTGAAATTATTTCTAAGGTGAAAATAAATAGAAAAGTAATATTAGGTACATCTTTAATAAGCATTAAGTAAATATTTTTTGTATCTCATTTGTAAATACACCTCAAAAATACACATTATTATAGTGTTTTGATTATTTCTAAAACAGATTATGTTAAAAAAAAACGTTACTGTAGGAATGAATAACACGTGATATGGATAAAATATAATATATATACATGTTTATTAGGCAAATTTTCATCTTAATGTGTAATTATAAGCAGTTACGGACCATATATATCCGTAATAACTCTTATTTATCATGTTTTAATGTTTGATCGTTAAATACGATACGCATCTGTATGACTCACTATGTGGGAAGTAGAATTTTCGAATTCAAGTTACTACGTCAATAGTTATAGCGTATTAACATCCACGATAATATAAGTGCCATTTAAATTTAAATTTTATTAATTTAGAAACATTTTATATTTATTATCTGTGACAAACACATGCTCGTTCACTTACTATAGAATTAAGACGTACATATTTTTTTTATGAGATTACGGCTAAAGACTTACCTCGAAGAGTTTTAATAATATGTTCACATATAAACGCCTGACGCCCAGGGATTTTCCGATTGAAGCAAGGAATATTACACACAGAACTAAAAGAAGAAACGGCGTATAAAGTATTGAGATCGATAATGACACAACCGACATGATCAACGCCATTTTGACGACTGACTGATTGATGAATGAGTGCGACCACCAATGAGTTGTCAATGTACGAATGAACGATTAGAGACGACTGACGTCATTGGTAGGTGTATTTTTTTTCATTCGTGACGTTATTTCCTAACTTTTATTGCCAGTATAAAAAGAGAGATTTTTTTATTTAGCATATGGACTAATAACATTTGTAATGTTTTGCAAATGCAAATGGAAATTAAAGAGTTAATAGATGTATTATTATTAAATATGACATTATAATGTAATAAAATTAATTAATAAATTATATCTGTCTACTGTCAGACTCGACCCACTGAAACTGTGTAGAGATGCTGTATCTCTGTACATCTACCGAATTTATCATGGGGAGTGCTCTGAGGAATTGTTTGGATTGATACTTGCTGCTGATTTTCACCATCGTACAACCCGCCATAAACTAAAATTTTATCCCAACCATCTGGACGAGTGGCGGTCCTTCACCGTACGTTTTTCAAGGCACTTTCTTCTACGCACAACCACTCTTTGGAATCAACTTCCAGCAGCAGTATTTCCGAACCGATATGATAACATAACCTTTAAGAAAAGAGCATTTTTCTTTTTAAAACGCCGGCAGCACACCTGCAATGCCGTTGGTGTTGTAGGTGTGTTGCCGTGATCATGAGCGGCGATAGTCAATTACGATCAGGTGAGCTGTGTGTTCGTTTGCCTCCTAGGTGTCTGATTTTTAGGCTTCGAGATATGCTACAATAATATTCTGATCCTATTTGGTCATTCTTTGCCCCTTCCTGCGTCAATTGGTCAGCTGTTTCATTTCCGTTAATATATGAATGATGGATTCCTGATCCATCTCAAGATAATTACCAGAGGGAGACTGTACAAAAGTTGATTGCTTGGGTACCTCTGTCCCATTCGTGTTTCAACCGTGAAGCAGTTGTGTTTGCATAGCATGAATTTACTGAATACAGAGGAATAACATCCGAGTCCTCAGGAATGGCAACGCATGCGGGGTATCATGGGCGAAACAGTATACTCTGTTATGTCCACGGTACTGCTCATGTCTATAGGCGACGGTTACCACTTTCCATCAGGTGAATCGTTAGGTTGTTTGACATTCTATGTCGTATAAAAAAAAAAAGAGAAAACTAATGTACATAACATACTTACATTATACAATTATGTTGCCTTTCAGGTATTGCATGAAAGTTGAAAGACAAATAATTGGATATTATAAAAAATCCATACTTTTTAATTATGACAGCTAATCTATTTACCTGATAAATAAAATGTTATTGGCATTGTTTGTTATTATCCATTTTTTCTTATACCTGTCAATGTGGACATAATCCTTTACAAGCAACGCAATTTAAAACATGTATTTCGATTATTGTATCCTATGTGTCTTTGTAAAATATCTTAAATGGAAGTAAACACAATACTTTGTCTATTGTTAAAAATAATCATGTTATTTAAAAAAATAAAAAGCTATACAATACTATAAAAATTTTAATTTATGTAATAAATAGCTATTAATTATACGTTGAAGTAACCATACCACTAAATATTTGTTTATCCAAGTTTAGGAATGCATATGGCTGATAACTGTATAGTACATTTTGTTGTTGATGCGAGTAATCTGCATTTTAGTACTATGGTCTAATATCCATCAAAATACCAACAAACGGTTATCGCGAGTAAACTCTAGCGTACAACTATAATTCGATATACAAAATACAAAAATGTGATATCCAATACGACAAACAAAACTGATTAAAAGTAGGAAGAGATTTTAAAAGTATAATAAAGTATAATTATATAAATTAAAGAAGAATCATATCCAATGACAGTAGGGAATGGTGTAACAGATTATTTATGTTATATCTAGATATAGTCTGTGGAGGTACTCTGTATCGGTAATTACTCTATGGTGATGTGTTGTACTGTACACTGTAATGGAAATAAGAAAAAAAAAACATGTTATGATTGTACTTATTATTTTATTATTGAAAGGATACCCCTAATATTAATACACATGGGGTTGCCACATCATCACGAGTAATGCACTAAATTTATGACGATTTTTAATTTGTTAAACATTTACATTGTCCCTATATCACAACAGTAATGAAATGTTTAAAAAATATTACTATGAATATAATAGAATGAATATTTATTTTTTATTATTAGTAAAATTTTTTATAAACAATTATAATTATATAATTCATAGCTCCCTTTTAATTAGCAATACCTAAAAATCCGCAACGCACACATTAACCTTCTTTATTGACAAAAAATCCTGTAGGGTAGATACAGGCCCCTGGTTAAATCACTGACGTACACATATCTGTACAAGAGTTTCCTACCTGTCCTGTCCTTAGACCAAAGATTTTAGTTTCAGATGTAGTCATCGCCTTTCTAATCTTACTACACTGCTGACTTGTTCGACATATTGTACTGTTTATTCCTTGTACATTTTGTGTGTGCTTTATTTCTCCAACTCGATAATAACAAAGGTAATACCGGCCACTAGACCGAGACATGTTATTTGTAGACTTAAACCTGCAGCAATCTTCCTATTCAGTTTTAATTTCCATCTCTGGCAATTGGTTGTTATGTTTACGATCACTTGTTACAGTGGCACGTACAAGAGACTCGTACTAGAGACGTAAATGTCCAACAAATGTGTGTTTATGATATCACAACACGGTCAGAGGGTATCCTCTTTAATAGACGCGACGCGACCTCAGAACTGTCGTACTAGAAGTCCATGAAGGGCCAAAGAACATCGAACTGTATGAACAGTTTAACTATAATTTTAAACTGCCTCAGCATGGCTGTCGTTTAATAAAAACTTACAGCTAAACAGATCATATGTATTCGCAGTGTCCACAGTACATGGCAGATCAAACATAGCTATGGGCAATACACAAAGTAAGAATTTGCATGCCTCCGACAACACCAAACAGCGGATGACTCCATACAGTTGTGATGTATGTAGTAAATGTTTTAACAGAAAATCAACATTGCAACAGCATTTGTTGATACATACAGGCGAGAATCCATATAGTTGTGATGTATGTAATAAATGTTTTAGTAATAAATTTTATTTAAAACAGCATTTGTTGATACATAGTGGTGAGAAGTTATATAGTTGTGATGTATGTAATAAATGTTTTAAAAGAAAATCAATGTTGCAACGGCATATGTTAACACATACTGGTGATAAGTCATATAATTGTGATGTATGTAATAGATGTTTTAACCAAAAGTCAATGTTGCAACGGCATATGTTGATACATACTGGTTATAAGTCATATAGTTGTGATGTATGTAATAGATGTTTTAACCAAAAGTCAATATTGCAACGGCATATGTTGATACATACTGGTTATAAGTCATATAGTTGTGATGTATGTAATAAAACTTTTAACTTAAAATTAACATTGCATCGGCATATGTCGATACATACAAGCAAGAAGCCATATAGTTGTAATATATGTAATAAATGTTTTAATCAAAAATCAACATTTCAACGGCATTTAATTATACATACTGGTGAGAAGCCATATAGTTGTGATATATGTAATAAATGTTTTAACCAAAAATCAACATTGCAACGGCATTTAATTATACATACTGGTGATAAACCATATAGTTGTGATGTATGTAATAAATGTTTTAACAAAAAATCAACAATGCAACGGCATTTAATTATACATACTGGTGATAAGCCATATAGTTGTGATGAATGTAGTAAATGTTTTAGTCAGAAAGCACATTTAACACAACATTTGTTGATACATACTAGTGATAAACCATATTGTTGTGATGTATGTAGTAAATGTTTTAACAACAAATCAACATTGCAACGGCATTTGATTATACATACTGGTGATAAGCTATATAGTTGTGATGTATGTAGTAAATGTTTTAACAGAAAATCAGCATTGCAACGGCATTTGATTATACATACTGGTGATAAGCCATATAGGTGTGATGTATGTAGTAAATGTTTTAGTGATACATCAGCATTGAAAAGACATTCATTGATACATACTGGTGAGAAGCCATATAGTTGTGATGTATGCAATAAATGTTTTAGAGAGAAAAGAAAATTAACAAAACATATTTTGATACATACTAGTAATAAACCGTATAGTTGTGATGTATGTAATAAATGTTTTAAAAGATTGTCAACACTGCAACGGCATGTGTTCAAACATATTGAAGACGTGCTGTATATAAATGTATAATTCATGTAGGTGTACGAGTAAGTATTTATAAGACAAGATAACATTCAGAGGTACAAACAGCAATACCTTAAGTAACAAGCATTATGTTTGACATATCACGTATATATACATATATATGTATTGTGGAAAGCAACAGATGTCATTGTACATAATATGTAGATGTGTGTGTACGAGGAGAAGTCAAAAAGTTCGCGGAATGAGGGGAAAGAGAGTTGAAATTAAACATGAAACTATTTTTTCTTCTTAATGTATTCTCCCTTAACTTTAATACATTTTTCGGATCTCTCAAATAATTTGTTTATCCCATCAAAAAAAAAAAGGATTATTTTTGCTTTCAGAATAGGCCGAAATTGCAGACTTGACTTCTTCGTCGCCAATTTTTTTTTCACGCAGCTCCTTTTTCATTTTTGGGAATAAATAATAGTCGCTGGGGGCCAAGTCTGGACTATAAGGTGGGTGGTCTAAGTTTTCAAACCCGTATTGGTGGATGATAGTCGTAGCAACATGGCACGTGTGGATGAGAGCGTAGTTGTGCAAAAGGAGCACATCTTTTGACAGCTTTTCTCTTCTTTTTTCCTTGATAGCATCTTTATCAGTCATCATGATCTTTCTGGACGATTATGACGCTTTAAACATTTTCGGAGGAGTTGTGCCTTTTTTATGCCACTGCATCGACTCTTGCTTCGACTCAGGTTCATAGTGATAAACCCAGGTCTCTTCTCCAGTAACAATCCGGGCCATAATTTCTTTCCTACTAATCTGGGCCATAACTTCTTTCCTACTCTCTCAACAGAGCTCCAAAAACTAGCGAGAATACTTGACACGTTTACTTTTTAAAATGGCGTGAGCATTTTTAGAACCATCTTGCACTGACCTTAGTCATGCCAAGATGATGATGTAGAATATTTAAAATACGTGTATCGGATACTCCAACCATTGCTGGTTACTCCAACCAACTTCTTCTTCAGCCGGGTATCTTCTAATACAAGTTTTTCTATTTTTGCGATGATTTCCGATGGTGATCTCAATTGGTCATCCGGAGCGGGGGTCATCTTCAATAGACTCTCTTCTTTGTTTTAAAAGACCATGCCACTTGTAAACCATGGTTCTACTAGGGACAGAGTCCACGTAAACTGCTAACAGCTCTTAAAATATCGTCTGAGCGGTTTTTCTTGCTTGGTGAGGAACTTAATAACGGCGTGGTGTTTAATTTTCTCCATACTTGTTGACTTCTTTCAGATTCTCTCGTTTGCAGGTCGATAACTGAAAAGTTAATGACCCGATTTCGTTTAAACTTGGTATATATACTCTTAATGAGGTGCTTAATAAGTGACTACGAGGGTCATTTGAAAAGTTCTTAGCCTACTTACTTAAACATACTTAATGAAACCACACGATTTTGAGTTTATTTTTATTTTTCAACATACTCTCCTTCGAGCTCAAAACACTTTTTTCATCGACCCTGTAAGGCTTCGATACCCGTTTTAAAATTTTTTTCGTCTAACTCCTCAAACTAAGCGTCCACGGCGGCTATGAACTCTTCATTTGTAAAAAAATGTTTACCACCTAAAAATTTTTTCAGCTTTAGAAACAGATAAATGTCGGACGGTGCTAAATCCGGTGAATATGGGGGATGAGGTAACAATTCGAAGCCACATTGATGGATTTCTGCCATGGATTGCACAGAGGTGTGAACGCGCGCATTGTCCTGATGAAACAAGACTTGTCTTCTCAATAAACCTGGATGTTTTTTGACTGATTTCTTCTCTCAAACGATGCAACAGGTTGCAATAGTAATCGGAGTTTATTGTTTCACCCTTTTTTAAATAATCCACGAGAATTATATTATTACCCTTTGCATCCCAAAAAACGGATGCCATGACTTTGCCCGCCGATAAAACCACCTTTGCCTTCTTTGGGGTGGGCGATCTTGCTCTTTTTCATTGTTTCGACTGTTCTTTTGTCTCGGGTGTATTGTGGTGAATCTAGGTTTCATCCATAGTTATAAATCTTTCAACAAATTCTATTGGGTCAGCTTCATGTAACTCTAAACAGTCGCGAGAAGTTGTGAGTCGGTTGCGTTTTTGTTCCACTGAAAGCAGTCACGGTACCCACCGCGCAGACACCTTAGAGAATCCAAGTTCAGTAGTAATTATATGATGTGTTCGCTTAGATGAGATGCTTACAGTCTTAGCTATCTCCTCGACAGTCAATCTTCGATCAGATAAAATTAAATCACAGATATTTTCTTTGTTTTGATCAGTGGAAGCAGTTGAAGGCCGTCCACTACGGGGCTTATCTTGAATGGTCTCACGACCACGGTTAAACTCTGCCACCCAGTTTTTAACAGTCGCATACGAAGGAGCGGACTCACCCAAAGTAGCAGACTTGTCTTTATGTATAGCTTTTGGAGTTAAACCTTTCGAATTCAGGTATTTTATCACTGCACGATGTTCAATTTTATCCATTTTCAAAAATAGCTCTGACTTGACTTACGGCATCACGTGTAAACGAACGATGAGTTACTGTAAATAAACTAAACTGTGCATACTTGTTGCCAAATAATGTAACTACGAAATGAGGGTAGTTATAAAAAAAACCCAATGACTTTAACCATGTTAGACTAAGAACTTTTCAAATGACCCTCGTACTTGGACGAGTAAACCGACCCCTCCATTCCGCGAACTTTTTGCCCTCCCCTCGTAACGTGACATAGTTTTGGTAAATTTATTATTATATAATACGAAACTAATGGTTTTTCTTATTAATAAGTGGAAATTATTTCGTTTCCTCTGGGTAGAAAAGGCGTAACTGCCAGTTTTTGCTAATTAGACTTAATGATGCTGTTTCGTTTAGAATTTTACAGTCTAACTATCTTATATAATGTTACAATATATGTAATATAAAATGTTGTAAATAAATAATTTATGAATAAAAATTCATTTACGCTTCATAGTTTTTGTATTTGTTTGAAGAATGTAAACGCCAGTTTTGTCGTGAATTTGTAATGTTGCGTATCACAACGCTATAAAACAGGGGGAAGGGATTGTTAGTAATGGAGTCTAACATTGCTATTGCTAGCAATATAGGTCTACCTACTCTATCAGGTCGATTTCCACGCGGTTCCGCCTTATCTTATATTCGCATATGGGGTCAGCTAAGCTGTTGCACGTCGATCCATTGGGATCTTTTGTGCTTCCCCCTGCTTTATACCATCATTTCATAGATCCTTTGTGTTACCTCAACGATATCCCCCGGTTTAAGATGTCTGTAGTCCCCTGGTTCTAGATAAGCCGTTCCCAGTAGACACATACGCATACTTGCCACGAATCGCAGTTGCACATCAAGTGTTCCATGGATTCCGATTTCTCCCCGTACGGTTCCCGGTTCCGCCTTGAAACTATATTGATTAATTTTTGATTTCCTCACGATGGGCTAACTGACATACTTTCATCCTCACCTATCATCCCTCATTGATATTACGTCAGCGTGTACCGATAGCGCAGACAGGATTACCATTCCATCGTCACACATAAAAGAAATCCTATTAAACATGTTCTGCCGTCTAAGTTCCTGCATAGAACACGTCATATCACATGGATATTAACGCTGGCGTCTCGCAGGGCTCTGTGCTTTCCCCAACGCTATTTCTGCTGCATATTAATGATTTGTTAACCTTAGGTGACATTCGTTGTTATGCGGATGACAGCACCGGGGATGCCTATTGTACGGGTCGTACCAATGTGCCTCGTTTCATCGTGGAAGATTATAGTGAACAGCTTATGTCTGAAATCGAGAGAATTGTAACCGGAGTCTCTGATCGGGGACGAGTAAAAAATGTTATAATCAGTGTATAAAATCATTAGAGGAAGGCATTCAACAAAACATTAAAATTTTTCGGAGCTACATAAACAGTCGCAAGGGTCATGCAGACATACCTAGTAATGTAATTTATAATTTAATAGCAAATGATCCCATAAGTGTGTGTAATATTTTTATCTTTCTTTCAGTCATAAGACATATTCATCATCTTCCTACCTTTATCCTAATCATTTGGGGTCGGCGTAATATGATTTTATCCATATTACAAAAAGATTTGGTTTTTAGTTTTACAGCCGGCCGCCTGCCTGACGTCAACCCTCTTTGGGACATAAGACATATTATTAATTTTATTACATATAGTGCATTCTTAGTCTAATCTACCATTCAGACTTACAAATTCTTTTAACGTGTAAAAACATTTTTCAATAAGCCAATTTCGTAGTTTGCTTCGGAAAATTTCAAAGGGCATTTCACAAAATGACTGGGGTATCTTATTGTAAATTTTTATGCACATCACAAAACAATTTTTATGATAAAGGCTACTATTACATATAGGCATGTGCAGTTTGGTAGGATCCCTTTTGATAAATTTATTACTTTCACAAATTTTATAAAATAACTGTGGGTGTTTTTTAACAAAGATTCCAATTTCTAAGATATATAAACTCGTAACTGTTAATATTTTTATATCTTTAAAATAGTTTCTATATGATTCCATAGGCGCTAATCCACAGATAGCTCTAACGCATTTCTTTTGTGAAATGAATACTTTGTTAATTATCATTACCCCAAAGTAAGATTCCATATCGCAATATAGATCCAACGTAGCCATGATACGTGGTAAGAGCTGCATTTTTACTGGCTGTATTGCGTAGACGTCTGAGTGCATATACAAATTTATTAATTTTAGTACATAACACATTTATATGGATCTTCCAATTACAATTTTCATCCAAGGTGATACCTTTTTTTTTAACGAGGGGAAATTCTTCAGAAAGAGCCCCACCGCCAGCGGGATGGCGATGGGTACTGTGGGATTTTTACCCACTAAAAACCACCTCGGTATTCCTCCCAGCACCATGTGCTGATGACGAGGGCTCGCGATTTGCAGTCGTCCGCGTCACCGGCAGCATCCAACGTGATACCTAGGAATTTTACTACATTATCTTTGGAGATTAATTTGTTTCGATATTTTACTG